GGGTCCTGGGGGGCAGCCAGGGTACAAGAAAGGAGGGCGAGGAGATGCTCAGAGATGTTGAAGACACAGGGGAGTTGGCTGGTCATGAGGGGAGGCTCTGAGCATGCAGTTGAGAGACCAGCATTGGACCCAACAGAGAAGCAGCCTGTGAGGAAATGGGCGTCCAGCCAAGGAGAGACTTGCCCTGCTGGCAACGGCTGACCTCAGCGGGAATGTGAGCTACAGTGGGACTCGTCCTGATCACCTCTTATTGTTTTGGGGCGGTGGGAGCTAAAGTGTTTCCAGGGTCTGGGTCCTGAATGACTTCCTTGGCAGTATGTTGATTTCAGAAACAAGTGTTCTCTTAGATTACGTCCATTTGTCACTATTCTAACATCCTGTGAGGAGGGACAGTCACCATTGAGGTTCCATAGCCTCCATTTTGTTATGTGACCTTGAACAAGTTAATCTCCTGCTGGTTTAATTTCTTTATGTACAAAAGGGGGTAACAGTAGCACCTAACTTCCTCACAGAGTTGTGATGAAGATTAAGAGTTACAAATTCAATGTGTGTAAAGCACTTATAATGGTACCTGGCATGCTTACAAAGTGTTAGCTATGGACGTTATAATCCATGAGCTACATATTTACATACATCTGTGATTACCTCCTTAGGAATCCTTGGTAATATAATTGTTGGGTGAGAAGGTGCAGAGATTTTTAATACTTTCAATACAACACTAAAATACCCACCGGAAGATAAATTAAATCCCCACCATCAGACCACCGGACACTTGTGTTTACTGTCTCTCACTTAGGTCACAAAGCATGACAACCAAGCACCACCCAGCAACCACTTACAAGTGCCCTGTTTACTCACTGACCCAGAATTTGGAGCGGTACCTGGTAATATGTACTTTAAAGACATTCCCATTTGCTTCAATTGATAAATCAATCGATTGCTAAAACTTTACCCAACCTCTTTGCAATAGCAACACTGTACACCAGGTTCTTTTGAAATTCCCCTTAACTTCTAAAGCCTCTCTCCTACCCCATTTCCTATTTCTATGCCAGCTTGTTGTGGTTTTTTTTCTAAGAAAGAAAAGAAACAGATTATCTTATGTAACTGCAAGTCCCAGTGGCAGTGGCTCCAAGCATGGGGACCGATGAAATACAACGAGAGCCCCATAATTAGGGGCCTGAAGGAGTGTCAGGAATCTGTCTCTCCTCCCTTCCTCGGCTTGGTTGCTCTATTTGGCCCAAGACTCAGACAGACTCTGGTAACCAAGGTGCATAGTAGCAGCTCTGACTCACATCCTTGAGGCTTAACGAGCTCAGGAGGCAGGGGGCGATTATACACCTAGGAATCCTAGAAAAGAAATGTTCTGAGTCCATGACTAATCCAGGGGAACGAGTTACATTGAACCAGCCAGGGCACCGTGTTCTCATTCCCAATAGGTCCACACCTACCTGGTATGCTCAGTTGTCACCCGATTTCTCTTCCTTCCTAACAGCACTTGTATAATCACTGAGTCGTGCTCATTTCATCTCAGTAGCTCTCAGGTCTGTCCTGTCCTGTCCTAACTGCGACATCGCCCCAAGGCAGGCCTGAATCATCGCTGGCCCACTATTTCAGCAGCCTCCTATCTGGTCTCCCTGCTGCATTCCTGCCCCCCTTGGGCTCACCCTCCCATAGATACCAGGGTTATTGCTCCAACTGGAACCCGCCCCCTTGTTTAATAGTGTTAAGCGCTGCTCCACTAGGAGAGCCACAACTCCTCAGCCCTCGGAGACCTTCCAGAACCATCTCCCGTTCGCCTTGTGTGACCAAAACCAAACCCGTTCCCAATCCTGGTTAAACGTATTACACTCATTCAAGTAGCACAGCTGAAATGGTAGTCACTTTCAATTCCCTCCTCTTTCTACCTTATCTGGAACACACAGCCATTTTCCAGCTCTTGTGGTTCTAGCTCCAAATTTGTCTCTGCCTGTTTCACTCCCATCATCCTGCCCTACCCAGGCCTTATCATAGTCTTCCTCCTTCCGGTCACCTGCATGGAACTTCTGCACCTTCCTTCTGGCCCCGCTTCACACTGCCACCAGGCTGACCTTTCTTAGTCCTCATCTGGAAAAAGCTTCAATAGCTCCACACTGGCCACTGAGAGCCGCCCTGTGGTCTTCAAGACCACCGAGACTGTGGAGCCCGTCCCACATGCCCTGCCACAGGCCCAGGGCTCCACGCCGTGCAACGCCCGCAAGGTCCCGCTGCCCCCGTTTCTGCTGCTCTCCCTACGCACACTGTGTTCTCGTATCTGCCCAAAAAAACCCTTCTCAGCCTGCGGGGCCCCGGCCTTTTCCTTCATGGAGCCTCCCCGGATTTCCCTAGTCGGACTTAAAATAACTTTGTGTACCCATTCAAGCTTATCTCTCTATCGTAGAGATGATCTGGGCCTGATTACTGGGCCCAGCAGTGGCTAATTGTTCAGCAAGGTCAGCAGCAGTGCACGGGAAGTGCCACTCTTACCCGCTCGTAACGTTGGGAAACTTACCGAGCTACTTCGCATCGACACAGAAACATTAACACCGATCTCTCAGGGTTATTTTATATATAACCCTGCATGTGTGTGTATATATGTATATATATATATGTGTGTGTATACACACACACACACACACACACACACACACACAGTTTCTGGTGCACAGCAGTTACTCGCTCCTGGAGTTACCGTGACACCTCTCTGAAGACACACATCACTCTGTGAGCTGTCTTCTCCCTCTTCCAACATAAGTCAGCCCACTTTAATTACCCAAATCTTACTTTATACGATTCTTGTATTTGTTGAGAAATAAATGTACTCTAGAATCCCAGACACCAGCACTTTCGGAATAGTGATTTATGTGATATGCATTCTTTTGTGTAATGAAGGCACAGCAGACGTTACAGTTCAGTTCTTTGAATGGATCCGAAAGCTTACCAGAAGTCCCGGCCAGTCACATGACTCCTGCATGTCTTATCTGTAAGATGGATAGAAATACCTGCCGTTTCTTACCTTACAGAGTTGTCCTGAGGTGCACACTGAAAATGTAGCTCTCGGGAGAAAGGCAGTATTCCCACAGATGCTGCAGCAGAACAGCTGTCCTAATATTTGTATTAGAATCAAATGCTCTCAACCGAATCCCTCAGCTTCTTAGTTCAAGCCTGACAGGAGGCTGGAGGTAGTGTGCCCCCTGCTGCTGAACTGTGAATACATCTGGTTGTTGGTTAAAAGGCTAAGAAGGATACTGGAAATAATGCCTCATGCTACTAAAGGTAAAAGCACTAAAATTAAAACCTGTTAAATCTTCGAAAAGGAGGCAACAACTTCAATGCAATAAGAGTGGACTTCCATTCGTCCTGCCAAGAGGAAGGTAAGTAAAAGTTATCCTAATCAGATTTCTGGGTCTTGAAACTTTCTTACGGGCAATTCTCCTTATGGGTTCTTTACCTTCCTGCTCCCTGAGCTCTCGGTGCAGGGGGTTCTGGGGCCCTAGGTCACACACATTCTCCTCTCTCCTTCCCCAGGCAAGACCGGAAATTCCCCTTAATGTCAGAAACTTCTTAATTAACTGGATGTTAGCTGAAATAGATTTCACAAAGTATTAACCTACCAACCATTTAACTTGCAAGCTACTTGTTTCCAGCTCTTAATAAAAGGTTTTGGCGGCCTTTTAAAGGAATGCCATCACAGATAAAGTTTTTTTCTTTCTTTTCTTTTGGGGAAAGAGGTGGTAGTAGTTATAATGGGCAGTCCGATGGATAGAAAACATCTTAGTTCTCACTAAGATAAAGGTATGCATGTCCTCCAAGAGAATTGTTCTCAGTCTTACTTGTTTTTCTATTTGTAAGACTCAGATACACGCCAACCGATCACTCACTGTTAATATGCAACTGACGTGTGTAGAATTAATTCACCTTGATGTGCATCTCTCAGGCTAACAAGAAAGGTCAGCCCAGCATGCTCCCGCAGAGAGCTAACCTCAGCATGGGTCCCCCTGAAAATGCTCCTCAGACCCAGGCGTGGCCTTCTAGGACTCCCAGGATTTCTGCTAGGAATCCAAATCCAACCTTCATTTCCTGGACCGCCAAGGCTCCCAAATGAAGTACTTTCTTGGATTTGGAAACGTACTTTAACTACGCGGCAATGTCTTTGTGCTGACGTCCTGGAATGCATGAATACTATTTCTATTATTTCCACCTCTGGCTCTGAGGTTTCTATTAAAAAAAAAAAGTATCACCACAGCATGCCTTCTCATTTCTTAATGCTGAGTAACTGAGAAAATATATAAAAGATACAAAGTCCACTTGGACCACGAATGCTTCCCATCAAGAGTTGTAAGACTTCATATTGAGAGGGGACTCATGACTTGGAAAATTTTACTTTAAGGTAAAAAGTTACAAGTCTAGGAAGTAACGTGTATGTTAAAGCTTTTGTTTCAGAAACCAGATAAGGCCCATCCTGGCTCCTGGGAAAATAGCTGACTTCCTGGGGAACTGCTAAAGATGACTGCCTGAGGACAACTGGGGGCATCTGGGCCTTTGTGTTCCAGGGAGAGACAGAGGACCACCACCCCTGGGAACAGCTAACTGCCCAGGACAGGAATGTTGCAGCTCCTTTCACCTAATCCTCCACGAATCTCAAAGCCCTCATTGTACCTTATTTACTTTATTATAAAAAGTCTGGCCTGAAAAGAGAGGGCAAGAGGGTCTGTTAGGGTATGAACCCTCCATCTTCTCAGATCACCAGCCATCTGGATAAAGCGCCTGTGAAGATTCAATCGCTGTCATTGCTTATTGGGTTTGGTAGTGACAGGCAGTCTGAACACCAGTATCTTTTCTGGTTACAATCTCAACATTTTTGGAGATTATCTTTCAAATTTAACATTTAAAAGTAGATATACTTTTTAATCTAAAGGAGAATTTAAAAAGTTTTCAAAGAATCAATTTTTCACCAATTCAGTAAACCATTATACCATTAGTCTTTTATTTTTCATTGCAGACATCAGCATTTCACAGAAAAAAATAAAGAACCCCATAATGTTAAATTCCCATTAATTACATTTTCTCCGGATTCTTTTCAGTGTACATAAATATAAACAGTAAATATAATAACTTATGTTCTAACACTTTGAGTTTCATTTAAACATCTTCTATATAATTTTACATATATAAATATTATTTCATGGTTACATAACAGTTTTTGATAGCAATAGCAATATACAAAATGTTACTTATACATTTGCCAATTATTGGTCTTTTAAAAAAAACTTGAATGAATGGAATTACTAGAAATATCTTTATACAAGTAGTTTTTTTCTTTTATCTTCCTGGATATATGCTTCTCAAAGTGAGTTAGACCTATCAAAACATAGATTGGTTATAGAGCTCTTATAATTTTCTAAATAGTCCTTTAAAAAACACTACTAATATAACAATGCTACTGGAATGAGGAAACATGTAGTTGAAAATTTTTTGCTATTAGCATGAATTAGGTCAAAGTTGTTTCGACTTGCATTTTTAATATTAGGGACTCTGGATATCATTCTAAGAATTTAGTTTTATTTGTATTTTCTCATTTGTACCTAACCCTTTAATAAATTTGCCTAGTAGAAAGTAGAAAATTTTATGGATTTGCACCTCCTTTTTGAAAAATACTAAGCATTTAACCCATATATAATGTAAGTAGTTTTTCTAAATCCATTTGTCTTCTTTTTAATATTTCTATTTTTAATTTTTCTCTTAGTTAACCTCACCTACATAATGATTTTCATTGCCATAATGTTTCCTTTGTATCCTTATTGGGATGAGAACTGTAGTGTTTAATTCTAACTCGACACTTAATGTTTTAATTAATCTGGAATGAATTGTTATTATACAATTTGAGTCTAATTTCTTTTTTCATACTGACATCCAGCTAGTCTTTCCACTGGCAGTTATTATGTATTTATTTCTTTCCAGTTGCCTTATTAGTCTTAGACCTTCTACTTAGTACATTTAGAAAGTTTGCTTAATAGCACATTTTAAGAATTTGAGGTATGACTCCCATTTTCCCCCCTAAGTTAAAAAGACATATCTTTCTTTGTTTATTTTTTTAAATAATTTATCACAATTCTGGCAAATTATCTTCTAAAACATCTAGTTGGAATGTTAAGTGGCAGTACAGTAAATCTACCTGCTAATGTTAGCCATTCCCATTCCTTTGGACATTTCATGTACATTAATTTAACCCTCAGAATAATGCCGCAAAGTATTATTTCTATTTTATAGATGAAATAGAAGGTAGGAGTGATTCTCCCAAGATTATACAACTGGTGAGTAGTAAAGTGATGCCTCTAATTTTGGTTTTCCAACTCCCTATTTCCTTCTTTTCCATTATACTGGGATGTAGTTCCTTCAGCCTGCTTCTACATGAGCATCCCAATATTGCTGTATTGGGATGCTTAATTTATCCCAATATTGTTGTATAACGCTTTAAAAATTTTAGCTTGTCACTGAGGAAATCTAGAAATGAATTTTTTAACGATTGTATATTCCGCAACTCCCTGAGTTAGTCTTTTACTGTATGTTTATATATGAAGGTTTCACTAGTTACAAAACCATGCTATAGAAAATATTTGTGCTGCTTTCTTCCCTCATCTTTCCCACTTTGTGAATGCTCATTAAGATTTTATCACAAGCTCCTTCAACCATATATAAATAAAAGTGGTGTCAAGGTGGTTTAATTTCTGATTGAGAAATATTTTCTATATATTTGACTAATAGGAATGTTAGTTCTTGGTTTTAAGAAGTTATTTATCACACTATGAGAAACTAATAAAATCCTTACCAGAGATAATTAAGTCAAAGATGAATGATGTGATTCAGATTTTTAATGTGTATTTTGAATTTTTTACTATTTTGCTCAGTTGAGCATTGGCTTTATAATCCTGAGTTGTAGAAAACAATTACAGGTATACCTCAGAGCTATTGTGGGCTCAGTTACACAATAAAGTGAATATTCCAATGAAGTCAAATTACGTGCATGTTTTGGTTTCTTGGTGCATACAAAAGTTACATTTATGCTATACTGCAGTCCATTAACTGTACACATTATGTCTAAAAACATTTAATTGCTAAAAAAATGCAAGTCCTCCTCTTTTTGCTGATGGAGGGTCTTACTTTCAATTTGTGAAAAAGTAAGATCTACAAAGTGCCTAAAGCAAAGTGCAGTAAAATGAGGTTCGCCTGCACTGTGTTTGTTGTGTATTATTTGACTGTCTCTTCCATTTTGCATTTGTTCAGAATCAGACCTTTTTCAAAATGTTTGACTTCTAGCATTAAGGCCATATTACTTCAAAATGCAAATATGAGTGTATCATCTTTAATGATACATAAATATATTATTTATTCCTTGAGCATTTGAAAAAATACAGTAATAAGCCCATTAGGGTAAGATTCTAAAATTATACTAGGTTACAATATCCCCTAACTTTTAAGGCTTTTTATTGGTTATAACTTTTCTCATTTGATTTGCTTTGCACTCAAGTAGTTTTTTAAACTACCTTCATTTTGGACTAGTTTAACATATATTTTTTTTGTTTCTACTACGTCTAGCTCTAGCATTTTTTGCAACTTCTCCCCTCATGGCTTCTTCTCTCAATTCTTATGAATAATATCCACACTGATTTTTTTTCAGTGGATCTGGGTTACCTTCACCTACATTTTATTTATCATCTTAAATTCTTTTTCATTTTAATGACTTTTAGGTTTATTTCAGACATTTTGGCTGAACTGAAACTTTAGGATCCACCGAATAAAACCACTTTGTTATATTAAAAATATATATAAATATTAATACCAAATTATGGCTTCTCTGCTTCCAATAAGGTGTAAATTACTGAAGTCTTATTTCATTTTCCTCACATACAGAAGAGCAGCAGGACTATTCAGAGCATATTTTTGGCTTCGTACAACTAAATTTTTTATGCCACCGTGTTCAGGTCAAAAGATACATGAAGAAGCATTATTTTGTTAAAAACTTAGCCAAATTCTGTTTCAATAAATACTCAGCTCTAAGCTACATTTTTAATTAGAGAGGAAGGGGGAGAAAGAAACACCCATCAGTTGCCTCTTACATGCACCCTTACCCAGGATGGAACCTTCAGCCTTTTTGGGGTGCAGATGCTCCAACTGACCCACACCGGCCAGGGCTTCCTGGATCTTCACCTTTCTCTGCTTCGATTAAAGCTGAGAGACCAATTTCTGCCAGCCTTTCTTCACCAGCAACACTAGACTGATGTCATGGGCATTTTTCCCCCCCTCGGCACCGCACTCCTCTGACACTTAATGTTGGGCGGAAGACTGAGATCAAGAAAGCCTGGATTCCGATGTCAGCTCTTCCCCTCGCCAGACTCTGAGCAAATTGTGAATTAAGTCTTTATTTTGTCTTTGAAAATGTATTCAGTAACTTCTGCCTCTCAGGGTTGAGAAACCTTAATGAGAGAGCAGGATAAGTGTCCAGGTCACTGTGAAAGCTCACATGCAGAACAAAAACTGGCACCGCAGGGCCCTCTCCCTAGAGGACCACCATTCTCCAACTGAGGGACGCAAAAGGGACTAACAGGGAAGGATGTTTACCTCCTGCGACAGCTCCACAGGATTTTACTGCTGCAGGAACATCAGCTTTCCAACTTCCGGCGGTTCTGGATAAATTATGTATTTCTCCCCTCTGCATAGATAACAGCCAAGAGGCAGAAACAATTATGGGGTGGTTACTCACTGTGTGTGGGATGGGGCACATCGGAAAGGACGTAGTATGTCCTTCTTAGATTCACTCCTCTCAGTTGTAGTTGGTGGTGCTCACTACAGATGCAGAGTCAACAAGGAGGCATGCTTGCCCTCACTGAGAAAGCTCGGAGTCAGCTGCAGATCGAAACCGGACTGCCCTGGTTTCTCCTTAGGAATTTCTGAACAGTCATTCTGAAGTGTCTTTTTCCTGGGGAAAGTTATATTTTCTTTTGGCCTGAGTTACTCTTTGAATATTCTTCTCTTTTAGTTGCCAGAGCAGGGTTCTGCAGAAATTTTCTGAAGTATTAAACCAGGACTAATCTCATGCCCTAGACTGTCTTGGGACCGAACCTCCCATGGGTGAGCTCTTCAACAAGGGACCTCTGGGGACTTTTTTGGATGTAGAAGATTGTGGTGGCAATGTTGCCTCATGGGGTGCAAGGGTCAAGTAGGGGAAAATTCAATAGTAAGACATATAAACATCAGACCTTCACAAATACAGGATCGTGCAAAGCTAATCTTTTAATTAGACAAATGTATTTTATATTGGCATTTGCATTAGTTGCTATTGCTACTGTGTACATACGTTTATATTATATACAAGAGACCCACATGATCCACTGCATGTGGGTTTCATTCACAGGTGGCAGCAACAGTAATAGCTGCAAAGTAAAATACTCCTCAGACATTGTCATTGTAGACAATAACACCTGAAGCTCATTAGCATATATAATACCACCTTCCTTTAAGCACAGTTGCTAATATGGAACCCTCACATAAATACCCAATACTAAAATAAAGCTAACTCTGTTTAGGATTCTGGATCATGGAGTACACGCTGAAACGAACAGTGCAATAACCAATAAGTCAGTTACTGAAAGGTTAATAAAGACACCCAATGGCTGAAATGTCTCAAAGAGAATTAAAGTCTACATCTGCCTACATTCATCGTATAACCACTTCTGATTTCTCATATAAGAAACTGTCCTTTAATGAGAATACCCTGATGCTAGGATGAAGGTCCAAAGTAGCATTTCCAGTTCCCTTCTTCTAATTTTGAAGACTTTCTGTGTTTTTGCTTCCTTCAGAGAGCTCCAGTTTGGCCATTAATACACTATTGGTTCCAGAAGCCTCTGGTTGCTTATCATCACTATCGTAAACAATGTCTTCTGGATTTGGAGGTGGGGGGCAGAATTCTTTACCCGGAAAGATCTCCCGGAAAAGGGTTTCGGCTTGCTTGACCGCATGCTCACTTCCCAGTCCCCAGTCAGGCCCAGAGCAGACATAAACATTGCAAGGTAAGCCATTATATGAGCCCCTGCTGATTCCTGAGGAGTCTCTCATATTAAAATAAAGGGCCCACAAGAGCCTTGGCTTTGTAAGCTCTTCCTTGTCTATTTCTGTTTCAACCCATGGGGTGAACAACTTCTTCGCCACTGGCTCCAGGTCTTCTCTTGCTGTTTTAGAAGATGAACAGGTCAGATGTACCAGATAGGTGTCTTTCATGCATGTCATAGTTGAAGAACACAATTCAGTGACCTGCACGGCACACGTCCCTGGTTCTACTGGAGGCACCATCAAAATGGAAATCTGCTGATCTGACTCTGTCTTCAGTACGGATCGATCTGTAATGAGCACTGCCCTGGAGATCTGCTTATACTGCACGCTCAAGCATGTGTCCTCAGAGAGGTAGCTATCCTCCACAATGAAATGCTGAGCATTTATTCTTTGGCCAAAGTGATCAATAATTGCTTTGCATCTTCCGGATTCTTTGTCGACCACAAGGCACTGTACTTGATGGCGAAGACAATAGATTCCACCAAAAACCGCACACATTCTGCAGAAACACTGGGGAATTTCTCCTTGGCCGTACAAGGGAAACAAAAACGGAGTGTTGCCAAACCGTCCAAGACACCGAAGGAAGTTTTTTGTTGCTTTAAGGCCATCTATTGTGGTGCAGGACGACTCTGTCATCGCGATTGAGTGTAGTATAAAATGTTGGAGGTTGGGGGTGAGTTTTTTCGTAGTTAAGTACTCTGCAAATGAGCACTGTACGAAATCCTGGTATTCATCAGGATGCTGTTCATAGTCTAAACAAAATGTAAGAAACTTCATTAGCATCCTCTTTTCTACCATAGTGAGTTCTTTGCTATTGAAGACATCTGCTCTGGAGCAAGGCACCTGTTCTACTTTTCCTTCTCGAAAAGCAAGAATCCTAGTGACATTTTTAAATTCAGCGTAACGACTAACATTTGACTTGATTAAAAGATCAATCAGCAATCCTTGCGAATACAGCAACTTTGATACCAAGTCAATATTAAACCTCCTGCCTTCTTTAACGATTTGAGAGTAAGTAATCCTGTTTCTCTTTGGCCGATCAGCATTGCTTTCTACTATGGGATTGTTTTCATCTTTATCTCTGTCTGGAACTGTGTGTACACAGGTGTTACCTCCATGGAATTTTTTCTCTTTCGCCTGAGTTTCCTTTGTATCAGTTACTTCTAGTAAGATGTCCCCATCGTTGTCTGGAGTGTCTTTGGCAGGCCTTTTGCAGCTGGTAACGGATGAGTGTGTTTCTGCAGTCAGGCGTGCAGAATCCAAAGGCTTAGTGAGGGTACTAGATGCTCCAAAGGAAGGACTTCCCTGCGAATCATTAATCTCTTCAGTGTTGTCACCCACGTCCTCAGCGGCATAACAAAACACTTCTGTGTGCTGAATGGTTTCATCCCTCCTACGAAGGCAGATGGCTCCTTCCGTTTCCCGGATCAGGTCTTGCCACGCAGCGGTGCTCCCGTCCCTGATGTCACTGCTTTGCCGACACTCTTTCAACCAGGAGAGCAATCCAGAAAAGGTGAAACTAGCCCAGTTTCCTCCATAGTAACTTCTCGCATCAAGATGTAGGACCCTCTGACCACTTCTTGAACAGGCGGCTGCAAGGATGGATTCAGGCAAACCTGTCCCTATAACAACCACATCAAACTCTGTAGGGAGACTGTCCGCCATCCTGGAAGGGAGAGTGTCTGGTGACCACTGCCAGGGAGGGGACTGTGTATGAATCCAGGCTGAGGGCTCAGATGAGGTGTGAATACGCTGCAATAAAATCTCTCCTTGTGATGTTCAGATCACCCCAGAAGTACCGAGCTTGCAGGTCTAGCTGTGCTGGTACCCTTCTTTAGTGTTTTTTTTTTATTTTTTACATGCCAGTAGCATAAAAACTTGATAAAGTACATCTAATCACATCTGAGACTAATAAAATGGATGGGTGGTTTTCATTTCTGCATTTCACCTTAGCAGTAAATGTCAAAATGCATCACGTATGCATTTGTGACTGGAACTTTTCTGTGAAAGAAAATTCAAGAATACAATTGTAAACAACATCAGGAGAAAAGTAATTTCATGCAACAGTAACTACAAAAGCCTCGACTAAAGCAAGTCATTAAGTGCTTTTCCACATAGTTTCTAACTTTTTGGAAATGACAATAGAGATATATTCCCCCAAATCGGGCAATTCGGTAATGGAGAATGGATATAATAATGTCCCAGAATAACAAAGAACTAACATAATTTTGTAACTCTTGACTTTAAGAAAACTGGTATTCGAATAAAACTATACACAACTGTGAGCTTAGGCTGTAAGAGCGTGTGGCTCCTGGGTGTTGATGGCAACAAACTACGCAGCATGTGCACGTTGCCGTGACCAGGAATATCACCAGAAATAAAGTACGCAGAACATGCACGTTGCCACAACTAGGAATATCTCCGGGCCCAAACCAGTCTGTGGGTCATTGTAGGGGAGCTGGACAGAAGCTGTCCACTCCCTGCCATCCTTAGGATCTCACGGTAGAAACATGAGACTATCTCAACGGCATTAACCAGATTGTTACAAAACCATTGATTCAGTAAAACAGCTGGCATTTTACGATATTTAAGTGCATAAAAGAATAGGCCCACTGAAGGGAAAATGTATTTAGAACTAATCTATATACAATATGAATGTACATATGCACGTGTTTTTTAGGTGTAAGTTAAAAAACCCTGGGTTCATATGCTAAAACATCTTAACATAAATAACACCTACTTCTAACATGGGAATGGGGTGGCCTGTGTTTTTCCAGACTCTGGCTCTGTGACCCAGCAGCTCTGTCTCATGAGATAAAGGTCTAAATATCTTCTGCCTAGATCAACTTGTTGTTTGGTATTCTTGTTTTTGAAGGGGCAAAGGCTCTCCTGTTAACTTCGGGCATAACAGCGGTTATATTCCACGTGTAGAACACGTGTGTGGTGCTGGGGGTGGGAGATGGGCAACCAAAGGGGTGAAAAACTCGCTCACCTAGAAGTTTTCAGGTTAAAGAACGACATATACTAGGGGAGTCTGTTATCATTCATCATTGCCCAGCAAGAGTGAGAGCTCTTTCAGCTCTGATTTTTCCCAGTATTACACCTACTAAAATCTATACCTGTGCAATCCGGGTCTGCCTGGACTAATGTGACTAGTTACCTTGGATATCTGTAAAACAAGCCATTCAATCGGAACTGAAATCAACTAGCTCACAGAACTGACCAGCTTCAGAGACATGACTATCTTAACAGTCCTGTCGAGTCAAAGCCTCTGCCTCAAGAATATCAGGAAATCCACTTCTTCCCAGCATTCCCTGAGAAACAAGGAATTGAGCACAGAACAAGGTGGCTGCCTGACCCTCTTGAGCAGGTATCTGTGTGTCTCAATTACTGAGAATGCCTTCTTCCAGTAGAGGGCGCACAAGAAGACAAAACCCATCAGGGTCTATGAAGAAGTATAAGCACAATAGGTGCTTATCCTTGAATAAGACATAGCTGAGGATGGGAGTAAGACACGAGGATATGAGACATAAATGCTAAAACCAGGCAACTTCCAACCCACAACTGTCAAAGGAGTCCTCAAAAATACACAGCAAGTAGGACAAGACCACCTTAAAGATGATTTAGCTCTGTTATCCCGGAATAGAGATGGTATGAAGGCTGAAGAGATGGCAAAGTCCACATAACGGCTTGGCCATGGGGTCAAAGGAGGACTCACTCTCATGCCCTCAGGCTGGTGGTCTTTCCAAATGATAGGGCAGCCTCTCTGGAAGTCTCAGAAGCAAGTGGCCACCTTCAGCATTTTTGATGACCCCCGCTTCATTGCTCCGTGATTGGTTAGTTCTTGCTCAGAGCAGACAAAGGGAAACTCACCCTGCCTTTCCCCATCCTTAACTCTCATCTAGAAGCACAACCCTTAGTACTGACTCCAGGCAAAGAAATTCTTAATCTCTGCTAACAGTGTTTTAAGCTCCATCTTAACCCTGCTGTTGATTTATTTCCCGGCACTTAAATTAATCCCTTAATTTAACCCAGAGTCTTCACATCTAATTCACAAAGAGTGAGAGTCACTGTTGAAAACACTAATTAAATGTCCACAGAAATCAAGCAGTCATTGGGAAAAATGACATGTGGTGAACATTTCTAGCAGCCTTGGAATGGCTGTCCCTTCTGACGGGGACGGGGTCCAAGCAGGGATGACACAGAGTGAAAAGGGACAGCAGAAACAAGGAGACACTGCAGGGAGGATGAGGAAGTGACTGAATGCTGCAACTAACAAAGAAGTCAATCAGCCCTTGTTTCTACTCCCAGCGCAGAGTTGGGCTAGAAATAGAATTTCCTAGCACAGAAAAAGCACTGCTTGTAAACAAGAAATTTTGTGTCTGGGACCAAATACTTATTGCTCATCCTAGGAAGTGTCACTGATGACACTTTAGGCTTCAGCTTAAGTCACCCTTGCTAAAGCTTAGCCATTAGATGGTAATGGAAAAAATATATAATAAAGATTAAATGAAAAAACAAAAAATAAAAAACAAACTTTGCCTTGCCTAACAAATTTCCTGATAGGTATTTTAAATGAATATAAAGAGAGTAATGTACACAACCATCTATACTACCACCTACATACACTTACAGACCCTCCCAAGTTCCAACTCTGTACAGGTGAAATTCTCAGATTAATGCTGACTGGGGAGAAAAGATAGTATTAGAATAATAGAATCACTGAAGAAATCAAATAGATAGAATCATGATTTCTATGACTGTTTCCTTTGAAATATCAAAAAATGAAACATAACAAACACAATATTTCAGTTTGTCAAAGGAAGAGATTGGTGAATAAGAAAATTTTGATAACACTACAAAGATTTTGTTCTCCAAAAAACCCTGCCAACTTCACCCAGCCTTTCAGAAAAGCCAGCTTTGGTGGTGGGACTCCAAGAGCCTGGTGTACTCCAGGGAGGCGAGGCTGGGTGGATGCAAGGGACACCGTTAGGGATGAAGACACTGAACATGAAGTTGATTCAGATGTTCAAGAGTTTCCTCCTGTCTGTCTCACTGAATGCAACCAAACTCCTGGGCAGAGAACTTAGAGAAGCTGGTAGCAGGGCGATTGGAGAAGGAAATCAGAATGTTTAGTACCACTGAACCTATGGCCATAAAACAAATCTTCATAAATGTATAACAGTAGTGTGTTCTAATTATAATGGGATTAAATTACAAATCAATAACAAATAGGTGGACAGCCTCCTAACTCTTGAAAATGAAAAAACATGCTTCCTGATGGGTCAGAGAAGAAATCTCAAGGGAAAATGGAACTATTTTGAATTGAACAACAATTAAAATGACATTGCTCACTTAGAAGAGAACAATCAAATAGCAATCTCAGCTTCCATTTTAAGAAATGAGAAAATGATAGCACCAATTCTACACAAACTTTCTAGAAAACTGAAAAGGAATGAACATTTGCATGTTATTCCAGCATTACCCTGATGACAAAGCCAGAAAAGAACATTAAAAGAAAATTAAGGCCAATATCCCTCATGAATGTAGAAGCAAAAATTCTTAACCAAGTTTCTGCAAATAGATTCCAACAACATATAGAAAGAAAAATACACCATAACTAAGTAGAGTTTATCCCCCAAATTCAAGATCTGTTTAATATTCAAAGCTAAATGTAATTCAGCATGAGATCATCTCAAAAGATACAGGAAATGCTTTTGACAAAATCTCTTTATAAAACTCTCAGCCAGCTAGGAAGAGAAGGGAACTCCTCAACCTGATAATGGACATCTATGGAAACCTATATATAAGCCAAAACAATCTTGAAAAAGAACGAAGAGGACTCACACTTCCTGATATCAAAACTTACTACAAAACTACAGTAAATAAAACAGTGTGGTACTTTCATAAGGATGGCTGTATAGATCAAAAGAAGAGAATACAAAATCCAGAAATAAACACTCATATGTCTCATCAATTGATTTCTGACAAGGGTGCCCAAAGCATTCAAGGATGAAATGATAGTCTTTTCAGCAAATGATGCTGGGAAAACTGGATATCTGTATACAAAAGAATGACATTGGCCCCTTACTGTCCAGCATATATAAAAATTAATTCAAAATGGATCAAACCTATGTTACAAACAGTGGATCTGTCTTTATCAAAGTGTACCAATATTTTCCTGGAGTAAAAAACTTCTATAAAATTACTAGGGCAAAGAATTTATGATATTTTTAATTGAGCTAAACAATTACCTTCAAAAGAAAAAAAATAAAAAAAAATCTCACATTGTATTAAATTGTATTCTTACTAACAGAACTCTAGAGAACTTCTATTTTCCCTCATCTCTTTACAATTTTCCCAGCCTGACAGATAAAATGTGGCATCTGAAAAAAAAATCTATCTCACTACTATTCTAACTTTCATTTTCTCAATCCCCCTGAGCTTTTTTCATATTTATTAGCTGCTGGTATTTCTTATTCTCTGAATAACCCATCATATAATTTGCTCAGCTTCCCACAGGACTGCTTTGCATTATTTGTCGGTCTATAGAGACTGTGCATGTGCACCAGACATTAGGGGTCTGTTATGCATGTATTAGGAATACTCACCCCAATCTGTCCTTTGTCTTTTAATTTTTAACTGTCCCTCATCTTGCAGAAGTTTTTGCTCCTAGGAACTCAAATCTGTCATATGTATTCCTTTTAAAAAATTATTGTGAGTTTTTTTCAATGTTTAGAACTTTATATATTAAATTTTTAATCCATCTTGTGTTTATTTTTGTGTTCTGTGTGAGAACAGTTCTGTGGGGCGAGAGAGAACTTGGAAAATTACATTATTCCAAGTGAGCTAAAATGCCCAAAAGCCACATTTTTAATTCTGTCTTTCCTCCAACTAATTTGAAGCATCGTCTGTATAACATATCAAATCCTCATTTATGCATGGATGTGGCCCACAAGACTCCTGCCAAAAATCATACCATTTTGGTTGCTATAGATTTGTAATGTATTTTGCTGTGTGATAATGCAAGTATTTTCTCCTCATTCTTTAACATTTTTCTTAACTATTCTTGTTATTTTTCAATTTTACCAATAAACTTAAGAATGAATTTCCATGAAAAAAAAAAACCCTGCCAAGATAAAACAGTAATAAAGTATCAATGGAATTTAGGATTTTTTAAAAAAGAAACCATAATACTTGAGAAGTACATATTTCTATTTCAAATCATACACATGAAAACCTAGAGCGCACACAAAAAGATCACTTCTTTCTCAAGCTTAGAAAATCACATTTTCAATGATATGCTGGGTGGAACACCCTTCAAAATGTCAAGTCCCAGTAAGACTTAAATCTACTCTAAGGATGAAATGTATTGTTGAAATATATCTTCAATTAACAATCAAGTTTGACTTTAATGAAACGGACTGGCTGCACAGGTAAATTTTTGTTCATTTGGGTTGGGATTCTCTGCGCCTTTTTAAATCTCACCTTAGATTTTGGTGTGTTGGAACCTATGAGGAGAAAAATATAGTAAAAACAGCTTACAGGGCACATGCCTATTTGCATCCTAAGGATATGAATGAAAGATCTCACTTCCTAGGGAGCAGTCGAATTGTTTACAACTGCTAGTGAACAAAATTTTTTTTAAATTACACACTGCTGCTATGAGGTTTCTATCCTCTCATTTTCAGAAACAAATAGAATATGAATTAAACCTCATGACACTCTCCAACTTCCACCAGTTCATCACTTTTGTTTTTGAATACCTGATTCTATCCCTCATTTCTTTCCTCAAATCATAGGAGGAGGTGAAAACCGAAATGGGATGAGCTGGACAGCGGCTGGACAGAGCTGTGGTGGAGCTGGAGCTGATGATGGGTTGGGGTGTCGGGTTGGCATGCATGGAGATGAGCACCACAAAGTCGAGGTCTGCGTGGGGCAGGAAGAGGTGAAGGAAGGAAGGAACACCAAGCAGCCTGGGGGCCTGGGGCGCGTCCAGGGCAGAGCGCGGGCGGGTAGGGCGAGTAGGAACGATGAGGCCGAGCGCCGATGGGGCGAGAGTGGGCGAGGGTGCGTGGCAGGAGGATGCACAGATCGGATAGCAATGCAGGGACGGGTAAGTTTGCAGAGGAGAGGCGGGTGCTTTCTCCTCCGAACCCAACTCACCGAAGAGGCTGCTGGTAAACCCGTCCCACGTGCAGCCCGCGCTGTCCCGGACCCAGCCGTTCCTCAGGCAGGACACGAAGTTAAAGGTGACCCCGAAGACGGACAGCAGCAGATCACTGAGGCTGATGTTGACCAGGAAGAGGTAGGTGGGAGTGCGGAGCCGCTGGAACTTGTAGTAGAGGACGAGCACCAGCAGGTTATTGCCGATGCCCAACAGAGCGATGGAGCCAAGCAGCAGTGCCAGGCGCTCGTAGGTGCTCGTGGTGAACAGCGGCGCGGGGCTCTGCGTCCCCGCCGGCCCCGGCCCCTCCGCGCCCGCCGCTCCGCCGCCCTCCCAGAAACCGTGGCCGCCACTGCGGTTACCCGAGTACATGGCCCGGCGACGGCAGGCTCGGCGGGTGGAGGCGCTCAGCTTTCTGCGTTGCCCGGGATGGGACGAGGAACCCACCGCCTACTCGGGCAGTGTATCCGCAGGACCAGCTCTTCCGCCCGGTGTGCCCCGTAGCCACGCCCCCTCCTCCTGCCGTCACCCAACACACTGGTAGCCACGCCCCCTGCGTACCCTCGTAGCCACACCTCTTCCCCGGAGGTCGAGTTCTCGCTGGAATTGCGTCCTCCTGAACCCATTGTCAGGACCTGGTTTCCACGCTCTCCCTGTTGCTCGCGTCCTCAGGTCCCCTCCACCCCCTACCCCAGTGTGCTCCCGGGAGCATAAAGCACCAGGGAGACAAATCAACCGCGATGGCATCTCACACGCTGTCTCCCCTCACCCCTCTTGCAAGGCCCAAGTCCATTCACTCTCGCATTCACTCTCATTCCCTCGTTCGTAAATGTCCCCTGGCGCGTGCGCCCACTCTGAGCTAGGAGAAGGCTAGATGAAGGACTCCATCGTCGGCTTCTCCCTTTTCCAGGCAGCCGGCCCACAATACCGCTCCCGCGTGACGCGTCCTGGAAGCCCCGAGGCCGGAGCCCAAGCCGCTGGCCTTGTTCTTCGGCCCTCCGGCCCCGAAGCGGCGGTAGAGACATCCTGTTAGTGAGCGCACTGCCGCAGCCCACCCAGGCGGCGACTGCCAGACGGTGGCCTCCAAGCTTCATCCTAAATCTAGCAGCTGCGGAGAGGCAGGTGCTATATTTAGAGCAGCACGAATTTTCCACTTGGCCTTTCCCCATTAGCGGTGAGGATATAGTCCGAGTCAAATATAGATCGTGAACGTGAGCACAGAGCAAGGGCAGCTCCCGAGTCTCTGCGTGGTCGTCCCGAACAAGGACGCACAGGAGGACTGCACTACTGAGCCAGACCTGCAGGCTGTCCTGGGCATTGGTGACTAGCATGGTGTGGAAAGGCAAAAGGAAGTGCCTTCCAGGAGGGGTTTACCCCTCCCAGCTGTGTTTAAAAGACTAGTAAAGGATGATTAGCTTCCATGAACTGTCATTCCAAATTCCCATAGATAGAAACTAATCTTTTAGGAAGTCAGCTGTTCACCCGGGTGCCCCGAGCAAGAAGTGAGGACCAGTGCGCTCTGCTCCCAAAACCTTCATTTTAATCTTTCCAGCCTGGATTTGTCATCTGTGAGACTATCTAACACACCCACCTCTTTAAAAATCTCATTTGATTTTATATTTTAGATTTATGCAACCTTTTAACAGGTCCGCTGTGTTTTCAACATTGTGTCAAGTCCACAGTAAGTTCTCAATAAATATTAATTAATAAGTCATTAATTTAGTTGAATGAATAAATAAAGAAGGAGCTGCTATATTTTTTCCTAAAATATTCACTCATTCATTCATTCGTTCATTCACCATTTTTTGGTGCTGAGTTCCTGCCCTCCTAAAGCTTAAATTCCGGTGCTGCTGGGAGAGCACATGAAGTTGTCATTTTGTGCAGGGTGGTCCGCAATAACCTCACAGTAGACACAGGGTACCTGTTACTGGGGTGGGAGAACCCTGCACGTGTTCGAGGAAAAACAAGGAGGCCAATGCGGCTGGAGTGGCGTGAGAATTAAGAAATGAGGCCAGAGAGGTGGGTGACTAGTGATTGGCCAGATCATATGGGGCCTTGGCCATTTTAACAAAAGGACTTTGGCTTTTTCTCTAGAGTAAAAGCCCAGGACAACCACCATGTGACAGTAATAGCAACAGTGAAGCAAAAGAGGAAAAAGATATTTTTGGCAAGTATGTAAGAATTTTGATATCATCGTTTTTACAATACTGTTAAGGATAGTTATTGTACTAGAGAGAGATAAACAACGTTACCACAAATATCAGTTATCTTGTCAATAATGATATATGTTTTTATATATTTTCAGAATTACATAATGATAGGATGACGGCAAATACTACAACCTAAAAAGCAAGTACAATACGGGCATAAGGACAGACATACAGACCAGTGGAACTGAATAGAGTCATTATAGAAGCCTTCACATATATGGGCAGTTGATTTTCTTTATTTTTTATATTTTTTAATCCTCACCCAATGACAGCCTTTATTGATTTTAGGGAGAGAGGAAGGGAAAGATGATGGGGACACCGGCCTGCAGTGTACGCGTCATTATGGACGGAATGAGACATTCACACAGACTGCTGAGCCTGGTGGAGGAAAAGGGCACAGCATGGCTTTTGCTCTCAAGGGGAGCAAAAGCCTCGGCTCTTGTATTCACCGGCCTTTGCTGGGTTTCTGGGCACATTACATGATGATCCTTATTTACTATGCACAGGTTGTTTTAGGTGGTTACCTTTTACAGAAAACAAAAGAGCCAGTGGCACTAATCACATCACAGAAGAGGGGTATTTGCAAAAAAAGGGCAACAGTGGTTGAACTGGTTGGTTACACTGGTCCTAGGAAGGTTTAGCATGGATTTTAGGAAGTTACTTTGCAATAAATGTTTGCCCCGGCGGGGGGGGGAGGGCAGCTGGGCCCAAACTATGCAGAATGGTCTCCTACAGAAAGAGAGAGAGGAGAGAGAGGGAGGCTGATGCCAGAAACATCAATTGGTTGCCTCCCACACCTGCCCCAACTGGGGATCAAACCCACAAAAAAGCACAGGTGTGCGCCCCACCCAGGCCTCCAACCTTTTGGTGTACGGACAACACTTAACCAACTGAGCCATACCAGCCAAGGCTCAGCTGGTTTTCAGTAGGGTGCCAAGACTATTCCATGGGGAAGAGACAATCTTTTCAACAAACAGTGCCAGGAAAACTGTATACCCACATGTAAAACAATGAAGTTGGACCCTAATCTTACATCACATTTAAAAACTAACCCCAAAAGATCAAAAAGCTAAACTTAAACACTAGAATTATGAAACTCTCAGAAAAAAACAGAGGAGAAAAAATCTTCATGACATTGGATTTGGCAATGATTTCTTGGATATGACACCAAAGACACAGGCTCTAAAAGAAAAAATAAACTGGACTTTCTTAAAATTAGAACTTTCGTGCATCAAAAAATACTCTCAGGAGAATGAAAAGACAACCCATAACGTGGGAGAAAATTTTTGAAAATCATGCATCTGGTAAAGGATTCATATCCAAACTATATCAAGAACTTCCACAACTCATCAACACAAACAATCCAATTCAAAAATGGGCAAAGGATCTAAGTAAACATTTTTATAAAAAGGTACAAATGGCTAATAGGCACATGAAAAGATGGTCAATATTATTTGTCATTAGGGAAATGCAAATCAAAACTAAAATCAAATACTACTTCATAACTACTAGGATGGCTGTTATCAAAAATTTTAAAAATAAAAACAAAAACAGAAAATAACAAGGGTTGATGAAGATGTGGATAAATTAGAACCCTGGCATACTGCTGGTAGGGATATAAAATGTTTCCACTACAGAAAACAGCTTAGCAGTTGCTCAAAAAGTTAAGAATAAAATTTTCATATGATCCAGCAATTCTGCTGCTAGGTATATACCAAAAGAAATTCAAAGCTGGGACTCAAATAAATATTTGCTGGTCAATGTTCATAACAACATTATCCACAATGGCCAAAAGATGGGAAAAATCCAAATATCCATCAAAAGATCAATGGATAAATAAAATGTGACATATACATACCATGGAATATTATTCAGTTACAGAAAGAATGAAATTCTAGTACATGCTACAACAGGGATAAACCTTGAAAACATTATGCTACATGAAATAAGCCAGACACACAAGAAAAAATAGTGTAAAATACCACTTAAATAAGGGTACCTAAAATAGGCAAACTCATGGAGACAGAAAGTAAAATAATAGTTACCAAGAACTGGGGGGAGGAAGGGATGGGGCCTTAGTGGTTATTGGGTACAGAGCTTTCAGGTTTGAGAGGGTGCAGAAGATCTGAAAATAAATAGCAGTGATAACTATATACTGTCATGAATAAACTTAATGCCACTGAATTGTACACTTAAAGTGGTATATAATGGTAAATTGTACATTATGTCTATTTTTACTATAAAAAAAGTGCATGCATTTGTCTTTCTTTGACTTATTTCACTTAGCACAATACCCTGTGCATTCGTCTATGGGGTCACAGATGGTAAAATGCCATATGATTTAGCTTAGATGTGAAATCTAAAGAACAAAATAAACACACAAAATTGAAACAGACTCACAGACACAGAGAACAGACTCGTGGTTGCCAGAGGGGACTGGCGGGGGGGGGGAGGGCTGGGTGAAAGAGGCGAAGGCATTGAGAAGTAAAGATTGGTAGCTACAGATTAGTCATGGGGATGCAGAGCACAGCACAGGAAACAAAGTCAGTAATATTACAATATGTGTGGTGCCAGGTGGGTACTGGAAATATTGGGGGATCACTTTGTAAAGTATAGGATTGTCTAACCGCGATGCTATAGACATAATACTAATAGAAAATTAATAATATTAAATGTAAACAGCAATTAAAAATAAAATTGGAAGTTCTTTTCACACAAAAACTGTACATGCAAACTGTGCCTGCGTGTCCCTTTTCAGAGTAGAAGAAGTAAACAGATACGATCATGTTCTGAGTAAGCTAGACTCCGTGGTCCAAGCAAAAAGTTACTTTATTCTCTCTCCCACTGCTCATTTCAAATGTCTTCTTTCTACCTGTTCTTTACTGAGTTTGGATGACATTCAATCGTCAGTCATCAAAGCCTGTCTGTTCACTTTCAGTTAATGTAACCCCTGCACTGATACCCACTGTAGAGAAATAGTGAGCTCTGGGCACGCTGGGGACAAAGAGCACTTACAGGCTTCCTGATTGGGGCGGGAGGGGGAATTAAAACAAGTTGTGTTCAAAGGCCAGGGATTGGAATAGCTTATAATCGGCAACCAAATTTGATTAAATTAGACTTCTTAGCAACACTAGAAGCAAAAAGGCAATGTAAGAATAGCTTCAAAATATTGAAAGAAAGCAATTTCCAACATAGAATTCTACATGCAACCAAATATGAGTCGAATTGCAAAAAGAGAATAAGGATGTTTTCAGACATGCAAGGTACCAACAATATGTTTTCCAGGTACTACTGGATGTGAATCATCAAATCGAGGGAACAAACTGTAGAAGAGGATGTAGACCACAGGTAGCAAACACAAGGCCCACGGGCTGAGGCCTGGAACCTTGTTTGTACCTGGCAGCAGCACTGAACTTTCATTTAACTGTTAAGGAGTAGTTACATTTATACAGTCCTAAAGTTACATTTGGCCCTTTGAAGGCAACCACGAGGCTGATGTGGCCCCTGGTGAAAATGAGTTTGACATGAGTTTGACAATGTCTGTGACCTAGACTATAGGAGAGAAGATAAGGACTTTCCCAAAATGATGGCAAAGAAAGAGAGCAGTGTGACAGCTAGGCCCTGACATACAGAAGGTATCAGTCAGGAATGCCACTCAAGGGACATGTGGACTAGCATTACCAAGATGCCTTCTGCTCTTGGATCATGTTTCTATCTTGAAAATGCCTGCATGAGCACGGCCCAGATTCCACCCAGTCCCTGGTCAGCCAGCATCCTGCCCCACTGAAGCTGCTGTCCCCTCTCTGTGACCTGTCACATCCTTCGACTGACAATCCTCATTTCACCCCAGAAAAGTTCTGCACTGACCTACTTACCCTGAGAACTGGACTTGGCTGCAGTGAACCTGGAAGCAGAAAATGCAGAGCTACCTATTCTCCTGATAATTTCTACCAGGTGGCCAGTGCCTGGGCCATGTCACAGACCTGCTGAGGATCTGACCCCAGGCCTGTGTCATGGCCTTTCCCACTGCTTTTCACACGTGGCTCTGACAGGACTCACAGAAGCTGAAGCCATCGTAACCATTCCAAATATTTTTTTCCCTAGAGCCTTTTTCTAACAGGGGGACCACTAACATCTTTTCCTTACACAGCTATGCATGTTTGCTTCTGAATTCTTACATCAATCATCCACCACAATCATTTATATGTAAGAAGTAATTGACAAAATTAAAAATATTTGAGAAAGATAGAAAGAAAAGAAAAAAGAGTTCTATTTGAAAAGGACATCAGAATCATGGCTACAGCTTTATGAAATGGTGATTGATATTTAAATAATGTGCATAGTGCTATTGAAACTGCATATAGTTACGAAAGTATGTGACCTCGGCCTAGAAGGTGGTCTTTGAAAAAGCAATAGTTTTGTAAGAAAGGTAGGAATATTGCTGATTACACTGGTGATTCTTTAAATTGGTGGTTTTATAATTTTTGCAGTTAGGAAAATAGTACAGATGTATCCTGTTGCTCTATAAATAGCCATAATAGCTGTGAATCGTGCCAGCATGTGCTTTTAAGATGTCCACAAAAGCTGGTGCCGTAGCATGCATCTGTACCTGCTGTCCCTTCATGCCCTCCTGCCACTCTCTTTAATCCACTGTACCACCGAGATGGCTTTTCTTAAGGTCACCATCTGCCACATTCCAATGCTTAATTTTCAGCCCTCATCTGATGTAGCTCATCAGTGCTATTTGGCACAGTTCACCACTCCTTTGTATGTTAATGCTTAGCTGTAAATATTTCAATATGTAGCTCTAAAATAGAATATCAGATATGCAGCAATATAATATAAATGACAATGATCACATCTACAATGATAAATAGTGATTTCTCAATATCAGCAAATATCTTGTTGGGGTTCCAATTGTCTCATAAGTGTGATTATTTTTCATTGTGGTTGAGCAAGGCTCTAAATAAAGTCCACCCATGATTGGTCAGTGTGTCTTTAAAGCTTATTTAAATCTGTATGTCCCTGCTCCTTCTTTTTTCTTCCTATGCAATTTTTTTATTGAATAAACAGAATGGCCCCCAAGTACACCCTTTCTTTTCAAAACACATCTCTTTTCGTGGTTTGTGAGCTACAACTTTCTCTTGGCTCCTCCTACCTCACTAGCCACGCCCCTTAGTCTCTGTCCCTGGCATTTCCAGAGCATCCTGACCTGAACACTGGCAGGTTCCGGGTTCAGTCCTCAGCTTTCTTTCTTCTTCACCTACACGGATCCCATGTGATCTCGTCCAGTCCAATGGCTTTAAATATCATCCAAATGGTGATGATTCTCCAGCACTCTTTACCATCTGGTTGTTTGCCATCTACAATTGCTTATCTAATAGACATCTCCAACTTAACATCTTCCAGATTGGACTCTTAATTGTCCCTCCACCCAAATCTGCTCCTCCCACCAACTTTCACCCCCAAAGTAAATGAATGACACTTTAACTGTTTTATGAGGCCACAATCATGATTCTCCTTAAGCCTTCTCTGTTCTCACACTCCCTTCTATTCCTGATCAGCAAATCTCATCACCTTCACACGAGCTGACCACCAAGCCCTACTTCCATGACTAGGATCTGAATTACTATCATCTCTTAGTTGGATTATTGAAACTGCCACCTCATTGGTTTCCCTGATTCTACCCCTCCTCCCTGTTAGTTTCTCCTACTCAAAAATGTGCCATCTTCTTCAGGGTAAAAGTCAAAGTCCTCACAACTCCTCTAAGGTTTTCCAGGACCTGGCCCCAGCCCCTGACCTCCTACCTTCCTACCTTTCCCCATCCACATCACCTCATCGGCCAGCCTCTCTGCTGTTTCTCGGCTGTATGACACACATGTTGATTTAAGGAATTTATGTTTTCTGTTCCCTGAAACATCCTTCCACCATTTACACACAGGGCTTATTATCTCCCTTTCCTCTGGTTTGGTCTAAAGGTCTATTAAATGATGCCTTCTCTAAACTCCCTAACCCTTTTACTCTTATTTATCTTCCAACACGCACCGTTACTCTTTGTCTTCATAGTTTGTTTGTCTATTAGACCACTTTACCATTTTAACTGAAAGCCAATGTCCTATAGGAGTAAGAGGCAGTTTTATTCTCTATGGCCTCTGAAAATATCTTCATTTGTGATCAAAATGACAGATGCTGAAATAGGTGTTCATCGTTAGAAGTTCCTGCTTTGGTATCCAGCACAGCTGCAAGAAGGAATGTGAATGTTACTCTCCACAGAATCCTGAGAAAGAAGGCAAAAGGTTTGAGAGGAGACATGGAAAGAAGAAAGCCATGTCCAGTTTCCTTTCTTGGTCTTTTTTACCCGTTCTTCTTCCCTCTCTGGCAGTGTACTCACACACACAACATACACAAACACAATCTGTGGGAAGAGCAACCTCAGCCTCCTCCTAAAAAGAGGAGGATGTTACAGAGGCATTATGATGCAATGGGTGCCATGTGAAGGACACTGGTAACATTATGAGGTCAGAATTGCACTGAAATATTCACCCACATTATATGCACTGAACCTTAGTCAGCAGCCTTGCTGCACCTCATACCCCTACCCACAGAATGGGATTTGAAGATCAGCGGGATGAGACCTAGGCTGACGACTGAGACAGCAGGAAGGCAGTGTGGCAACCTGGAGGGTTTCCAAGTTGACAAATTTGCATTATTTTTTCCTGGGCAGAAATAAACATTCCCTGCATCCCAATGGATATCAGGGAGGAAAAGAGTCTGGATGCTGTGATTCAGACGAAAAATTTCAAGATATCCCTATATGAGTTTGAAAAACTGGTTGAACATGTAGCAGCCCAGAAAAGAGATGAAAGAGCAGGCTTGTTTGTCCCAAAGGAAGGTAAGAGCAGTGATGAAGGGCAGTCTGGTTGGGTCTGCTCATTAGAATGGGGAGATGTTTTAAGCCATCAGAGAGAAGTGACATAGCTTAAAAGCAAAGACACTTAATAGGGAGCCCGAGTCCTCATTCTAACTCAAAATAGCTAAGTGGTCTTGGGGGAATTGTGTTTTTTTTTCCACTTGTCTGAACTTTAATTGTCTCAAGTGTAAAATCAGGGGTTGGATTAAAGGACATCTACGGGTTCTTCTGCAGCACATGTCATTTCATGGCTCACTGGTTGGTCTGGGACTCTGTAGTCCATGAGGGCCACCCTGCCATCTCCTTCCCAACCAGCAGCCCTGTTTTCATTGGCCTCTGCCTGAACACTCTGGTCTCCCATCACATATGGTGATTGCTTTTTGCTTCTCAGGTCTCAGTTTCATCTTTTCCCCATGCTTTTAGGGAGAGCTTCCCTGAGGCCCATCCCGTGCACCAACACTATCTAATGCACTCTACCAGTCCATTTCACAGATTCCTCTTGGTTTCCTTCCTGCCACTTATCATACTGCACATAATGAGTTTCACTTTGTTACTAGGGTATGATATATGTACAGTGAAGCCCCTAAAATGCACTAATTGGACGTATATAGCTCAATAAATTTGGACCTTGGTAAATAAACCTGTAGCTATCTACCAGATTGAAACAAAGAACATCTCTACCATCCCAGAAAGCTTCCTCATGTGCTTTTCAACTTAACACAGAGAGCCAGTCATCTAATATCTATTGCTAGTGGTCTTCCTGTCACAATCTGCAGATATTTATTTGGTGGTTCCCATTCATTTTGTTTCTCCCACTAGAACGTGAATTTCTCGGAAATGAGATCTATCTAGTTCTCTTTTCCCAGTCCAATGTCTAGCTCAGTTCTGACACATTGCAAGTGCTTAACACATTTTTGCATCTAATGCCTTCTTGTCCTTGACTAGGTAGCCATATATCAGTGAATCATCAAGTTAGGCAAAATCTATATTCCAAAAATGGCATGTTTGTGGGTTTTGTGTGTGTTTGTGCACTACAAAGTTGGGAGAAGGAGAAGGTGGGAGAAGGTACAGAAAATAAGTAGCATAGACAGTAGATAGAAAATAGATGGGGGGAGGGTAAGAATAGTAGGGGAAATATAGAATCTAAAGAACTTGAGACATGTATTCATGAAGTAAAGGGGGGGAATGGTGGGGGAGGGGTGTGCAGGGTGAAGGGGAATGGAGGGGGGGAAATAGAATAAATGTGATGGCATAATCAATAAAAAAATGGTAAAAAAAAGAACCAATCAAGGATCACTCTTTGCTCACTCAAGATGAACTCTAGCAGAGACTCCTGATGGGTAAAACTTTTAACAATTAGAAAGAAGTAACTCACCTTTTCATCTTTGTATTCCTGAACAAAAATCCTGAAACAGTTGTGCAACAAAAGCTAAAGAGGAGGTACTAAACTCCAAAGTAAACTATTTTCTTCTGACTTTAGTCAAGTCCCTCATTATATTTCCAATGGGGGAAAATCTCTAAAATGCAGAAAAGTCTGGCTTTTGTAAGTTAAAATGATATAAGCTAGCAAATAGAAAAGACAGCTGGCTCCGGTCAGTGTGGCTCAGTTGGTTGGAGCATCATCCTACAGACCAAGAGGTTTTAGATTCTACCCCAGCTGATGCATACACAGGCAGCAACCAATCAATGTTTCTCTCTCGCATTAATGTTTCTCTCTCCCTAAAATCAATAAGCATATTTTCAAAATTCTTTTTGTAAAAAAAGAATGAAAAGACAGCTGTCAAATACAATATAGTTCTTGGGATTTTATGACAATGTTTTTGCACTTTGTTACAATGCAGATATGATTGATTATGAGAAGTTCTATGGAGCCGTGCAAGATCTCTTTGGTTCAGAAGTGAAGAATCAGGATGTGAAATACTTTTACAGGAAACTTTGCCACAACCCTGATGCACCTACCGACTGGTGTGAGGTAGTCACTTTTTTTGTTTAAATGAAATGCATGCATGTTTTTCTTTGTTTAGAATAAACAATTAAAACGAAGTGTTACTCCTACAGGGGGACATGAACAATGTGGGGGAATGTTTAAATGCCCACACCCTCCAGAGGTGTCCACTGCCCATCACTGAAAGTGGGTAAACCAGAAGGATGTTTAACTGTATTATTAACAAGTAACTCCTAATACTTCTAGACCAAGTTACCAACTGAAAGAACTCTATAGGCTATTAACCACAACCAAGGTCTTAGTGGTCTTCTTTACATACTAAATGAACTATTCCTTTTCAATAATATCAATGTATACCAATTCCAGTGTATCCAAATTCTCAGTATAAGAAAAGGGTGATGATCGACCACCTCTTCCATTTTCTGAGTAATGTTCTCACTGGAACAGTATTGACATAACTCCAGTGTTCTTGGAAGAACATGTAGAAGAAGCATGTTTGGTTGTTAAAGTGGATGATGGAAGTGGAGAGAAAATGCCTTGTCTCCTTGTCATTTAAAAAGGCTAAATAGCACTGAGTTGAATGAAGATAAAATGTCGAGGAATTATAGGCCACTATTACTTATGACTATGAATGCTTAAGTTTTGAATGAAATGTTAACGAGTTGAACCCAGCAGTGCATTACAAAGTCATTTCTGGAATACCACATTTATGCACCAAAAATCATGAATTCTGGTTGCCAAGCTAACTTTCTTTTGTTCTTTCCTTTCCTTCTTCCTTTCATGACATGATCCGGTTAAATTTCATGGGTCCCTATAAATCATATGCAAGTTTAATAGAAAACCTTGGGCTGGCTGTCTGACACATCGTATGTATTTGAAGACTACCTTGATGTTTGAAAAGAATAGTGCAGAAAGGTCCCTCTTTTATTTTTCTATCACTTTCCTCACAAACTATCTGTGCCAAGGCTCCTAAGAGGCATTTCTATTTCCAGTTGGGTGACCTAACCTTTCTGGGCTTCAGATCCATCATCAGTAAAATGGAAACACATTACTGGAAGACTAGCTTTTTTAGTGTGATTTAACTGCACTTTTTATCAGCCAATAGTAATCTCATCAGGTAATGAGAACTAGGTTGACTCTTTTAAAGTCAGGCACAAACCTGATTCCGAGTATAAATCTCTTTATTGTAGCAATGCCACAAGAAGGTGCACTTTCTTTCTTTAGATTTTAGGTACAAATGCACTTGGGAAAATTGATATTTATAGAATAAGGCAACCTGAGAACTCAACTAAAACATCCCCAAGACCTGCCCCTTTTATTTATAATGAGAAAAATTAGATGTAAAGAGATTCAAAGAAATGTGACTGTCTCAAATTTATGAAGCTAGTTAGTGGATAGTTCTGGTACAGATACAATATACTGTGGCTACAAATCCATGTTAACCTAGTTTCCAGTGGGAAGCTCATGAAAACACTCATATTAATTAAAAAACACTCACATTAATTGTATGCCTGTTTGGCATACAACAAACACCATGTGGGGTGCCTATGACTGTGGGTCCCCAAAAGTGAATTTCAAGTGAATTAGCACAACTCTAAAACTATATTTGCTCCAGGGTTAAAAACAAGTTGCATAAGGTTCTGGTTCCCTTCTACCAGCTTTTCATTTTCTTGTAGTGTTCTACATTGAACATGCGTTCCTTACGCAATCCCCAAAATAAGTGTACTAAAAAAGTGAACCACTTAATAGTCATAAAATTTGACTATTAATAGTTAAATCATTAACAGTCATAAAATGCTCCAAGCATGTCACAAGTACAATTACTAGACTGAAATTTTAACTGGTGAAAGAGAAATTTGAGACCCTTGAGGCTATAAAGCATCATAGGAAATGTTTAAAAACATATTTGTTTGAAACATTTTCTTCCAGTGTAAAACTTTAGTTGTCTTTTAGGAAGGAGTATATCCAGTATAATATCCCTTAAATTTTTCCTCAAGACATTTGAGCAAGTTGATGTTTTTAGTGTCCTTTGGAAGTTATTTCTGGTAAGCACTGTAACTTTGTGTTATTGCAAGTAGAAGTAGCAATTTATTATTTTCATCAGAGCAGATGCCCCACAGGACGGCCCCCGCTTACAAGGAGATGTGACTATAAAATGCACACATGACAGATAGCACGGCTGATGGGTTGCCTGGACCGGCAGCAGAGGTGCCCAGTAGGCAGTTTACTCCTGAGCTCCATTTCCGGTATTGTCCCTACAAAACTGGGAATTATATTCGCTCAAAGGCTGAGGTCGATTGAGTTCCAACCTGGCACTTGGTGCAACCTAAGTACTTCTTAATCTTCCTAATTATTAAATAATCTAATCGTGCACTTCCTCATTCAATTCTTACACCAGAGCATATAGTTCTGGTTATTATTGAGTATCCTTACCTTACAGATGGGGAGAACTCAGACACAGAGAAATGAAGAGTCATGCCTGAGGTCATGTGACTTGCAGGCCCAAGTTAAAAGCTCCCAACATGCCCTGGCTGGTGTAGCTCAATGGATTGAGCATGGGCCCGTGAAGCAAAGGGTCACCAGTCTGATTCTCAGTCAGGGCACATGCCTGGGCTGCAGGCCAGGTCCCCAGTGGGGGACACATGAGAGGCAACCACACATGGATGTTTCTCGCCCACTTTTTCTCCTTCCTTTCCCCTCTCTCTAAAAAATAATAAAATATTTTTTTAAAAAGAGATCCCAACATTGCCCTAAACAAGACCGTTCTCCTAGATTTCTCCCCACATCTGTTCTGAACTCTTAACAGATACTATGCCACCAACTCCATAAAAATTACACCAAAGTGCAAATCAAGTTGCATGCCAGTCAGTAACGTGCTTTTTAAAAACTAATAGGTACTGTACACAGATAGTATCATACCACATGTAGACAGATAGTATCTCTCTCTGTAGACAGATAGAGAACATCGTTTCCAACTAGGGACAACTTGTGCGGTGCAGAGTTCTCCCATCCTTGAGAAACATGTGTATTCAGTAGCACAAAATAGTCATCATTCTCATCATCATTGCCAATCTTTTTAAAATTTATTACCTGTGGTTAAATTGGTTGCTAACATTGGTCGATGTTTGGCTGTATTTTGCCTGAGTCATTTAAATTGTACAGAATTGCATTTATAAAATGAAGACACGATAGGCGGCATTTTAAAGGCACACCCTTCCAAGTACCAATTGAGATGCTGCTGAGAAGGGACTTTTGCAGATGTCATTAAGGTCTAATCAGCTGATCTTAAATTTGAGAGATTATCCTGGGTTATCTGGGTGGACCCAGTGTGGCCACCTGAGTCCTCAATGTCACAGGAAGAAGGGGGTAGTGAGGTTCCTAGTAAGGTGAGGATTTACAGCACCATTGGCTGGTAGGATGAGGATTTGCAGCACCATTGGCTGGTACTGAGGTGGAAGGCCCATGTGTTAGAGCTGACAGCCAGCCAGGAAGCAGAGAGCCTGGGCCAACAGCCAGAATGACCTTGGAAGCAGATTTTCCCCAAGTGTCTGGTAAAAAACACATTTCTACTGACAGCTTGATTTTAGCCCATTGAGACCCATTTTGGACTTGTAACCTGTGGGACTGGTGAGCTATTGTAGTAAATGGGTATTGTTTTAAGCCACTGTGTGATTATTTGTTTCAGTAGCAATAGAAAGCTAATACAGAGGAGAAAGCGTCCAAGTTCAGAAAGACTGTCGGCTGTAACAACCAGCAAAAACCAAAATGTAGCTAAGAGAGGAATCCAAATTCCATAGCAATGGAAGGAGGAACATCACTTACAGAAGGCGGAGGGAGAAAAGCGGGAGAAAATCAGGAGAAAGAGCAAGGATTGCCTGTGGTTGCTGTTGGAAGGATTGCTGTTGGAAGGATTGCTGTATTGCTGTTTTTGAGACGGGAGAGATTTGAATATGCTCAAGGCAAAAGTCAGTGGAAGGGAGAGGCAGAAGAAGGATCCTAAGGGGAAAAGGAGATAAGCTCTGAAGAGATGCAAGGGGGTGAGATGCAGGGAGCAGAAGAAGGATCTGACTGGGGAAGGGAAACACACGTTGCTTTAAAAGGGAAGGAGGTAGGAACGGATGAATCCCAAACCAGGTTGGTTTGCAAGAGTGTGGCCAGAAGAGCTGGGACTCTTGTCTGGAGGCTTCTACTATCCTTTGAAGTAGGAGGTGTGTCAACTGCTGAGAGTGACAAAAAGGTGGAATCCTGTCCGTATCCACGAGAGTGGAGGTTTGACCTTGTTTCTGGGGGCAATAGACTCAGTCACCTAGGGAAGCAAGGGATGGTGGCTGGGTGGCAGTCACCGTAGCATGGGCCAAGGCGCATTTGTATTTCCCCAGCAGGGGGCGTCTTTCCAGGCCACTGAAGTGATGTAAAGGGTTGGAAGATTGCAGAAATCAGTGATCAAGGTGGCTGACCACCAGTTCTAACCGGGGTAAGAAAGGGAGCAAAAGCCCAGGGACCCGATGGATTTGAAGGAGCAGGGACTGGTTTCCTTCTCGGTTCTGATTGGCTGGGGAAATCATACAGATCTTTCCCAGGGAGGGTCCACACACCATCAGCCCGTCACAGTGCCAGCCTGATTTTACATGCGTTATCACATTGAAAAATCATTTTTAAATTCAGGGCTTTGTCTTTTTACTCTTCCAATAAAGAAATTGAGACTTACAAAGGTGAAGGAATTTGTCCAATTTCTGAGTACTGACTAGTTACACAGCCTGAACTCAGATGTCAGATGGTCTGATTCCACAGTGTATGCCCTTCGCCATGAGGCTATCTTGTACACAGCACTAAGGTGCCAATCAATACTTGATAATGCATCGGTGATTGATAACGAGGATGGACTCTGCAGTGACCAAAGCTTCCTGTCCATTCCAACATAGATTTATCAGGAGCACCCTTTATCCCTGTTTCTCAGTCCGTCAAAGAAATCAGATGCTAAATCCAGAAGTTTGGTACCCATAGAAAGCGAGCAGTGGTTACTAAAAAGATGGTAATGGTAAGGTTTTATTGAGTGCTGTTTTCGCCGAGTGATCCTGGCCTTCCCAGCAAATGAAATCTAAGTGTGGGAAATGCCTAGGGCAGTCATGGTGTGTTGTGAGGTTTGGAAGTCGAGGGGTGCAGAGAGGAGGTAGTAACATGTGTGAAGCGACTGAAGGCATGTATGTTAACCTAGTATGAAGTCCTCAAGCATCACAGTAAACGTTATGAAAACAAACTGACATAGAGCTCATTTTGATTTATGTTCAGGCAAGTCATTTTGTGAGTAGATTCTTTCTACCACAAGTGTGGTCTGTCCTGGAAGCTTGTTAGAAATGCAGACTCCCAGGCCCCATCCTGGACGTTCCAAATGAGAATCTGTATTTTCACACACTTCCCACTGATTTGTGTTCATACTACTGTTTCAGAAAAACTCTGCGGTTCATTCTGTCTATTCATTGACAAGCACCAACCAGTCTCAAGCTTATGAGAAATACTGTCATTAACTTATAAGAATTTTATTTCTCCTTATTCATAAGACAATTGAACATCTATCGTAAGCTGTACAGCTTCTTGAATTCCAAAACTCATCCTAAGAAGGATAAAAAAATCTTTCCCAGGAAGATTTATGGAAAATGGGTAGGAAAAGTCATTTGAGAGTGACCAAATTCAAGGTCAAGAGTCTCAGTGGGGAACCCTGTCTGATGAAGCCTGATCTGATTTCCAACCAAGTGCCTGCTCCCAATAGAACTCTCAGTCTGAGCAAGGACACCAGCCCAGCCCATCCACCGGAAAGCAAAAGTCAGTGTCTGCTTAAAAGTCATGCCTCACCAGCACCCGGTGTGTTAAACACATCACACAGCCTTCTCCTCATACGGGGACCCCCTGGCATTTATAAGACAAATTTTGACTGTTAATTCAAGACTTTAAATCCAAACGACATCCAAGCCATTTCTCCACAGGCAATTCTGAAATATCGCTCATGTTTATATGTTTTGTTTGGGATTTTAGATCTTTGGATATTTCTCCTCTGAAGATTCTCTCACTTCCCAGATGAACGAAGAAAATCTGGTTTTCCTTGTTTCTAGAAAACAGCGAGTTGTCATTTCAGGTGATATCGTTAATTTCCCTTCCAAACTAAATAGAGGTTTTGGTATTTTCTCAAAAATCGATATTTCCATAGAATCCCTTTCCTCTCGTTTACTTTATCAGTGACAGTTTTATACACAGTCTCAGAAGGAACAGTACCTGCGGATGGGTTTGATATACTATCATTGCTCTAAAGGACATTGTATGGGGGGGATGGGGGTGGGGGGATCACATTCTACTGACTAGGCACCGATCCCAAGTTAAAATTCTCCACTATGGCACCTCAGTAACGCACGTTCCAGTACCAAATGGAACCAGGTTTCTTTAACTATATTCTTAAAATTGAGTGTTCAAGTTTTCACTAATTAGAACTCGTGTCCAAAAAAATCTCATTCTCGATGATCTCACAGAGGTTTAACTCTAGATGTGACGCTAGGCATTTGGGCCAATCACAGAGGGGTGATGTGTCATGTTAAGAAGTCTCCAGCTGGCCTGCCAGTTATTTTAAAATCTGAGCCTGGGACCAGAAAGCCCACTCCCTCTGCATTGCTGACACTGTGGGTTTTCTTTCCTATCTCCCTCCAGAAAGAGGGTGGTCTGGGAAGAGGAAAGGCAAGCCCTGGAATCTGCCCTTGCTCTCTAGCACTTCACTCCAAATCTGAAACAAGCACCACTGGTCTTTGTTTCAATCTGGTCTTCCTTTAAAAAGCACCTGAACTTATTTCAGCCCTTTGTGACTCAAGCCCACCTGTGTGTTCGACCCTTCCTTAGCTCAACGGGGGCCTCACCAGAGCCCAAGCTCTGGAAATGGAACTCTCATCACAGAACAGAAGCAAGGGGTCTATTCCTGCTGCCCCTGCCCCTGTGCTGAGGAGGGGCTCATGAGCAGGGGCACACGCTGCCCGCATCCTAAGTTAGAACTTTGAAGACATCTGTCTAGATGGCAATTAAGTTCTGTAGTTCATTTATTCACTCAGCAAACACGTGTTAAGGTCTACCACGGGAGCCAGGTAGCTTTCCAAGTGCTGGAGACACGGCAGTGGGAAAACAATCATAAATCATAAATCCTGACCTCATGAAATTTACTTCTAATGAAAAGATAGAGATAATTTAAAAACATCAAATAAGTAATATATATATAATAGGTCAGATGGTATTAAGTGGTACAGGCAAAAAATTAAGTAAGCGGATTGTGGAAAAAGAAGTCGGCTTGGAGATGGGAACATGGTGTGGGGTTTTAAGTAAGGCGGTCAGCGAAGACCACGCTGGGAAGGTGATAATGTCCTGGAGAGAGACAAACCGTACCCTTCAGGTAGGAGTGGAGAAGGTGGAGATGCCGGACAGTATGGGCACATGTCTGGGGCCTTGTGGCCACGCTGGAGACTTCGGAGGAGCTGCACGAGGGCTGCAGACGGAAGGAGGCAGGATCCAAGTTCTACTTCAAGTGTTCATTGTGGCTTCTCTGTAGAAAACAGTCTACAGGGGGGCAAGGCCAGACTCAGAGAGGTTGGGGGTGGGTTGGCGTGAGAACATGTTCTCAGCCTTTTTTCCATCCTTGATCCCCTAAGAAGCCTTGTAGACCTTTTTCTCATCGTGGGCCCTTCTCACGCCAAGCCCCTCCAGCCCCTCCAGCCCCTCCCCTGACCCGGTGGCATTTTAAGACCTCAGATACACTGCCTAGCTGTTTTTGTGCTGCCTGTATATCGGTGTGTTACATACAAAAAAAGTGAGATTCACTCACACACAGCCCAGCACCAACCTGCACCTTCCTGGGGACAGTATTTTCTCTGTTGAAAAAGAGGTGGTTGCTCTCTTTACACAAACCTAACAAAGGACTTTTAGGGACTTTACTGCTGGGAGCTGAACTGAATGTTATGCCGTTACCAGGTAGTAGGAGACGGGATGTGATTAAGTGCATTGTCAAGATCCCCCAGTTGGATTTACTGATAGCAGCTTCTCAGAGAGGATTGATAACCGTCTTCAACAACCAGGTAAGTTCAAATCTTGGACTCCTCCTGCCCTCTCCCTTCCTTCTTTCCTCCCTCCCTTCCTCTCTTTTGTTTTACCTACACATTATGCATATGTATCGGGTACAGCAGAAACCACAAACCACGTTTCAGAGTTACTCCGAAACATCGAACTAAAAATGACGGGGATAAAGAGACTGTGGGACCCCAGAGCAATTGCTGAGAGGTAGTGACTGCATTTTGCATTGTCCTTCCTGTGGCATAGGGCCCACGTGGCATCCACACAATTGAAGGGTGACCCTGGTGACTCCTCAGATACGATCAGAAAAGGGCATGGCCAAGTGATTTTTGTCATAATCCCACCATAGAATACAAGAGTTCTGAACAAGAACCCCAGAGTACAGGGGGAAAAAGGCTCGCATTCCAGTCCTTTTATTTTACCAGCTGGGATGGGAAGCAGGTAACTTACAGAGACAACATACCTTTTCGCGTCCCTTTTTTTTTCACTTCTGTAAAATGAGGACACAACAGGGCCAGTCCTTGTCCCCTCAGAGGGTTGTAGCAAAGGGCAAGCGAGATAATGAACGTGGAAGCAGTTTATGAACGACAAATTCCCATACAAACGTCACGGATTGCTCTCATTAACATCATTCTAAATATATACTTTTGGACTTCTATTTTTAAAATAGGAGAGATTTTAATGGAGACGTGGTCTGCATCATAGGGCACTATGACTATCCAAGGTGAATGTTTGGTCTTAAATAGCAAAAAATTATTTTAGTTACTTGTTTATTTCCAATGAATGGCAAGCTTTATAATAGGGTCCAGAATAGATAATGCCCCCTCTTTATTACAAAGTCTTTTATCACAAAATCATAAGCATGTAATTCTGTAACACAGCAATATCACACTCAAGTACACCATAGGACATTGTAGGTGAAATGTTCAAATGAAAACTATAAATTATTACACCCATATTATTACCCTACCAACCACACTCAAGCAGGCCTTACTTCTGCTGGACTCTGTGTATTCAAATAATCATCAGATGATTAAAATGTCAACAATAATTTTCAGCTCCTCAGTGATCTCCCGTACAGCAGCCAGATGGGGTAAGGAGGGGGCCTTGGGCACCCAGAGGCCCTCCAGTGGGGGACTGAATGTGGCTGTGGGGCCTGGGACCCCCCAGCTGTGCCTGTTACTGATTTCTGCCCAGGCCCTGGTTCCTCCTCATTCAGAACCAGACAACTTCCCTTCCTGGGAAGCTCTGTTGATCCAGTAAGTTAAGACACATAAAGTGCTCAGCATCACTGTAAGTACTAAGAGAATGTTGGTGATTGGGGCTGTGAAGGAACGATGTGGGAACAAAATGAGAACGTCTTTCCTGATGTCTTTCTTCAGTGCATCATTTTTCTTCTCATTTTTACCTTTATTTCCTCAAAAAATAGAACTGAGATGGTATCCACATAAAAACGGGAGAAGGGAAATAATGAACTTCATAAGGAGGCAGTTCAGGACCATGTGAAATAAGCGAGGCAGCATTATCGTATTTGCAGAAATACGTCTCTTTCACACAAACACCCACGCTTGCAGGTGAACACGTATACTCACGAGCATGCAGGCACGTTTCTTATAAGATATTGAAACTGGGGAGAAAAGGTTGCTTAAACACTTATTTTAAGACTTAACACACCAGGGATAAACAGCATTTTGGGTGTTGCATGCCTCACGAATAGAATGACACATTCTATGAGAATAGACATTTCGTAGGTTAGGTCACAGGAAATATGTATTAAAAGGTAGTCAATAATGTTAACTATCTTGTAACAGCTTATTCCACAATTTAGGCTTTATCTGAAGTTGAATAAATACTTTTAAGAATTTTCTTGGTGCTCTCTAGGGGGCTGTATAGTCTAGAGTTTAAATGGCATTAATGAAAATTCCTGCCAAAAAGGCTAGATTTTAAATTTTCAGAAGATCGACTTTTAAGCAGAGAACTTTCATGACCTCTGAAGGTGAAGTTCGAGAAATTTGGCCACCTATAAATAGGTCCCTGGTTTATTTAAAAAAAAAAAAAAGCTTTGTGAACTCTTCAGATGAAAGACATATTGTGATGACCATGACTGGCAATTTTAGTCACCACGCTGATTTAATTTTTCTCCTTGTCACACAATCTATTCCTTCTGGGCAGCCATTTCCTACATATCTAAACATCCAAAAAAACCCAGGTCATTAATATACTTCAACTAAACAATGAACTAACATGCCTTAAGGGTATAAAAGGATGCTTGTGTATATCCTAAGTCTCTAGGGAACCAATCTATGACCCTCAAGTACCAGAGCATAATATTCAATACTTACTGAATGAAATAGGGAGTCCACTGGACAGACTGTTTTTAAGTGTCTCAGTGACTTGAGAGCTAAATCTCAAATAAAGCAATACTTTTCCCACATCAATCTATACTTATAGCAACCTCTTTAGTATTCTTTTAACTGCTCTTACCATTGCTGTTAGTATTATCTTGCATTCCCATTTTGTGCTTTGCTCTGAATCGCTAAAGAATGTGAGGCAGTTGGCAAATAAGAGACAAAATAACTAGTAAGTGTAAGACTGTGGGTAATGCGGTGTCACCAGGCTTTAAGACAAGCCACAGAAGCAGAAACCTAAAGCGAGCAGAGCATTAGCCACAGTGCCGGAAGCTTCAGAGGAAAGAGGGAGGAGAGCGGTGGAAATGACAAGAGAGGTGAAACTGAGGAAATGTGTCATCTAAGCATTCACACCTGTAGTGTAGAGCCAGCTGGGTTTCACTGTTCTCTTCCTTTGTTTACAGATGAGGGTGCAGACCAGCACCAATGTCACGGTAAGTGAATTCCTAATGAAGCCAAAAGTAGGGCTATGGTGGTAGTTCCCCCATAACGAATCCCACTCCCAGCAAAATGCTCTGAGAATCAGATGTTTTCCAAGATTGCAAATTTAGGTTTATTGACTAGAACTAAACCTTGGGCAACAGCAAAGGGGACCCAGGTCTTGCTTTGTGGAATTAATGCATTGCAGAGAATGCTTGGAAGGTGATTACTCTGGGAAGCTTCTATTTAAAACCTTCACCAAGGTTTTTCCCAGCACCCACTACTCAGGAATGTAGAAAATATATGCAATCCAACTGTGAGAACAGCGAGGAAACAGCCAATAGAAATAACTTTAAAATATTCTGTTTAAAATTTGAAAAGAGCATTGCAATTGGAGTGCAATGTTGGAATTTGTTTAATCTGCATTGTTCATTGGAAAAGGAACCCAGTGGCAGATGCCGGGTTACAGGGGCTTGCTCTCAGAATCCCACCATGACTTTACGAGGTGGGGAAATGTTTGACTTTTCCCAGACCCTGCTTGCCTCACACCCAGTGCCCTGAACTGCAGAGAAGGGGTCTGGTTTCTCTCTAAGCCTCTGAGCCTTCATATATTAGAGCTGGAAAAAACTGTTAGATTCTCAGCATGTTTTCCAGAAGGTTCAGGAGCATGCATGAAATGCACCCAGAAGTTTCTGGCCCTCACAAAGGGGAGCTCTTGTCCCTGGTCAGTCGTGGGATGTCCTGGGTACTACTGGTCCTACCCATGCCACCTTGGTGACTTTGGGCAAGACACAAACTCATTGGCCTCAACTTGATCAATGACAGGTGGTGAGGTGAGGTCATTTCTAGCTAAAAATGCTAAGCATGGCTACAGGGCCAGAGACCTTGATTCATCCCGTCTCCCTGTGTGTCCCTATGAGGAAGCAATCTCACCTAAGTGAATAGGGCACGAAGATGGCTGCTCCCCTGGCTGCTCTGTGCACCCACAGCTCCAGCTCCACTGCTCTGCAGCTGGTGGTCTGAGGAACTCGGGGTGAGGGAGAAAGGTTACAACTCCCCCCAAAAAACCTCAGAGAAGAAATATTGGGAGCTTGCGCTTCAAATAAGGGGACTAAATGGGGCCTTTAATGTAACTAACCTATGTTTCAGTGATCATCGCTATATGTCAGGACAAAACACAATATACATCCCCCCTCCAAATCTATGCTTTTCTATCAGGATACCTCCTGGATTACAGGGTGCGATTACCTGCCACAGCTGAAACGGATTGTTGCCACTACGGAAAGAACCATTATCGTCTGGGATTATAAAGCTCAAGGGTCCAGCCAGGTACTGTATCAGGAGAAATACTTCAAGAAGGGAGCTTTGTCTTTTCCATGCTGGTGGGATATGAGCACCACCCATCGTCTACTTAACAGTTTCCTCATCTGTAAAACGAGGGGTTTAAGTAGATAATCAAGTCCAGCGCTAATATTACTATTAATACTTTCCACTTAGTGTGTATTTCATTGGGGGGCGGGTATTTGTTTCTTTTTAGTAGAGGCTAAATTCTTCCTTTCATACCCTTCTCTAAATCCAAATATTAGCTTTTTTGCCTATGCTCATGTTACCAAGTTCAAAGATTTTCTCTCCAGTTCAGCTTTGTGTGGCAAGAAAATTATTCAAATTAAATGCTTAATTCTGGCACAAAAAAATCTGCTGTAGCAGAAGTATAATCATTAATCACTCCTTCTGGTCTGCTTCCTCTTAACATCTGCTGAATCTTTCAACCAATTCTGGTCCGCCTCTTTGGTCACTCTTTAGTTCGGCACTGTGGTTTATTTTCTTAACTGACTTCTGTTATGTGCAATGATCTGTTTTATTCTCCTGTCTTCCCCCACTGGAATGGTAGCTCCACAAAGCCAGACACCTGTCTTGCTCATCCCTGTCCAGGCAAGTGCCTACAGTAGTTCTTGGCATGGCACGTGTGCTCCATAAATGTCTGTTGAGTGACTGAAAGAACTTCTCAATATGTTCCAGTCTCACTCATTCTAATCGGAACAAAAACAATTAAATTTTTAAAATATTTATTTGTTCTATCTCAGGTAAGGACTGAGTTCCAGGAGAGCTATAACTGTGCAGTTGAAGGAGCCCAGCTCAGCGGTACTGTCAACTGGCCAAATGCTTGCTGAGTATTTCTGAATAAACTTAAGTGTCAAGACAGCTTTCCCCTGATAGCTCCTTGTGAAATATTTGGGACTTGAATGCTTGAGTTTCCTATTTACCATCCAATTTTATGTCAGTACTGTTTGAACGCCTACACCTTTTTATACTTCCTGTTAGTATTGTCTTATAAATCCAAGAGAGGGCCATTCATAATATTCCACCAGGAAGTCTCATCACTACCGAGCCAGAGGTTGGTACCTTACCTTTTCCCCAACAAAACAGCCCCAAACACAATGTAGGGCTCACAGTGAGTGTTCATTAACTTCTATTTGATTAACTGTTTTTTTCCCCCTCAAGCTCCTTCAACACTGTGGGAAGACCTAAAATATGAAATATCAAAAGTAAAACATTTATCCAATAATAGGGACAGCCCCAGCTGGTGTGGCTTAATGTGTTGAGTGTTGTCCCACAAACCAGAAAGTTGCTGATTCACTTCCCAGTCACAGCATGTGCCTGGGTGGTGGACCAGGTCCCCAGTCAGGTTGCCGCCTGCAAGAGGCAATCACACATTGATGTTTCTCTCCCTCCCTTCCCCTCTCTTTAAAAACAACTAAATAAAAGCTTGAAAAAATTAATAGGGACAATATTTAAGTTCAACATTGAGATCTTTGGAGCAATGCAATAACTTATTAAAAGTGCCCATGTGAGGTGCCTCGTTAGCGCAGTAGGTAGCGCGTCAGTCTCATAAAAGTGCCCATCTGTTTCTAGGAAAACTACTTCGTCATAAAGCCCATGGACCACTGCCTCCTCTGCGTGTGTGTCGTGTCCCTGACTGACCAGCTCTGCCGAGACGACATCCTCTTGGGGGACGATGGCGGCTTTGTGAGCAAATTCACAGTCCAAAGTGATGACTTCGGACTGAAGCAGGCAAAATCCAAAAAGAAATTGCAAAGTCAGGTCATAGACTCAAAGAACTTTAAAAGGTAAGTGGGTACATGGGGAGTCCAATTGTCGTCACACAGACATCATGCAAGTAATTATAGAGTAGAAACAATGAGTTGGACCCCATGGTGAAGGTTTGCAACATAAAGCTGGACAAGAAAGGCTTCTCGCCTCAAGGTACTTCCACTGGAAAGGGAAAACACCCAGGAGAATTAGTAACTAAAATTCCTATTCTAAGCACTATTGACAATGAAAATATATAGGTACTTGAATAGATTAAGGGGCAACATAAAAAACGAAATTATGAAAAACTATAAAAGATGCACATGTCTATTTACTAGCACTTGAATATGACAGAAGAGTCTGACCAAAAGCAATAGATATGAAATTCACAGAAAACGTTTGATAGATTTGACTTTACACGATATAAAACCTCTGGGCTTCAAAAGATGACATTTTTAAAGTAAATGAACTGGAATAAGTATTTCTAACAGATATGACAGATGATGGACTAATTGTCTATTTAATAGGTGTTAGAATTCAGTTGAAGAAACAATAATTCCCCCCAGAGAAAAAAGGGCAAAGGTCATGAACAGATACTTCACACACAGGCACACACAGTGCAAATTGTCAATGAACATTTTCAAATGCTCATTGGGCAGAAATGCTAACAAAACGTATCTCCAACTGATAAGGTTATGAGTATTTTCATTATCTCCTTTATACTTGTACTGTGTCCGAAGGTTTTAGAGTAAGACATATATTTCTTTTATTGGGAGAAAAGCAAATTTTGCATTACATGTGTCTTCTCTATTAATCAAAGAAATAAAATCAGATATAATTTCTCACTTAAAAAATTGAAAAAGATTAAAATATTCAGTGGGACCCGAGATCCCCGTGTGTTGAGAGGTATTGGTATAGCGATCACTGTGTTATTTCTAATAGTAGAATATCCAGTGTCCAACAGCAGGGGAACAACTGATTTAAGTGATCAGTATTCACTGGAAAATATAAAAATGAATTGAGTCACATAAGACAAAAGCAATACGAAACAAAGTTCTTCATTTGGATGACAAGAATTTTTCCAGTAAAGGTGACAGTACCAATATCGGACTGAGATACTTTTATGTAATTTTTAATTGAGTCTCAAAATTTGCTGACAATCTTTTACTTTCCCACTTTAAATAAACAAGTTACGAAAATTTAGTTAAAACCCTTAAAAGTGGTATAATGCACAGGATGGTATTATATATGCAGGCTTTGCCTCGGTTTAGAGTTACGGTTTAGTTCAGAGCAAGTTGGAATGCCAAATAGACACTCAACATTGTGTGTTTGTGTCTGACATTCTAACATAAACAACCCCCCCTTTCTTTCCTTTTAATTCCCAGTGTTAAAAGGAAGCTGCATAATGACTGGGTTATGAAAATTAGATATATTCCAACCCTAAACTGCTTCGGATCCTGCTCCTTAGATAGCGTTCACTCGCTAGTCTTGGAATCTTTGAAGAAACTTGAGGATAATTCGTAAGTACAATAGTTTATGTGCGTGAATATTCTGTGACTTTCTGGCTTTTGATTTTTTTTTAGTTGTAAGACAAAGTTTATTTAGAAAGTTACAGATGCAGTAGAGGTGAGCCAGCTGGGCTGCCCAGGCTCAGGAAGTAAGTTTCGGAGGCAGAAGAAGGGCCCTTGGAGCCTAGGAGAGAGAAGGGCCAAGGAGACAGGCCGGGGGGAGGGAGTGGGGAAAGGCAAGGCAGGCATGTGCCCGAGAGGGAGTGTGCCTGCTGCTTCTTACAGTTCATAAGCCCATGGCTGCCTTGGAGTTTCCGCACTGGGTTTTAGGAAAATGAGACCTTAATTATTCCATCTGCTTGACAAGATTAGACTTTCAGGGAAACAATTGAGGTTATTCATGTACATCTTGACATGATGGGTCCTCCTGGCAACAGCCTGCTGTTTGCTGCTACAATCTGTTGGGATAAATAAACACAGGTGCAGGCATAACGTCTTCTTCCCCAATACAGTTCTACTGGTAGAGCTGAGCAGTTTTCAAATCTGTATGCTTTTAATATCCTTCTCGCAAGTCAACAGGCCCGGGAGGGTGTGCTGCATGATCGTTATATTCCATGTGCACTACATGCAAAGGGGGCTTTCTTACATGCATGAGAATTTGAGTAGCATGGTTAAATGTTTATTAATACCCATTACTATGTAGCAACTATCTATGAATAGCTATATTCCTATGTGGTAATAGTATATTATTGTAACATATAGTAACTATCAGTTATTGTACGTTAATTCTCAGTTCTAAAAATGCATTGAGATTTGTGCTGCCATGTGGGTAAACCTCAAAAACCTTATGTTCATGATTTCATTTACATAAAATGTCCAGAAAAGGCAAATTCGTAGAGACAGGAAGTAGATCAGGAAGGGACACCACTAGGATTGGTGACGGTGGGGGCAGGGGGTCCCACGACGGCAAAGGGAACTTTCTGGGGTGATGGAAATGTTCTGAAACTTATTGGGGTGGTTGTTCTACAACTCTGTAAGTTTACTAAAAATAATTGAATCATATGCCTACTATTTTGTACCATCAGTAGGGTTTCTGCGAAGCCAGAAGCCAGCTGGTTTCTGTCCTCACCCTCACTAGCTTTGTGACCATTACCGTGAGCTCTCCTTAGTCTCAATTTTTCCATCTCCAAGTGGGAATGACTATGCCTCCCCTAATCTTATAAAAGTCACCTAAGTGAACTCACAGGAAGTGCCTGACTTTACATCTGGCACACTGGGCTCAACAAGTGTAAGTTCCTCTTTTTGTTTCTTTAATGAAACACCGAAAAGCATCTGAAGAAAGAATTTGAATCCTGTGGCGAACAGGTGGCGCTATCACACGTCTGTACTGTTTTGGGCTTTGTGCTCCCACATCTAGAATGGCAGTTAGGAAAGCTGGGGGTCGGGGTCAAGTCCAGAGGGCCATGCGTTTTTGTAACATCTGCTAACAAAGAATAGTTTTTATAGTTTTAAATGGTTGAAAAAAGTTAAAGAAAAATAACATACCATGACCCAAGAAAATTACGTGAAATACAAATTTTAACACTCACAAAGTTGCCTGGGAACACAGCCATGCTCTCTCATTTATGTATTATTTACGGCTGTTTTTCTGCTACAGTGGCAGAGTTGGGTAGTTACTAAAACTGTATGGCTAAGTCTAAAATATTTACTATCTTGTTCCTTAAAGAAAAAGTTTGCCAACTCCTTATCTACAGTTTTCTATGACTTTCTCCCTTGGGAATGGATCTATATAGCTCAGCAACAGCTGATAATCCAGATTGAGGACCACTCAAAAAAATACCTTTACCCAAGGCACCCTGAAATTTCTTCTTTACAATGTCAAGGAGATGATAGCAATGCCTTCTTCCTTCTCCACTGCCTTCACTCCCACCAACAAGCCCCATGACCAAAGCGAGAAAAAATAGGAGGACATGCTACTTGCTCAGTGGCCTTGTTGTTAGGGAGCAGAATTGCCTTTACATGTTATTTTTGAATTATGGTTTATATTCAATGTTATTTTGTTTTAGTTTCAAGTATACAGCATAGTGGTTAGATAATCACATACTTTGCAAAGTGATCCCCCCTGGTATTTCCAGTGCCCACCTGGCACCTTATATAGTTATTACAATATCACTGACTATATTCCCTATGCTGTTCTTTACATCCCCGCAACTATTTTGTGACTACCAATTTGTACCCCTCAACCCCCTCGCCTTTTTCTTTTTTGTTTAAGTTTTTGTTTATTCTATTATCTCCTTACCTTTTCCATTCAGTTCCCTAAACCCCCTCCCTCTGAATATTTTTTATTAAGTAGAAACAGTGCAAAACGTTGTGCTAATATCACTACATGATGCAGTAAGTAAACTCTGTGAGTCAGTAAGGAGTTAATGATTACTTACAACATTTTCTGTGGGTAAATGGATTTATAGCCAACAGAGAAATGAACCTCTTGAACATAATCTATGTGTAAACTGGAATTAGCTTCACACAGGAAAACACACGTTTTCACTCGGATTTGTGTGCCCCAGGCCTGTCAGAGAGTTTTCCATGCCAAGAGGAGCAAACAGCTTTTGTTACTGTGTGAAAGCAAATGTCATTGTCACCGGAGGTAAGACAATAGTTCACATTGCAGGGGTTTTCTCCTTAAGTAACATAGTTATAGAGTTCTCATAAAGTTATGGATATGTGATGAGCTTGAAAATACAACAGAAGCATTTGCTGGGGAAAAAAAAAAAGAGAGAAAAGAGCAAGAAGCCAAACGAGCAAGGGATTAAAAAAAAAAAGCCAATTTCCTGAGCATTATTTTGGTGACCACCAAGAATTCTTTATTCAACAGTTGTATGTATTGGCCACTTTAGGACTTGAACTTCTAGTTTGGAAGGTCAAGTGTATAAAAACAATTCTCTGCCAATGAAAGATTCCTTGGGGGCTCTGCATACATTTGTGAATGTTTCCTTCAAGAAATAGTGATTGCACAGCTGGCAGGGACTAAGCATTATTTATAAAGCTCATAAAGGTCAAGTTGTATTTCTTATCTTACAAATTCAAAATCTAATAGTACAAATAAGACATGTTTCTAAATGGCTCACACAAAGTGGGACATGAGTCAACAGATCATCATCATTATCATAATCATAATCACAGATGCAATACTGTAGGCATTTAGAGCTCAGCACCACATTCCTTTCTGCTTATTCTGGTTGCAGAAAGCCACCCACAGACTGTGAATGGATTCTCTTACTATCAACAGAAAGCCAGCAGGGCTGGAGGGCTACTAGCAGTTGGTAGCAGGGAACCTCTGGAAGATTGGGTTTCCTTTGTAATGCACACTGGACATAGACAGCCCTTAGGTTAAGCATCCTGGACATTTTCAAGGTGGCAATCCTCAATTGATTCCTTTTTCATGAGATAGGCAAGTAAGTCGGGTTTTCTCCTGGGTATAGCTTGAGCTCATGCTCCAGGAGTGATCTCGCCCGTGGCAGAGCTGCTCCAGCCAACAGTATCTAGAACTGTTTGTAGGCCGGAGCCTTGGGATTCTGAACACACCTGAGTACTGTCTTGTGACACTTCCTGGCCACTGCCCATGAAAAGCAAATGCAGATGCGATACTGCATAATGGGAATTACTCAGTTTGAATCGTGGACCTGCTAATCTGGAGTGTTTCTCATTACCTTAACAAATTTCTGATTGCTGTCTACTCTCACAATCATAAAATGTTAGGGCTAGAAGGAATCTCCAGATGAAAATTTTACAGATAAAGAAATGAGGTCCTCATAAGGAAAGTGATTTGTCACAGCTCACACTGCTGGTTGCTGGAGGAATTGAACTTGACTTGGTTCTCTTTGCTCCAGCCCCTGTCCTTCTTGGAGACAGTAATCTAGTTTTCCCCAGACTCTCCCTCCTTTGCTTTTCTCTCTTAATGGAGCCCACTCATCTCACTGAGAGTGATGCATTTTGGCCAAGTGACTCACTAACAGAAATAAGAGCTCACTAAAGGAAAGAAATCCTATCTTGTATGTGTGGCCTTATTAAAATTCTGGTTTAACAACAAAATAAAAGAAAGTGCATGGAAAATAACAAAGATACAAGAACCATAATATAATATTTATAGTCCAATGTCCTATCTTCAGATTTGATATCTTTTCTATGAATTTTTACTTTACCTGTATGTCTTTCATTCTTGCTGTGGTACTACCAGATTACAAACTCTCAAGAGCAGGGACCATGTTTCATTTATCTGTTCCTCAATTTCCCTTCCACCCCCCCCACCCCAAACATTTTCAAATGAATTGTACGTGGCAGGGATTTAGAATAGTAGTAGTAGTAGTAGTAGTAGTAGTAATAGTTAGTTCATGGTCCAGAAACTGTTCAGAGTTACACATGTATGGCCGTGGCTGGGTTGCTCACTTGGTTAGTATGTCATCCCAGTAGCCAAGATTGCAGGTTCAATTCCCAGTCAGGACACATATAAGAAGCAATGAATGCATCAGTAAGTGGAACAACAAATCATTGTTTTACTCTCTTTCCTCCTCTCTTTCTGAAATCAATTTTAAAAATTAAAAAAGTTACACATGTATGATCCACTTAATCTTCACAATAAAGCTATGACATAGTTCCATTTATCCCCTTTACACTGATAAGGAAACTTAGACAAGGGATAGTAAAGCCACTTACTCTAAGTCATAAAGCCAGTAAGTGAGAGAGCCAGGTTTGAAATTGAGGCAGACTTACTTAAAATAGATATTCTTAACCACTTCATAAGTGACTCTAGTAACCAACTAATTTATTAAACAATCACATAGCAAACACTCATTATTTGTCAAACACTGCTATAAATGAGAAATACCAAATAATGGGTAAAATATATGGAAGCAAACAACTAAAACTGAATAGAATTTGTGCTTTAAGAAAAATCTCAAGAAAACACCACAACAACACGGAGGAAATCTTAACTCAATCTGAGGCTGGGGAAAGTAATTAGAAGAGGCTTTCAGGGAGGTTTCTGAAAAAGTAGACTTTGATAGAGTCAATATGTAGAATTCTATGGTATGCTCAACAATTAGCAAAGTGCCAAACAGTAATTTCTTAAGACATTTTTTTCTTCTTGTTGGTAATAAGGTTACAGTGGAAGTTTTCAGTTTAATAAAATATCCCACTTACACTGGACAGTATCCCTTAAAATATCTTGGCTGCTGCTTTAGTGAACCCTGGCTGCCATAACGAAATATCACGGACTGGAATGAGTGGCTCAAACGACAGAATTTTATTTTCTTGCACTTTCGCTATGTCATATGCCAATTATATCTCCATAAAGCTGGAAAGAAAAAGTAAACAATCTTCCATTCAGTCTATACATAATAACAAAATGACAAATCTACTCTACAAAACTTTAATTTTGTCTGTGTCTCCATACGTTCAATACCACTGGCTATAACTTCTTGGTAAAAATCCATATTAAAACAGTGATTTTGCATTTTGTCAACATGTATAGCACATTTTTAGGTGTGTATCAAAGATAAAAATTAGTGATTGGGGTTTGTTGTTGTTAAGAAATGGTAATCTTCCTAATTTAAAGTATTTAAATATGAATGGAAAAGTGTTATTCTTAACTCTAGAAACAGTCTATTTGTAAGAGAGAAAAAAATTAACAGTGGGTTTCTATTGGGACTAAAACTAGAAATTATGGGAAGAAAGGAAGTTTTTTTAGTAAAAATTTATACTCTTCCTTACTGTAGAAATCTTTTACTATGTACCTGCATGGTTTTAACAGTTAGGAAACAGTATTCATGCTATTATAGTACCTACATATAAATTATATTTTCTTATGGATATATATGTTAGGAAGGAATATGGAATTATGAAAACAGTTGATTTGATATAATGGTATAAATTATGTACAATTTCCCTCTTCCTTTGATTTCCTCTCTTATTATAATTTTTGCATAATTTAGGAATGTGGAAACAAAAGAACAGCTGCCTTAAATGCTTTGGGGAAGTAATTAAAGAAGAAATAATACATCAATGCATGAATGGGTGGGAAAGTACTGAATCAAATATTTATGGGAATTCACATTTGTATGTGTAAATACAATTATTACAAAACAACTCTGATGCAAGGAAGCAGCTCCAAACAAGGCACACGGCCTCTTGGCAAGTCCCAGGCTGCATCCTGGAAGAAACTGACTGTGATTTGCTCTTAGAAGGGAGATAAGGATGTGACTGAGAGACACTTTTTTTGTCCATCTTTACAGACACATGATTGGCATATAATGTATATGTTGTACAGCTTATTGATTTGCTACACTTTTATATTGCACAATGATTACCACCAAGGTTTAGCTAACACCTCCGTCACATCACATGGTTACCATTCTCTTTATGGTGAAAATATTTAAGATCCACTCTCTTGGCAACTTTGAAGTGCATAATACATTATTATTAACTATAATCACCATTCCATACATTAGATGACCAGAATTTATTTACCTTGAAACTGCAAGTTTGTACCCTCTGACCAAGGTGTCCAAGAGACATCTGCACCCCATGTTCATTGCAACACTATCCACAACCGCCACAACATGGAAATAACCTACGTGTCTGTTAATAGATGAATAGACAAGCTGTGGTCATAGACTATATACAATGGACAGTTATCCAGCTGTGAGAAAGAAGGAAATCTTACCCTTTGTGACAACATGGGTGGACTTACGTGAGGGCATTACGCTGAGTGCCATAAGTCATACAGGGAAGGACTAACACTGTATGCTTATACATATAAACTGAACTCCTAGAATCAAGGGCTGGGGGTGGGGAACATGGAGAGACACAGACCCTTTAAACTGTCACTGCCTGTATCCCTAAGAAAATAAGCAACCGTTCACATCCTTTTCAGGAGATGACAAAGTGCTCCGGTTGTGGCACCCCAATATCAGCACCAAGCCAGTGGGAAAGCTCGTGGGGCACATGTTCAGCATCACTGAGATCGTAACCAATGAGAAAGATCAACTGGTCATCAGCCTTTCCTCTGCCAAGGTAATAAAAAGAAAAAACACACACACACACACACGATTTGTTTCCCTTGAAATCAACTGTTGGACGATCTAGAATACAGACAATTTTTGACTGAAATAGCAACAGTCACTGGGAAAAATATCAGTGTGGAGAGGGAAATGGTGAGCCACTGTTGTTTCTGCTGAATGCAGAACAAGGAAGGATATGGTTGAGGAGTCAAAAGAACACAACTCTGGGAAGAGGCAGCATTATCCTCAGGAGTCAGACACAAAAGGCCTGCCCATAACAGACAGGAACAGCACTATTAAACGCAGGGAAAAATGAGGATTTCTGTTATTGCTGCTGCCATCAAACAGTGTTTTAAATCTTCTAACCAATGTGATAACATAAGAAAAAATGAGTTGTAACTATTACAGATGAGACTAAATTGTTATATTTTCAGATAATGGGATTGCTTGAAAATTTTAATAAAATCAGCTCAAAATGTTAGGACCAATTTAATAAGGCAGTTGGTTATAATGGCAATTTACAAAAACAAATTTCTATGTAAGAGTAGCAACCAGTTGAGAAAAAATGGTCAAATGGATGTATATACAAGGGCAAAAAATTATGAAGTACTTCCTTAACAAGCAATATTCACTAGAAATGTAAGATAACTCTGAAGTTTTCTCTGAGGTACTTGTATCTAAGAACATGAGCAGAAGGACAGTCTACATTTCTGCATGGGAATACTGTACTGTAAGACAAGGGTCCGCAACCCCTGGGCCACAGCCTGGTACTGGTTCGTGGCCTATTAGGAACCAAGCTGCACAGCAGAAGGTGAGTTTGAATGCAATGCTCTTGAGTCATTCTGAAGCCAACCTCCTCCACCCCCAGTCTATGGAAAAATTGTCTTCCTCGTAACTGGTCCCTGATGCATTTAATGCTATTTGGGATTATTTGAATACCAGTTTTCCAAATTTCAAGTTTGCTGGATGGAACAGAGTGTTGGGGGGGAAGTGGAGGTGATACAAGGAATGTGTATGGATGCCCAGAGATCAGAAAGAGAGAGTTTGCAAAACTGGAATCGGTTTGATATGACAGTAACAAAGAGGGCATGAGGGAGAGAGCATCAGAAAAATCTAGAGCACAGATGCAGCCCCAGGATGAAGACCTCTGTGCCTCTGCCCACCCACAAGTCCCACCTCCCTGAAGTCACATGGAAGACCAACAGGACTGAACACGGAAGAAGAGAGAACTATGAAAACATAGAATTACTCTATGGGAAAAAAATCACAGATTTCAGAACATACTCCCATCAATTCAATAAGGAGAGCATGTTGGTGTTACTGAGTCCACTTTAGATGCAAGAAAACTGAGGGTCAGGGTATTTCAAAGGTAGGTTAGAACTGAAACCCCAGTCTTTTGCCTCATCTTTGTTCTCTCCGCCAGCCATAGCTCAGAGTATACACACAGGAGTTAGAAAGACCACCAACCATGGATGGATCCCAGCCAAAGCAATACAATTAGAAACAATTTGAATAGAGATCAATTTCTTTGGCGCTCCTCGATCCCACTGTTTGTTCTTCTTCTGCTTGCCACTCACTCTAGGCTCTGAACCAAAATTCATAAAATTCATAACTAGTTCATCATACTAGTTTACTCTATGATACAAAAGACTGAAAAGGTTCGGTGTTCTAGCTACTCTCTCAAAACCTGCATGTTTGGTAGAACAAAGGAAGTACAAGTTCTGAGTAATCCTGGTCTACAGGGAGTATACAAATGCATCAAAGCTCGTCAGCAGTGTCCCCAAAATTATGTTACTTAGACATCTTTCTGTCCCTACACATAAGGGCTACCCTGCATCTGTAGTAGTGAAGTTTTTAACTCAGTTAACTATATTATAAGTGTCTCAAATAAGAAGTTGGTGTCTCTGTTAGCAGAAGTACTTAGAGCTTTCTATGTAGTTTCCCCCGTTCCAACAGTATAGGTGGGCCTGGGGGACATTACGCTAAGTGAAATAAGCCAGTCAGAGAAAGGCAAGTACCATATGGTTTCATTCATAAGGGAATCTAATAGCAAACTGAACTAACAGGGAAAATAGAGGCTGACTTATAGACGGAGAGCAGGCTGACAGCCCTGGGTGGCAGCAGGTTAGGGAGCTGAGCAAAAAGGAGGAAGGACTCATGGACCTGGACAAACCAGTGTGGTGATTGTGGGGAGGGCAGGGGAGGGGCGTAATGGGACTAAATGGCCATGATGATCGTGGGAAAAAGTTAAAAATAAAAAGATCACTTATATAATCAACAAAGATTCTAATTTAATAGCTTAATAATAATGATTATAATACAAAAATATTAAGGCTGATGATGCCTTAATCCTTGATGAAATCACACTTATTTCTGAAATTCAATCACACTGTAACTTGCTTTAAAAAAACAGCCAGACAGAAAATAAAGAAAACAATAACCAGTTATTTCAAGTGACAAAGGGTAAACTTGGTCTAGTTTGCTGAATTAATTCGTTCTATTCGCTTTCATTGACCTGAGCTGTAGTTGAGTATTACATAGTTCTATTTTCTTCCTCAAAGGAGAGTTCTGATAACCTATTTCCTTATACTCTTACTATATTTATACCACCTCCAAAAAACTTTAATTCTTGTATGCCTGGGCAGCAGGAAGGGGGAGGTTTTTATAACCCGCATTTACTAAGATGTTCGTTCTCATTGTCTTAGGGTCGTGAAAGAGCAACGTGAAACATTCGACCTAAAATTTGTCTTCCCTGTTTTCTAATCTACAAAGAGAAACATGACTTCCATTGCACTGTTAACAGTCCTTTATTATTTCTCCAAATTCCTTTTAAATTTTTTATTTATTGATTTTAGAAAGAGAGAGAAAGGGAGAGGGAGAGAAACATCAATTTGTTGTCCTACTTATGAGTGCATTCATTGGTTGCTTCTTGTATGTGTCCTGACCAGTGATCAAACCCAAAACCTTGGCATATCAGGATGACACTGTAACCAACTGAGCTACCTGACCAGGGCTCCAAATTCTTAAAGAATAATAAATACTCTGTTTTCCCCTCTTCTGTAATGACACAAAAATTTAGCTCCTTTAAGCAAACATGTAATCACTGCTGTTTCCCTCTGATATTAATGAATAATCACTGAACCAAGAGCCCAATCAGAGTTTAGCAAACATGTGCTCATCATAAAAGTCATACGTTGCTACAAGTTCTTAGGAGCATATGGCAGACTCTGAAAATGCTTCACATAAACAGCTTTGAATGGGAAGGGTGAAGTGTCAAAGTGGTGAACTGTGAACTGTGTCCCCTACTCCACCAGGTGTTCAGGGTGTGGGACATCCAGACTCTATCGCTCCTGCAAGTCTTCCATGACACCCAGGGAGGACCCGGAGACATGCAGATTTATTCCATGATCTATGACTCCAATCACGGCATGCTTATTGCAGGTAAGTGCCCCCAACTAATGGCAAAAAAACCTCATACCTTGATTTTTAACTGTTGTTTTTGTTTTTAACTAGTACCTGAGCATAAAGTAGAAGGAAAACCAAACTAGGAGGGAGGTATATAAACCTTGATTCATCGCAGCAGATATTTCATTGAATTCCACTCCCTCCTATATCTCCATGGCTGGGTGGATGCAAGGTGTAGCCAGTGTTCTCTGAAAATACCATGCCAGGGCTCCAAGTTCCTGAACCTAGGGAGATGTGGTGTGGGTTCTGTGGAAACACGAGGTGTTCCCTGCTGCTAAGGCAAGGTAACTTCAGCTGTGTTTTTACTCTTGGGAGCAGGAATACGGTCCACCTTAGAACGGATGCACCGCTTTTTTCAATGAGGCAGTTTGGTCCCAGACACTGACACTGGGACTCTAGTTACTAGGTAGGTAGGGTGCTGAGCCTCCTACGGGCCTTTGCTTCTAGACCAAGAACAGTGGAGAGAGAGAAGAGAGGCCCGAATTCTGGATGCCCAGGGCTGATGCCAACAGATCTGTTTCCTCCTTTTCTTGTTGACTCTTAGAAACATGTGCTTACTAAAGACACAAATGCTAAGCATTTGCTTACCCTCAGGCTTTAGGAGAAAAATGAACCACATTAATAATTCATTTTCCTCCTGCAACACCAACCTAGAATGAATTTCCTAAGCATTTTCTCAGTGACCAATGGCTCTGACCTTCCAAGAGGTTAGTGCTTTTGCTGGTGGAGAACATCATTATTTTTAAATTCTGAGTTTTTTCTGGATTATGAGTGAATTAGCACTTCATGCTTAATAAATAATTTTCCAGATTGGAAAGTAGAACTTAGTTCTGGTTGTAAGCATCCCTCCTCTACAAACAACATCCTAAAAATTGCAAGCAAATTGTCTCCCTTAGTGTGCCAACCTGCACGTTTGATTATTGGGGTCATCATTTCCATCCCATTTATCATCAGAGTTACTGAGGACTTGAGTGTTAAGACCAAAAAAAGGGATAGAAAATCAAATTTTCTTCCTAACTGTATGTCATTATGACAATATTTTGCCTATAAAAATATACAGCTCTGGCCCTGGCCAGGTAGGTCAGTTGGTTAGAGTGCCGTCCTGGTATGACAAGTTTGTGGGTTCGATCCCCAGTCAGGTCACATAGAAGAATCAACCAAGGGAAGCATAAATAAGTGGAACAGCAAACTGATCTCTCTCTCTCTCTCCTCCTTTCCTCCTCTCTCTCTCAAATCAATAAATAAAAATTAAAAATATGCATACCTCTGAATATCGCTTAATCACTAGCGCTGCATACATTGGCTGCAACTCTTAGTTGACACCGGAATGACGTGAAGTTTATTGCACAGATTTTCATTCATGCTTTGATTCAAGTGAAGCAGCCAGTATAATATTCTAAACCCTAGTGACACAGCCACATTCCGGACTGCTGTGTAGAATATACTGTGGCATTATCACTGTCATTGTCACCACTCTTAAAGCACAGCCGTCTGTATGGTTCTTTCACAAGGCATTTTCATGTGCTTCATTTCCTGTGGTCTGTACGATCACCACACGAGGCTGGATTATTATTTATCCTGTTTCATAAATGACAAAAGTGAATATCCCAGTGTTGGACTGACTAGTAGAAAGATACAAGGAGGAAACATAGACCTGGGATTGGATCCCAAAGCCTCTGACCCTGAATCCACAAAACTTTTCAGTACAGCGTTGTTTCCATAGCAACAGTATAATGAGCCCAAAAGGGAGGGGATTGCACTTGTCCTGCTTATCTAGCTTTGCTAATAACATCACTATCAATATAATGTTAAAGGATCTACCAAGAAGCTTCAAGTGCTAATTGACTGGCTGGTTACCACATTCCTCCTATTTCCATATTGAAGTATTTGAATGAAAAACGTTCTCAGAAGAGCCCATTGAAGTCTTTCACACATGAATACATTTTACGTTAAAACTTAAACACCCAAGGAAAGTGTTTAGTAGTGTGTAACTCCCACTGAAACCTTTCCTAAAGTTGAGATTTCTTTGGAGAGACTTGAGAAAGTCAATGCAAAGAAAAAAATCCACATCAACATAGGAAAGAGACTTTGTTTTCATTGGAGCAATGGGATGCTTTGTGGTTCTTATTTATATTTTTATACTTCCAGACATTACACTCCACCAGGATACATAGTTTGTCAATTTTGAGCTAAATCATGCTTGCAGATTACCATATTACTGTCAAGCTGAACCAAATGCCCTTAGAAGAATTCGAGTAAGGAATACGTGCTCTCTGGCTACCTCACTATGGTGATGGGGAAAATAATCTCATTTAACATTAATGTTACAAGCACCGGCCTGCAATCATTCTCGTTGTTTACACTTAACAAGGCGATGTTGACAGTGTTTTGTTTTTAACACTTGTTGGTTGGAAAGGGCCCTCTAACAATAAGTTCCAATCACTAAATGGCAGCTTCCCTGCCATTTCCACCTCCCTTATTACTCTCCACGGGATGGAGAGGTGCACCCCAGCCACTCTAAAAAGAGAAAAAAGGAGACTATAAAAATAGGAAAATAGAGGCCACTGGAAAGAGGATATTAAGGAAATCTGAATGGCTTGCTCTTAAAAATAATGAAGCTGAAAATGAATGCTTTTCTCTGGTTAAATCGTATTTGTTTTATTATCAAAATTGTAAACGGACGTCGTTGCACCTCATTAAAGTTCCTAAGCATTCATATTGCTAATCTCACTGATTGGCTCTTCACAGACACACCTGGTTGGATAAAATCCTCTGTGATGCAGAACTTCTACTGCCGAGTGTTTATGAGATTCTTTCTTCTGTTGCAGGATCCAGTGTTATCGACATGTACCCTTTGACTAGGATGATTCAGGATACAAAACAGGTCCCCCACACTCACGAACGGGAAATCAATGTCATGCTTTACAACAAATGTTTGCACCAAGTACTTACCATCTGCTCCGAATCCATAATTAAGGTAAGTACGTACTGACTCTGGGGGCGGGGGGAGGCAAAACACATAGAATTTTTCTCTTCTTACTAGTAAGTCTTTGAATGATTAAGTAACTGTAGTGGCATATGATAAGACCCTACATTCGATCTATTTTTAAGCTTTCACAAACCCATAAAAAACACAACTATTTTAAGCCAGCTTAAGCTGCGTGGTACTGTTGTTACCGAACAAGAGGTCCGAGGGAGGGGCAATACAATATTCGGCCCACCTAGGGATGCCCAAAACTGCTATACGACAGGGACCCTCCCAAGGACAAAATCCTAATATCTACCGGGCTCTTCTGTCCGCCGCCAATTGGAAAGACATCTCTCAATGCCAGAGATTTGTGAAAAGGAAACAAAATGTTTATTTAATGCTATTCAGGCCTAATGCCACCACTAAAATATCAAAGTCCTTTAGGTTGTACACCTACACCCACACAGCTCCCTTCTCCCACTGTCCCAACTCCGGGTACCGTAAATCAGGAAAAGAGCACACGTCTGTGTTGCAGGCCGCTGGCACCGTCAGCTGTGTCACCATGCAGGCAGGATCTCTCTAGGTAATCCAAAGTACTGTGGTACCCTCTCATGGTCTACTGGCAAGAGTCCTTTGTACCCAGTTCCAGTCAAAGTCTCTCCTGCTTTTCCAGGTCACTCGGCCAAAGGGGGCACCCCAAAGCCACGTGGGCCTCTTCTACCAAAGCTTCCACCAAAAGCATGTGGCTTTCTTCTTCACCTGGCTGCAGGGACCTCCATTCTGGCAAAGCTGCGTGGTTTTCTCTTTCATTTGGGCAGTTATTGCCACATGTCCTGGAGCCCATCTTTTCCAAGCTCTCTCACAGGCACCTTCACTCAGGGGCGCAGCCCCTGGTTACATCCTCAGTCCCAGCCACCCCCTTCTCCCTGGCTCCAAACTTGGCCACAGCTATTTAACATATCTATGAAACCAGTTAAAGATTATAGATATGTTAAATAATCATTCCAGAGGTTAGCTGCAAAACTGTTGCTATGCAAAACAGTTCTCAATGGCCCTGGCTCCATTCCTTTCTTCCCCCTGGGGGTGGGCGGTAAGGACATCTTATATGTCTCTCCAATATTCCTATACACTTTGAATTCTGGACACCATTCCAAATCTTTTTTTTTGTGGGGGGGGGGCCCTGGCTGCACCCTGTATCACTGTCACACGTTTAATTAAATAAATAAAGCTAGTTGTCACTATCAAAATAGTATGTACTATATTTGGCCATGTGTAATGTGCCCTTTTTTGTCCAAAGTTTTGAGGGAAAAATAAAGATGCACATTATATATGGCTAGTACTAATCCTGAATTGATATAAATGTTTTTAATTCTTGTATGTATGCTTGTGCGTTAAAAGTGTAGCTCTAGAAAGCAAAAATGATATTCATATGCAAAATACAATAATATAAAAAACAAGTATCAAAATATAAATAAATAAATAATTGAATTAAAAAATTTAAACAAAAGATTTTTTTTTCCTGAAAGTTTGGGCCCCAAAACATGGGTATCCATTATACATGGCAAAATACAATAGATATACTATATATATGCAATTGAAAAAAAAAACTGAGCTAGGGGAAGATGGTATATTAAGAGGAAAGAGAAAGAAATTGGTAGATGTTTCCTAGAATCTCTATAGGTGCAGGCTCTGTGCTGAGTGCCTTAAGTTCATGGCTTTAGTGAATCCTCACAGTCATTGTCTGTGGACAGACAGAATGACACGTGGAAGGGAGCAAACCAGAGCTCAGTGAGGTCCGGCCCCAGACCTGGGATATGAACCCAGGTTCATCCGATGTGAGTGCCCATGCCCTTTCCTCTGTGTTCCTCTGGTTGGGCCATTACTGTGGGTTCCCCAGAGTCCAGGGTACGTGGCCATGTGATCACGTCCACAGCAGGCTCCTAGCTGTGGTGGCTGGGCGTTTTTGCATCAAGTGTCATCCTTTCACTCGTGCGTGCCCTCCAAGAGGAGACGATGTCACTAGAGAGCCTTCCTGTGAAATCCCTCTGGGTCCCCTCGAGGTTTCTGACCTTCCCTGCACATCCGCTGGAGAGTTTCCCAGGTCCAGCTCTCATGACTATCCCTCAACTCTGGTAATGCCTAGAGAGTAGGTAGAGGGAAATTAAAAGGAAAACCTGCCCTGCTTTCAGAAAATACAACTCTCAGTTGAAGGGGGTGCATCTCCCTGGGGGGAGGAAGACCTCTAGGTGAGTTTCTATACCTGACAGGTTAGAGACGGATGTGCTTCAGGCCAGGAGATGGGTCACCTCTGAAACCCACTCATGCAGTGACACATGTTTCTCTTTCTCCCTAAAGGACCCCTCTATACCCAGGGGCACAAAGAGATGGGGAGCATGGCCTCTAGGGCCAGACAGGCTCAGTTCAGATCATGGCCCCACCACTTCCCAGGTGGCATGTGTTATCAGCCTCCCAGGCCGGTTCCTCAGCTCCTCCCCCTCCCTGTTCCACCCCAGCTTCTCCCTGGAGGGGCCATCAGTGCTGCCTTCTGCCCCGGCCCTTTGCTTGTGCAGCCCCTGCCCCCAAACAGCTTGAATGCAAACAAATTCATCCTGTGCTGCCCCTTCAGTTTTATTACGTGTGAACCCAGCCCATCCATCCATGAAGAGGGGAAATTCCCACTGAAAGTCTGCAGGACTATAAAATCTCTAGTGGGTTTCTAAAGAGAGAGAATGAAGAGTCCTGACATGTTTCTGGGCTGTCTGGCTACACCCAGCCTAGTTCCGGGGACAGCTTTCTCTGAAGTCTCAGCCTTTCCCCCCAACTTCTTTCTCTCTCTCTCTTTTTCTCTCTGGAGCCCAAGCCGTCTCTCTAACCACAACACTCCTTGGAAAGGTCAGTGAGCTCCTTCCCCAGGGTTCTCTTAGATTCCATGCTGTTAACCACGGATTCTGTCCAGTGACCCCTGAGCTAATTTGGATGAGTGTCAACAGAGAAAAAAAATCCCGTTTGGTATTTTGTCTGCTGGACTCATAAGTGTAACATTTCTATCTTGCTTTACACTTACAATAGCGATTGAGTACCCCCTCCTAGCCAGGGGCTCTCTGGAATAGAGTCACTGCCTGCCTCAGCCCCGGGCGCATGCAGCACGCTCCAGGACAGCTCAGACACAACACTCCTCTGTAGGGTCGCATCTTTCAGCACCTCCTTTGATCAAAGCAGCATTCATGGTGGGATGCTGGGGAAGGTGTTAGATGGGTACTGCACCCTTCTTGAGGTTGTTTTGAATATTGTGAAATTTTGCTAAGCACTGAAGGGCATGTGGGTTATTTGATTTTGTTATTGATGTTGTTCTTACCTACAGGTATGGGAACTTGAGACTGGCCTCCAAATCTACCAGATTTTAGACCCTCATGGCTTCAATGTTGAACTGACTTCTGCATCTATCAATGAAAGTGGATTTCTCTTTGCTACAGGAGCGTATAACGGTCAGACTAGTATTCATTTACAGCCTCCCTGCGTTAATGCTCTGAGAATTTGTCCTAGGAACTCGTTAGCTGTTTGGGTTATGGGGAGAGCAGGAACCAGGATGAAACGTGCTAGTGAGGTCACAGTGCCCGACTGAGGAGTGATGGGCTCATTTTTAATAGGCCTTAATGCCCTGATACTGGTGCTCAAAACAATCAATACCTTACACAACATTTATCTCATTGCTTTCCAGTTTGCAAAAGTCTTTCACACCTGCAATCTCACTCCATCCTTGGCCCGACTTAATCTGTGTTGCATGGACTCATTCTGTCTACTTTCGGGTATCATCAGCCAAGAGATAGACATTAGATTCAGTACTTGCTGATAATATTTTTATTAACAGTGAATTTGGGAGCCAAACAAAATATCCAGCCAGCTTTGTCACACAACTCCCAGAATTCTCCTTTGGACTTGCTCACAAGTTCGAGCACCTTGGGGGCATGTGCCATGTACACACGGGGGGGTGGGGAGGGGGCGTGTGGCTCAGGGTGTGCTGTGGTGTTTGATGTGCCTTGTGCTGGGGAGCATCCTGTGGGACTTTGGGATATATTAATATATATAATAATTTTAATTGCTGTTAAAGTACAGTTTTCTGCCTTTTAGTCCCCTCCCAGCCCACCCCCCAGCCCTACCCACCTCCCTCCTGTTTCCACCACCCCCACTCATTGTGTTCTTAACTCTGGGAAAGACCTGCTTTGTCTAGAACATAGAACTGCTTCGTGCAGGCACCACGCAGAATACACTTATTTACTTAAGAGACATATTTACTAAATAAATGCTGGCTGGTAGGGCAGTCCATGCCTTGAGAGGACATCCTAACATAAAGTCTGATTTTGGAAAGTATAAGCAGGTAACACTGCTGGTGAAATAAAATCAGGCTGCTGAGTTGACGGGGTGTGAATGCACGCAGCTGCTCTCCACGTGGGACCCTTCGTAGGAAAGCAGTTTGCTGCTCTTATCGGCACACCCTGTACCACGTGGAAATCAGCCATAACAGACCCTCTGAGCAATGTACACAATGTTATCAGATATAAGCATTGAGCAATTCACCGTGACTGAGATGGTGCTATTTTCACACAAGCACAGACTTTTTATTTTGTTACTGCTGGAGTCTAGAGTTCTTTTAAATATTGACAGTTAAGGGAGTGGAGGCAAAGTGCTGTGAGGGGCATCCTGCTGGATCTAACCTTGAGGTGGCCACTGTAAAGGCCCATGTCAGAGCCTGATTCTTGACCTTGAACTAGGCATTCAACAACTACACTGCTTATCACCATTCCTGGCCCTTTTATCAAGATTACTTAATTAAATGAGTGACGTTAACTCAAAAGAAATTGTGATTTCAAATGTAAGAAGAAATTGAACATTCCTTTTGTATTTTCCCTCCATGTAACCAACAAAACAATTCAACGCTTGATGGTTTCTTATCTGCTAGGATTCCCTTAAACCTTTTGTTAGCCAATGAGAACTAAAGTCCTAAGACATGTCAGCACCTTCAAAACTGTGACCTTATTGCAACAATGATATTTACTATTGATAATAACTGGGAGGTACTGGGGGTTATTTAGCAAACTGGAAAGCACTGGGAGAATAAAGGCAGCAAAGATCCATTTAAGACAGAAAGCTCAGACAAGAGGGTCTGAAAAACTGTCACAGTTTCAGGGTATTGCTCAGTCCTGTTTAGTTTTTATCATCCCGTGACAAATCGAGGCATCCAGAAATAATATTTTGTGTACAGCAAGGCTAGGGAGATTCACATGTTGGTAGGAAACAAATAGGGGATAAATTGTTGGCAGAAAGCATTCAAATAGATCCATTTTCACTGAGATGAAAGCCAAGCTTTCTATACATTCATTCTAACCACCAAGTCTTCCCTGTGTGTGCTCAGGAACAGTTAAAATCTGGGACTTCGACAGCGGGCAAGAGGTGAAAGCGCTGCCCAAAGGGAAGGACTGGGTGGAGGAAGAGCACGGCATGAAACGCCTGATTTTTCTGAAAGCGCCAGAAAAACACCAGTCCCTTCTCCTCGCCTTGGAGAGAAGTGGGAAGATCAAAATGATCCAGGTTTGCAATTCCACCTTGACCTTGGTACTCTCCCTGCTTTTCTGTGGAAAATCAGCCACGTCAGTGGATAATTCCCTCACAGAACTCCTCTTTTGCCAGCCAGCTAAGGACGGCATTTCCCTACCATCTTCCTAGGATGCTCCTAAGAAACCTTGCCCAGGTCCAAGTACAGAGCACAAAAGAAGGGCGAGTGGTGGTTCTTTTCTGTCTCTTAGAGTCCCTATTGCATTCAGGGATGCTCAAGCCACTTTTTTAGGTTGTTACCAAAACTGCTTTGTTTACGTTAAGGTTAGTGATGCAGTCTGCTCAGGGCTGTGCTGGGATGTTTGAAGCAGGGTAATTTATTTTTCCTGTGAGTCTATTGCTACCTTACAATGCCTTCTTCATGTTTCAAATGACGGCTAGATCATTCATTTATTCTGATTATTGAGTGAATCTGTCCTTGCCTAGAACTCGAGGACTCATTATTATTACTTATCCTCATCATCATCATTAGACCTTCTGAAAGCTAAGATCAGAGAAAAAGAAGTCTGGCAAAGATGAAGATGATTATTGATGGCCCTCCTGCTAGAAAAAAGAAGTGAAAAGTTTCCTTGATGGACCATACTCTTCGCGTAAAGAAATATAAGAAATCTCTTGTAAGGCACACAACAGTAAATATATGTGGCAGAAATGCAGTTCATTCCTGGAGTTGGAGCTGCAAGTGGAGCGAAGGAAAGAAGCACCAGACCTCTTTCTTTCCAGACCCTCAGCCTCATTAAGCAAACTGACGAGCAGGCAAACATGGCCTCCATCATCACATTCAGTCGCCCAGGACTATGGCTAGTGCATTGTGCTCTGAGGCCGCATGCCCATGAGTGCTATGTACTTCTTTTTAATGACCACAAACCAGTCTGTAATGGCTTGAAATGTAACGTCTCCTCTGCACTTGACATTCTTGACTTTATTTTCTTAAGTCTCAGAAACGAGCTTATGAAACTGCCCGGTCTTTTCATAAAAGGCTGAAGTCCTCATTTTACAAACAAGAAAAATAAGGCCCCCCAAACATAAGCTTTCCTCGGTCTCTCACTAGATCCAAGGCTAGAAATGTGTTATCTTCACCCTTAGACCGATATTCTCTCCACTTTATCATAGCTGCATTCAGCGTTAAGAATTTGGCTTTTATCCCCATATAAAAACTCACAATTCAAAAATCAATAGCATGTCATCAATAATACTCAACAAGAAGGTAGAATAAATGATTACATTATAATAGCAGAGGAAAATATGAGGCACCTAAAATGAATTCAACAAAAATATGCAAGAGTTTTGTGGGGGGGGGGAAAGTAAAGGACATTAAAAAAAAACAAGATGAAAATATGGAGAGCTATGACATTTTTTTGTTGTATACATGGGATACAACAAAATATCTTTGCTATGTTCACATTAAAAACAATCACTTTTCTTTTTAAAAAGTAAAAAAACAAGTCACATGGTATGAAAGACTACTCACTGTATCCCCAGGTAACTTCGAAAAGATTAGGAACAAGAGTAGCTTAAGAAATCCCACAAATCTGAAATAGAAACAAATAACCCAAGATTAAAATGGACAAGGGACAGGTAAGAAAACCCAAATGTCTCACAAACACATACACACAAAAGTTCAACTCACTAATTCAGAAAATGCAATTAATATCATTAATTTTAAAATTAATTTTGAAATGTCCCATTTCAAACCCATCAGACAGGCCAAAAAGTTAAATTAAGTAAAATCAAGTGTTGGGAAGAATGTGAAGAAAGAACTCTTATCTAGTCCTGGTCAGAGTGGAAGTAGATAACAGTCCCTTGAAGAGTCACTTAGTGATATCTGGTAAAGTTGTTAATGTGCACACTTTACAACTTGATAATTCTGCTCAAGGCATTGCTCAAGAAGAAGCTATAGCAATTGTCCATAAAAGTAACAGCAGAAGCCCTGGATGGTGTAGCTCAGCTGGTTGGAGCATCATACCCTAAACCAAAAGATTGCGGATTTGATTCTTGGTCAGGGCTCATACCCAGGTTGCGGGATTGGTCCCCAGTCAGGGTACATATGAAAGGCAACTGATCAATGTTTCTCTCTCATATCAATGTTTCTCTCCCTCTCACCTCCTTTCTCTAATATCAATGAGCATGTCCTGGGGTGACAATAAAAACAATTTAAAAAAGTTAAAAAGCAGCAAAAAATTGAAAACAATCTGAACATCCATCACTAAGAGGAAAAATAAATTATATTTATGCAGTGCTACAAAGCAGTTAACAATAAATGAACTAGAGCTCCATGTAATGACTTGTATAAATCTCTAAAATACAAGTTTAAGAAGCAAGCAATTTGAAGAAGAATCTGTACAATTTGATAACATTTATAAAAAAGTTAGAAGCCTGAAAGCAGTGTATGTGTATCATATGTTTATGTAGAATGTGAATATTTAGTTATATAAAAATATTAAAACTTTCATAACTAATATCATATTTAGATTACTAGTTACCTCTGAGGAGGGAAGTAGAAAGAGGAATTATGTTAGGGAAGGATGGATAGAACTTAAGACTGGATAAAAATGGATGGTAGATACATCGTGATATGTTCTATTTTTCTCTATATCTTTACAACAGCTCAAAGTAAAATAGTTAAGTGAGTTTGTCAGGTACTCGCTAGATTTCTGTTACAGGGCAAAGAAAGTGATATTTGTCTCACGGTGGTATGGGAGCTGCCTGACGCCACACCTATCCTACAAGGTGTAAATCGCATTGTGCATCTGAAGTCATCTGCTAAAGAGAGGAGCATGGCCATTCCTTTCCCAGATGTGACATTGATAGCTGAGGAAACCTCTTCTCCACATGCTAGTGTAAGTTCCGTTTCCTGATTTTCTTCCTGTTTAGTGTGGAATATTACAAGCAAACACAAAAATACAGAAAATATCATTGACAAACTTCACTGGACTATGACTTAGCTTCAACTACAAAAGAAGAAAATCATGGGGATGTCATGCATAGCACAGGGAATATAGTCAATAATCTCATAGTAACTTTGCATGGTGGATGGTTTTCAGACTTGTGGGGATCACATGGTAAGCATATACATTTCAAATCACTATGCTGTACTACTGAAATGCATATACTACTGTATGCCAACTACACTTCAATACAGTTTTTGAAAAGTCACAGTAAGACACTTTAAGTTAATTCTCGAGTAACCAAGTGCAGGCATAGTGTCTGTCCTGTGTCCAGGATGGTGTGTGAGTTGGTTTCCTTCCTTCTTCAGAAGGCTGTGGCTTGTACCCAAGTGAACTGCATTGATTTATTGCAAGTAGAAGGATATAACTTGATAGCTGCTGGAACCTTAAATGGTGTGATCATCTTATGGAATTTCGTAACATCCACTGTCAAAGAACTGTAAGTCGCATCTTTCCCTGAAATAATGTTACTTGAACCACGGAAGAGCCAAAGTAACATTCAAAACAGGCAAACAAGCAAAAGCAAAAAATGAGAATGGTAAAGACTCTCAAGGCAGGTTTCCTGGAGTTATAAATGTGAGGAGACTATGTTCTAAGTGTCTAATCCCAGAATCACATAAATAAGGTCAGCCTCAGGGATTTGTCTTTTCAAGTGCTCAAACTTTCACTCCTCTCACTTTAGTGTCTGCTTTCACATGTGATCTTGTCCAAATTTATAACCTCAACAAACAGTTATAATGCATACTCATTGTAAACTCTAATCTCCCCAGAGCTTCACACATACATATCTGGCAATTACCAGGACCTTAAAGCCCGACATGCCCCAAACATTGCCTCAATCTACTCCTCCCCCAAACAACTCCTCTTTCTAAACATTCCCCGTGACACCACCATCTACCAAGTCACCATAGTCAAATGGTGAGAGGCATTTAGATGAATTTTCCTTCTCGTTCATCACCCCAACACATCTAATGCATTACAGATATATGCCAACAAGGGCATGGCTTATGCAATTCTAAAACCCAACCAGTTAGATTTTCTTCCTACTATCACCAGAAACTTTATCATCCTCTCCCTGCCATTCATTTCTAAATGTTCTGCCATTGGTGGTAAAGGAAATAATGTAACATTGTATTATTTGCTGTGGATGTATTGCAAATAAATAAGCAATCCACTGTTGTGCAATTGGGCTAGAAAGCAAGTGCCATGTGTGAACACCCTACATCAAAGGAGTTTGTAATATTGTACTTTGAGGTACAAGGTGGGCGAGAACCTTGAGGAATGAATAATAATAAAACCAAGTATATCTAAGCAATTGGAGGAAGGGAAGGGGTGTAAAGGAGGAGGGAAGAGTGGGAGAGGATAAGGAAAAAAAGAAAATGCAAAGGAAATCTCTGCTCTGTTTATAGTGTGTTATACTACTGGTCTACCTGGTCTCCATGTTCCTTTCCAATCTAAGGCTGAGTCTGCACTTTTCACCAGCTTTTGACAGGACATGCATCTTCCTTATTTAGACCCTGGATTTACTCTCCTTGGAACCTTTTAGTTGAAGTAGTTGCTTCTGCAGACCCTTTGTCTGTACCACAGCCCATGTTCTCTTGGCCCCTGCCCCTGGGATTCTGGCCCTCCTTCTGTTCCTGCCTGTCTGCCCTCACACCTAGGGTTTTCTCACAGACTTTGTGCTTGTCACTCAAATATGTGCTGCACAGTGTCTCACCCTTTTGTTAATGCCATTCTCACACTGTGAGTGTTGGCTGTGTATGACTCACCACCAACGGAGATCAGATGGATGGACAAGGCGGAGACTGCAGTACTGATGCCACAGCCTAAAGAGGGGGAGCTACCCTGAGGGCATGTCCAATTTAAAGGTGGAGATCCCCCTGGATGGAGTGCTGGGCATTTTTCCCAGGGGTGAGTGCAAAGTCAATATCTGGTCAGAGAAGATAACTGGCTATAGAGGGTCACACATAGTGTTCCCTTCTGAGAAAAAGATGATTGTGTAAAACCATTCATTTGGAGTCATTGGAGTATTTTGCAAAACACACAAGTTAGCACAGAAATGACTAATGTAATTTAGGCCCAACTTAAAAGGCTTAAACATGAAGGAGGGTGTCAATATTCATGGTGGAGACCATCTACCCCAAATTTTGCCTAAGATCCCTTCATCACTCAGGAGAAATACTTCTTCCTGGTCAAAGCTTTGGGGACAAAACTAGAAATTGTGGGGTTTTTTTTGCCAATTAATAGTCCATTTCACCATTCAGCTAATCTGTGGAGCACAAAAATATGCAAAGTTTGAGCTCAACAAGTCATTAAGCCCACAAGCTCCTCAGAAGGGAGGGAGAAAGAAAGGAAGAAAAACATCAATGTGTGGTTGCCTCTCACACACTCCCTACTGGGGACCTGGTCTGCAATCCATGCAGGTGCTCTGACTGGGAATTGAACTGGTGACTCTTTGGTTCACAGGCCAGTGCTCAGTCCACTGAGCCACATCAGCCAGGGCCCATAAGCTCCTCTTTGGTTCTCCCCCAAGAGGTTCCTTCATCATTCATCAGGTCTAATTAGCAGAGGCAACTTCCACTCAAGGAAAAGGAACTCCTTGCTACAAGTTCTGTTTGCTGTAAGAAATATTAAGTGTGGCTTTAAGAGCTCTCAGCATGAAGTACCAGTGCAGGCGGATTAGGGATTATCTCTTTCCTCCCAGGAAACTGCCTAGGAAGGTGTCCGGTGCTTTGGAATCCGGGTCAGTGGGAGACTCAAGTAACATGGATAGTATAATCACTGAATTACCTGCTTGCCTGGCCCCCTCAACTCTAAGTTTCTTGATGGCAGTAAGCATACTTGATCCAAATTTGTCACTCTACTTATTCCAAGAGTACAATTCTATTCTTTAAACTGTATGAAACTTCTGGAAGTTTATATAAGTCCTCTCTCTTACCTGTATAACTAGGAAGACTGGACTAGATGTCTGAGTTAAAAGAGATTTAAATACTAAACGGTCATGTCGTTATACACAGCCTTATTAAGACAGATATGTTCACACTCTCCACCTCTAGGATTTCCCTACATGTTCAATGACACTGGCATTTTAGGATTTCATTAGCTCTGCCTAGGATATGCAATACAAGTAATGTCCATTACTTGATTTGTAAGTATCTATCATGTACATGTGTGCTTTTTCCAGATACAGACCTGAAGAGTGCCTCACAGAAAATCCTGACTTGGATCCCAAAAGCCTTCGAATTAATGACATACTGTTCCTTTTCCGGACCCCTGAATGTGCAAGGTAACTGTGCCTCCCGACCAAGAGATACAATTAAGGGGAGACAGATTGAGTACCCTATTTTGTTTTAGCCTTCTTTGCGGGCACTGCCTCTTGGGGTGGGTGGTCCCCAAGGGTCTAGCTTGCCGTGTGGAGATGCGATTCCCTGCACTCTGTCTGTCCCACGGCCCCCTTCCCAGTAGTAGCAAAGAGGGACATGCTCCCTTGGCCACCCTCACAGCCAACATCCAACTCTGAGCACAGACATGAAGCAGATGCAACTTGCAAGGCCAACGGACAAATCATATGGCAGCAGGTTTTGTTGGACGTCCCCTAAAACTGAGCACTCTTCACCCATGTCTGAGAGAGCAGGCCATTATTTATATATCTAAAAAAAGTATTTTTTTTCTCTTCACATTTGCACAAGAGCTCTGATTTTCTGTCAATAGGCCATGATAAACACACCTCTATGTTAGTTTTGGTCACCCAGTCATGAGTTAGAATATAACACCTTTTCTACCCCTTGGCTGGAAATTTCCTTATTCTGAGAATATTTTGAGGATTTGTTCTGGATCTGCTTGCACCAGAACCCCAATGCACATCTTAGCCCATCCCGGCAGAGCATGGTGCAGTCTGTGCAAGGCCAGAACTGGACACTGCAGGGCAGAAGTTGCCAGGGTGCTCAGAACCCCCACCAATGCCACCAGCTCACTCCCACCATGCTGGTGTCAGAGCCTCTGGGACCACATCTAGCCTCAGGCACCAGACAGGACCCACTTTTAGTTCCTAGACCAGGCAGCAGTGAACCTTAGCTCCTGAGGCTCCCCAACCATTGCCACTAACACCAGACAGATGAGCACTCGTTACACAAGATACAGGGTGTGCTTTGTTTGTAAGTAAGTGAGTGGTTCAGCGTCTACAGAGGATAAAAGAAGGAATCCATTGAAATGAATACGGGGCAAATCACCCTTTGAGTACGATAGACTATCTTAGCCTCTTCTTATTGGGCTTCCTCCCTCTTCTTGTAGGCGACTGAGTCAGGATTCCCTGTGCTCTTCGTCCCAGCGTGGTTCCAGTAAGGGGCAGAGCAGCAAGGTGAGCAAGCGACAGGGAGAGTATGTCTTCCTGTTACACCCCATGTGGTTGGTCCCAAACAGCAATTTGTTGCATTGGAGCCCTTCCTTTGAGGGAAGGTAAAGATGAAGAGTCCTCCGTGGATAAGTGTGTACGTAAAACTTCAGTTTGGTTTTCTTAGAAAGAAATGCCTAAACTATTTTCACTTTTTTTGTTTCTGCTTCTGAAGGCTTTCCTATCTGCAAAGAATTGATACCTAATCATGGATAAAATAAATTACAAATTCTACTATTACGTTTGTAAAGTAACTGTACAATAATCCTTTTGCTCAAAAATATTACACACATTCTATGCAGGGGAAGAGACTACACAATGTATGTAATGTGGGGTTTTCAAACTGGGTCTTCAGTTGCATCTTTACATATTTTTACACATTATGCTTCTAGTTAGGATTTTGTCTGAGGGGAAGTTTTCATGGCAAACATGGTTTTAAAACTGCTAACATGGTGGGAAGAATAAACTTACAAGGATGTAAAGGTCAGGCTTGAACTTGAATCCAAATGTTTCATTTATCCGATCAGCTTTATAGAAAGTACTTCAGCTCAGAGTTTCTATTTCCTCATCATACATAATAAGGCTAACTTGCATGGTTGTTCACAGAATTTGAAATAATTTGCCCTAAGAACATGGCAGGCATCAGGCCTTTAATTAGTCTTATAATGCTGTATCTAAGCCACTAGGAAAATGTTGTCTTATAGATGCCCAGTTTATGCACAGGGAAATCTCTGCAATGCAGATTTCAAAGAATTACTCCAAAATGCTTAGATATGTATGCTTAGATATGTATGAAGTATCTGAAGAATCTGCTGATCTAGTATTTCATTCGCTTACGATGTTATAGAAATATCTCCTTTCTCTCCCATGATTCAGGGGAGCAAGCAGAGCATACATGACAGTGAGTCTAAAGGTTGGTATAAAATCTCCTGTCTTTCTTATAACAAGATGATTCCTTGGCAATAGGGAGTTCAGGTGATAGAATACGCTTAATGAATATATACTCTTCCCGCGAGTAAATGTTGAGGAGCTTTAGGGTTCAGTTCCTAGGAGGTAGCATTTTCATTATGATGATACCTTTTTAAATACTAATTCTAGATTTTAGAAATCCAAAATATTACTGGGCCTCTTAACCTCCCACCATTTTCCTAAATCTTACACTAGTTACGTAAGACTTAAACTGAATGTTTATGTAGTTTCAGTTGTTATGTATTATAAAGAGGCTTTTGATAGGACCCAAAATTAGCTCTTTGGGTTTTTCTGGTGGGACAAGATTCCACTTGTTAATGCTTCTGCTGTCCTCTGCCCTGACTGAAACTCTCTGGGGTGAAAAAAGAAAAAAATTCTAGGGAAAGAATGTGTCTTTTTTGGTATTTCCTACCTGCCTCCTCTTTCGCAGTCTATAGAATTTGAAATTCCGAGTACTGCAAACACCATGGTAGCTCAGTAATTTTCCAACAGGTGAGCAAACAGATGTCACTGTGGGAGAGCAAAAGCCAGGGGACAAAAGACATCCTGGGGGCGCCTGTGTCACTGAGTCTAAGCCGCCACTTCTGGTCACCGCTCACCAGGATGGGAACCTGCGCTTGTGGACTATGGAGGTGAGGAGGCCTGTCATTTACCTGGAAGAGCAGAGGGTGGAGAAGAAAAGGAGGTAAACGCTAAGTGAAGGTTAGAAAGGAGGTAAACACTAAGTGAACGTTAGCCTTCTGTGGTTCTGTATAGCATCCAATTTTAGGGTTTTTTAACCTTCCAGCCAAACTGCTGCTTCTGCAGATTGCTCACTGAAAATGCCACTCAGACTTTAAAACAGGCCAGTTTTGTAACTCAGGAGATCAAATTGCCAACCCTGCAAAGTTAACTATTTTGCATCTTTCTTTTCTTTAGATTGAGCTAGGAGTACACACTGCTGAATATTTTATTGCGTATTTAATTTCAATGCTATATTATTGTAAAAGAAGAATACTGAAATGTTGAGTATCCATAAATTTACAAACTATTAGTTATCCAATAGTTTACAAACTATTAGCAGTTATTACACTGTATTTGGTATCCTTAGATGCCACGTCCACTGCCGCGTCCACTGTTGGATCCCTCTCTCCGTGACAAGGTCCTGAGAGGGGGTGTAAGACTTCAAGGAAGCAGTTTCCAACCTGGTGGACGTGGCATAGAAGGCCTTGCAATACCTATTGTGATTGTGCTTGCTTTGGAGATCATGACCCTTTTTGCTTTAATCATTATGAATACCCTGGCAGTGATTCAGATAGTGTGCCTGGACCTTTCCTGGCTCAATGAACAGAATAATAATATCATACTAGAACGTCAGGGAATATAGGTACAAAGAAACAACCAGAACAATCTGAGAATTCAAGCTTAATCAATAACAGATCATTAGAAAAACACCCAAGATAAGATAGAATACTCTAGGAAATCAGGAGATGATCTCACTACTTTCTTAGAGGGTATCAAAGTACAAAACATGTCTATAAAAGAACTCCTAGAGAAACTTAAAAGAAGTACCCTTAAAAGCCCCCTGCAACATAGGAATAGCCCCTCCTTTACCTTGAATAAGAATATATATCAACTAGACAGGCAAAGAAATAACAAAAGCTAATTAGTTATTACAAACTAAACAGTCACTAGGGAGTCAGAATTTATAGTGCACAGAAAAACATTTTAAGCAAAAAAAAAGGTAGATAGCTAAGTTAGACATCACAAGGGCCTTATAATAAATCTCCTATTTTCTCTACTCAATTTAGCGTATCCTTATGCCCTATACCAAATTCTGAGAAACTTTAATATACAATAAGATATTTCTAATTGTCTGATTAATGGCTCTCCTAGTTAAAATAATCTTTAACTAAATCTATAGGAACTTTTGTACTTTTACTGATTACCTTTGTATTAAATTTTTCTGCTTAAATGATCATGTTATACTGCAAATATTAATCACTACCTAAAATGAAAATATAAAAACCTGCTTGTACTTGCAATAAACGGAACAGAGCTTCACTGTCCTTTGAGGCGTGTTGTCTGTTACCCAGCGCCGACGCCTACCCTCACCTGTGGGACCCCTTGACCCGCTGCGGCCGGACCGCGGCACTTAGACATTTCACAGTAGAAAATATAACTTCCATGTACTAGAAGCTTTTGTAACAAATGGCCAGGGGTGGAAGGTAGGCGGAGTTTGAGCTAGCCAACAGGAGCTGATGGAAGGGAGGATGCTGAGCAGGTGGGTCACAGCGACAGGGAAATTAGAGAGACAAGAGAGAGGGTACCACTTATAAGGCTCCTCTTGAGAGGGAAGCATCAAAAAACAGCTACCGTTGTGTGTGGCACATAGCAGAATCCAACCACACAGGGCGGTCTCGCCCTGCTGGGTAAAGACTCTGAGGCCATGGATCCCAGCTTATTAGGAGAAACTTTTGGTGTGAAAGTACAAACTAGTGTACCAGTAACTGTGCCTGAGGTCATCCTAGTATTGGAGCAATGTTGGTTTTTTTTTTTTTTCTGATAGAGAAATAAGTGAGTGAGAGAATTAGGAGGAAAAATGATTATATCCAAGCAAATCTCAGAAATGAGTGGCAGATTCAAATTCTGTCTTCTCAAGTTTGGATGTTTATTCTCTAGGCCAGGCAGTGAATGTGGAAGTTCTTCCTGATGTTGGCATGTGTCAACTCTCTTATAGGCTGTAATCTTGTGCCAACATTCAAAACTAGGTATTTCTAAAAAAGTAAATACAATATTCCTGTTTAACACAAGTGAGATACACTCAAACCTGAAAAGAATGTTTAAATGAATATATAACTGGTCAGAGGAGTTTTATGAAAGGGTCAGGAGAAATACAAGAAACAACCCCCAAATGTAGAAATGACCTATAATAGATTGTAGATGCTTATCATTAATAGGTGTCTATACCTTTGTGAATATTTAATTTCAGAAAAGTGAGTCCCTATGAATAGTTTCAAATGACTTCATTACAAATAGAATCATGCTTCAGTAGTCGACATGACTTGTTAGACAGAGGAAGTCAACTGCAATGGCTTGTATGTCTGTTACAGAATTGTTAATCTACTTTGTGCAGGGAAGACTGCTGAAAGACGTGCTACCTCTGACCAGACACACTGCCATTTCTCTGACATCACTGTGCACCGATTCCTGCACCAGGGTTCTACTGACTAGCAACGTTGGTAAGTCATTACTCTCATGTAGTTGGCCAGGGGTGTCTTAACCTACAAGATATAACAAGGAATATAGGAAAATGGGTGATGTATGTTGATACGAAAGAATAAGAGGGTTATTCAAACATGAGAGAGTGTTGAGAGGGCTGTCGATAGCTTGCTGAGCAAATAGAACAATGAATGATGTGAAAAGTAAACCTATCTTCCTTTATTTTATTTTCTATTTTCTAGATTCAACTTGGTAATATTTATTACAGTTACTAATATTTAACTCTGTATATTTATTTTGTTTTAATGCTGATGCATATCTTTTCACATGCTTATGTTTTAATTCCCCAAGTCTTAGTTAATATTCATTGCTTTTTCTCCAGACCACCCTCTGCGCCTACGAAAAGAACCTATTTTCTTCTTAGCTCTCTCCTTACAGCAAGACATTCTCTTTCTTCCATCTTTAAGTTGGATATACAACTACCCTTACCTTACATATTGAGAAGAATGTGAAGTTTTCATTCTTAATCTTGAAAGGGTTGTATTGTGTTATTCTTCATTGTTGAAGGGAGTAGTGGCATGAACAGAGAGGAAAGAAATCACTGTTTTCAAAGGAGGACTTTATTTTATACTTAGCGTTATAACTGATATAATTGGTCTTAGTACTTTCATGTATACTATTCTTTTTTTGATGCTTCCTTTCTATTTCCTTTCTTCTGTTATTTGAATTAATTGTAAATTTCCCTCATTTCTTCTCTCCCATGCATTAATAGATTATGTGCCAGTGAATGTACATGAATCCAAAAATAGTTTTTAATTTTACTAGTGTTTACCTTTAAATTTTTCCTTAAAAATAACAGATTTTTTAGAATTTAGATGGAAATAGCATCTGTACAATTAAATGGAAAGCTTAGTCCACTTTGCCTTTCTCTTTTTTATGCATGCCCCCAACCTATTTGCTAATGTAATGTGAGGGCGACTTCTCTCTCGAGAGTCCCCCCGTGCCACAGACACGGATGAATGAATAAATATGGCCGAGACAAGATGAGATCTGTTTGGGGAAGAGGAGGAATGGGCTGTGGCCAGTTTCTCTGGAGAGAAAGAGGCCAGCAGCAGCCAGTTTCTCCGAGGAGAAAAAGGCCCCAAACACCTTTCTCCATAGCCTTTTATTGGGTTGTAGGACACAGGAATACAGAACAGCAGGGATCAAACAGTAGATAACATTTAGAAAAGAAATCTGAGGGCTTAGTCTGAGTCAGAGTCTGTCAGGAACAGAGTTTTAGGGTTTCCTGCTTAAACCCTTAACATATGAATGAAAGCACTCTTAGCAGAGCAGATTTCACAGGTTTATCAGCAAGTCTTTGTGGTGCCAGATTTTCCCCCAGGACATGCTCTAGCAAGGCAAGGAGCTGCACCTCTCCCCAACAGGTATTCAGGCTTAAGGGGATTAGAGCCAGGAAACACTTCTCCGAGAGAACACGGGGACTCGGGCTTTGTCAGAGCTGGGGGGCAAGAATCCATTAATCTTTGTTGCAGAGCCCCCCACCCCAGTCCTTCCATGAAGGCCTCCCATGTGATTGAGTCTGGCTTAGGTTGCCCCTCGTTGTGAGGGGTCTTACCCGTCATCGACTTCCAACCAAGCTTTGGGGGCAGGGAGAGGAACTGAGGCAGCATTTGCTACCAGAGACAGGCTTTGTCTCCTGTGGCTGGCATTCCAAAGGTCGTCTCTTGCCCTTAGCCACAAGGGGTCGAGATACAATTTCTAAAATTAGGCAGAGCAGTCTACTACAATGTAATCTGGAGGTTTATATTCAGACAGGGCTATTACATTAATATTTAAATTTTATATCTTCTCTTTTAGGAAGTTTTTTTTCATTTCAAAAGTTTTTTTATGAAAGTCACAACAAACCATTTTGTACCAACAATTATTTAAGTCTTCTGGAAATTACAGAAAATAATTGTTTGTATTTGCATTCAATAGTATCAGTAGATTTACAGCATTAATTTAAATTTACTTTGATTTTATCTGGTTTTATTGCCCACCACCAATCCTTTTCTGATATTCTTATTCTTGACATCTTACATTTATTTATCTGTCAGTCTCTGTAGTTTATATAACACAATTTCTGGTTGTAGCAGAATAGTCAAGAAATCTGAGATCAGGAAAATGTTGTTTCTTTGTAAAAACAGCTTCCACTTTTTTATACCAACTTTACCTGCTATGTTATGTCTTTTTAAAAAAAATACAAGATGGATTTTTTCAAAGAACCAACTTTTGGTTCATTGATTTTATCTATCAATTTCCTACTTTTGGTTCATTGATTTCTACTCTGATTTCATTATTTCTTTTCTTTTGCTTACTTTAAATTTAATTTGGTCTTCCTTTTCTAGTTTTCCAAAGTACAAGCTTAGATGATTTGTTTAAGATCTTTCTTCTTTAATATATATCCAATGCTATAATTTTTTCTGTAGGCACTGTCTTCACTGCTTCACAAAAATTGTATTTTCATTTTCACTTAGTTCAAAATATTTAAAATTTCTGTTGAGATTTCTTCTTCAACCTATTATTAATTTTATACATCGAGGGCATACATTTTGATTTCTATTCTTTGAAATTTGTTACTGGTTGACTTACGACCCAGAATGTGACCTATCTTGGTGAATGTTTCAGAAAGCTTGAAAACATGTGTTTTCTCCTCTAGTTGGATGAAGTAGTCTATAGATGTCAATTATATCCAGTTAATTGATGGAGTTGTTGAATTTTCTGTCCTTGCTGATTTTCTTCCTGCCAGATCTGTCCATTTCTGATGGAGGGGATTGAACTCTCCAACTATAAAAGTAGATTCATCTATTTCTACTTACAGTCTTTCAGTTTTTACCTCAGGCATTCTGATGGTCTGATTTTAGGCACATATATATTGAGGATTGTTATGTCTTCTTAGAGAACTGACCTCTGTAACATCAGTAAGGCCCCTCTTTATCCCTGATCATTTTCCTTGCTCTGAAATCTTCTGTTTGAAATTAATATACCTACTCCCGCCTTCTTTTGATTAGTGTTAGCATGTAAATCTTTATTACTTTACTTTTAGTCCATATATTTCTTTATATTTAAAATGGATTTCTTATAGACAACATACAGTTAAGTACTGCTTTTTAATTTTTTCTAACAGTCTCTGTCTTTTAATTGGTTTATCTGTACTCTAAAGAGATTATTGACATAACTGAATCAATATCTACCATATTTCTTCCTATTTTCTATTTGTTGACCAGGGTTTTTTTTGTTTCTATTTTTGTCTTTCACCCATTTTCTGCCTTTTGTGGTTTTAAGTGAGTATTTGATGTGATTCTATTTTCTCTCTATCCTTAGCATATTAATTATACATTTTTAAAAAAGAAAATTAATGGCTTCCCCAGTGTTTGCTATGAATACATACATCAGATTCATGTCTACTTTCAAAAAACACTGTACCACTTTACAGGTAGTTAAATACCTTGTAATAAAAAAGTATTCCTAATTTCTCCTTCCCATCCCATATATCACTACTTTGATTCATTTCAGGTATTCATAAATCATAATAATCAAAAACCTTATAGCTGTTATTAATTTAAATAAACTATTATTTATTTTTGTTTTGTCTTTACTCATTTCTTCTCTTATGTTCTTCATTTATGTAAATCTGGCTTTCTCATCTGGCATTTTCTTTCTCAAGAACTTTGAAAAATATTATTTGCAAGGTAGGTGTTCTTGCAACTAATTATCTTGATTACAATTTAATAGAGTCTTTATTTCTCCTTCACTTTTGAAGGGTAATTTCTATAGATACAGAATTCTAGGTTGGTGTGGCTATTTTTTGCCCAACACTTTAAATATTTCACTCCATTCTCTTCTTGCATGCACGGTTTCTTAGAATATGTCAGACGTAATTCTTATCTTTGCTTTTATTTAAGTAACGTTCCCCCCCAGCAGCTTCTTCCAAGACTTTATCTTTGACTTTGCAGTTGGAATATGATATGCCTAGGTGTAGTCATTGTTGCTTTTTAAAGTCTAGTTGTCATAACTATCATGTCAGTTGTAGGACGATTATCTCTATAACAGTATGGGCTCCATTTGGTCATGGTGTATTCATTTCCATGTCATCTTCCCTGATGTCTTGAAGAACTTTGACTTTGAGTGTATAAGGCAACCTCATTCAGAGTTATTTAGCCAGAGACAAAAAAGGATCACTACATATAAAAGTTGACAGGACATTTCTTCTTTCATCTCTGGTTTCTCAGATTCCACATTGATTACCCTTATAAATGCCCGAATCACAATATTTTGGCGGTCTGGGCAGTATTCACTTAGAAAACAGAATGCCCAACATAAAGTTACAATGTTTACATTTTATACAGAAGGACACGTTATCCTTTGCAGTATTGGTTCCTTCCTGGATCCACCTCATGATGAAAAGGTAAGAACTTTCATTGTAGTTTAATTAGTGACTCTGCACACATTTATTGAGCATTTCTCTGTGCTAGACATCACAACAAAAGAGAGAGACACAGGACAAGACCTCCTAGTCTCTAGTCACATGTCATACACATGTCACATATTCATGACTGAAGTCATATACACCATCGCTAAAGCTGTATGATAGGCCACAGTGGTCTCCTGGTGAGAAGGGAGATGAGTGAGTGAGTGTCCCAGCCCCTGGTCACCACACCTACTTCACGTTTTGACATATCTGTGCAAATCAATGTTGAAACCCAGAACTTCAAAAAGTGCATAGATGGTCTAGTCTTCCACAGTCAGATTTTGTATCTTCTGTACCTTCACAGAAAAGGACTGGATAACCTTTTCTTGCAAGCCTACCCTTGTGTTCAGCTATTATTATTATCAAGAGACTTTCTCACATCTAGTCTCAATCCTTCTTATAATTTAAACATACATATTCTATTTTTACTGTTAATATGATGTAAATGTCAACACCTTATTTTATAACCATTAAATATGCACTTCTTGTGTATATGTGGAGATACAAATATGTACATATGTTATAAAAATTCACTCAACTCTAATTAAAACACACAACAAGGAAGCACTGTTTTTGCATAGGTTTATTTTCCTTTAAGCTAATATTTCAAATCCAAAAGCTAAACTTTAGCTTAAATAATAATGTTTTATTTTTGAATTATAGGTATACACATATGGCGACATAGATTAGGATTGTATTCCTTGCAGAGCATTTTAGAATGGTTATTGTTTTAAATATTATTTCATTTTATCTGTGGAGGACTTTGTTGTTGTTTCCAAGAATCCATGGTAGTCTTTATGAAGTTCAGGTATTTAGCTTTCATGGGATTATCTTCAGTTTGCAGAGAAGAAATTGGAGAGTGGCTTCCTCAGGATGACATGGGCAGTTACCAATGAATCAGGGTTAGAGCCAGGGCTCTTGGCCTCTAACCTGATGCTCTTTCCATGTATACTCTTAGCTCATACTGGTATTGAATGGAAAAGAATAAGCTTCAGCTTACGAAGCAACAGCATTTCATTCATTAACAGCAACAGATATCCTATAATCAAGGTGTGCTAGGAGCCTAACAAAACAATCATAGTCCCAAAGCATGCATAGGCAGAAGATTACTTAATTGTTTTCTCGTGCTTGAGATGATTATCAATATTCTGTTATTCATGTTAACAGGAAAATATGATTTTTGCTAAAGGATTTCCTACAAATGGACCAAGACCCTTCAAAATTCAGACAAAATATTTGAAACAAAGTTATATGCTAATATTGAATTAGAAGGATAGTGCAATTGATCTTAAAGCATTTCCACCAATTTAAAAGGAGAGAATCTATTTTAGTAACTTATTATTTTCCCCCATTCAACCTCATTTCAATCTTCTCTGTGTGTGAACAATGTGATTTTCCAGTTTTTACATGGCTGCCTGTTTATGAATATACAACAGAATCTGGTTATAAGATGCCTCATTGTTACCAAGACTAGTTCCTGCCGCACACTAAACCACACTCAGTTCTAAATTAGAACTATAATGGAAACTTAGTACGTAAGTCTGTAAATCAGAGGTTAGTCTGGTTCTCCCGCACCAGCACTGTGACAAAGATGCTCCATGGGGCACAGACAGTCTAAGAGAGAGAAGAGTCAAAGCCCGTCCACAGAGAGAAGGCCACACATGTGTTGTATAAACATGCATACAAGTAAGTCTTAGAGCAGTGTCTTTCCAATTATGAGCTATAATCCACTAGGGGGGTTATAAAATCAATTTAATGAGTGGCAAGCAGTAGTAGTTTCATAAACACAGAAAAGAATAAAGTGGAATTAAATGCAATAGAATAGGATAGACAGCGTCAGTGTGCATCATACATAATAAAGTTAAGCATCCTTTTGTGAAAGACACTGAAACTCATTTCAGATGCATATACAGGTATGCATTTCCTGTGTCTTGAAGTAAAACCTATTTCTTACTATAGATGTGGCTTATATTAGAGAAACACTGGCCTTAAAAAATCCCCATCAAGGCAGGGAAGGGGCCCTTGGATGGCCAGATGTTCTTAAACAGCTTGCAGGCAATAAGGAGGAGGAGAACATAGATGTCACCCTGGATCTCTAAGGAGAACCACAGGGAATTAAATCAAAAGGCCAAGTAATTCCAGAGGAATTGTGCCCAACCTTTCTTAACATTTCAATGAACTGGAGCCTCATAGGAGACCCCTGCAGTGCCAGAATTCTACACAAATACTCCTAAGTAGAGGGCCCAGGAAGAAGTAAGGTCTTAGTCTGTGTCCATCAATGATAGAAGGAACATACTTTCTGAAAACGTGACTGCAGAACAAGCACCACGGTTGACACTCAAGTTCACACACTTTAGAAATATCTTTGGTGGCCCATTTGGGAGCTCTCAACTTGAGCTCTATCCTGAAGGAATGTACCAATCAAGCATCATGATGTTTTTGAAAGAGAATGTGCTGGGCCCATTTCTTTTGTTAATTCCTTGTGGTATGTAGTTATTACATATAACTCATCACCCAGGACCTCCCTAAGAAAAGGAGAAAAAGAACAAAATAGGCAGGGCTATATCTGGATAAAATTTGAAATTAGTAAAACCTTTTTTTTGCCAATCTCTTCTTTAGTCTCCACCTTTCAACTTTGCTTCCGCCAGCTCCTGATTATACCCACTCTGGGTTCCCCCACAACCTTTATCCTAAGACTATTCTATTCTTTCATCTGGTCATCCAGTAATTTTCAGCTAAATGACTTGCTAATCTCCAATTAAATAAACTGCTAAAGGCATAAGGTACTTTTTCTTCCAGGTAACTATGTAGATTAACACATATCTAAAAATAGAACTTTGGGACCCTGACTTGTGTGGCTCAGTTGGTTGGTGTGTCATCTCATAACCAGTAGATTGTGGGTTCGATTCCAGTCAGGGCACATAACTAGGTTGCAGGTTTGATCCCTGGTTCTGGCACATACAATCTCTGGTCTGGGCATGTGAGGAAGGCAACCAATCGATGTTTCTCTCTGCCCCTTCCTGTCTCTCTAAAAGCAATGAAAAAATGTCCTCAGGTGAGGATAAAAAATAATAATTATAAAATAAAAGTAGAGTTTTGGGTACCTTAAAGCAAGAGAGAGCTATTTGGTGTGGGGGCATCATCACCTTCCACTTATCCCCATAACATTCACTCATAAGGTGGGCTCTTTAATGATTAATAGTTTTGATTAAGATTGAATTTTGACCAGCATATGCTTATTCCATAATATATGATTTTTGCCATCTAGAAATTCAAGCAGCTGCTTACCTGGCGTGCTCACTCTTTAGAAATTATTCAGGTAATCTACGTAGAAGACAGACAAGTGGTGCTCACTGCCTCCATCGATGGCTCCGTAAGGTAGGAACTTCCACAGTGTGCATTCAGGGTTTTGAGTCTGAGAGGAAAAGTGATTGAGCTACAGTGTAAGTACATACCCTAAATGCAGTCTTGACTAATTGACTGAAATAAAGGGAGCACAAAACAGCTTGGAGAAGATGGCCACTGACCTGGAATTCTTTTCCATGTCCAAGGAAGTGAGATGCCATGCTCATCTATGTTAGAAAGTAGCCTAAATGCATTCAATAAGTGTTTTTGCAGACTTGCTTCAAAAGATTCAGCATGATGGATAGCTCAGAGTGATAAGTCCAAGCCCAGGGAAGCTAATGACAGTATCAGCCATCATTAAAAAGTCATAGGAAAGGAAAACTAATATTGAGAAAAGTGGAAATGAGCTAATTGTTTCGATGATGATGTGATGGATTTTGCAAAGCCTACTCTTTTTTTTCCGTGGCTGCTACACCCTTCTGATTCAGAAGGGTTAGCACAGTGCTGCAATGGAGCAAACGAGGGTGATTTACACTAGGACTGTGGTCAATAACGTTCTCTGGAGAGCATCCCTTCAGGGTCAGTTTTCTCTTCATTAGGTGTAATTTACAGATAACATTAATTATAGGTGTACACATAGTGATTTGACATTTGTCTATGCTGTGAAATGGTAGTTAATATCAGGTCTAGAAGACATCTATCACCATGAACTTTTTCCTTGTCATGAGGACTTTGAAGACCTAGGCTCTTAGCAACTTTCACATATGCAATATAGGACTTCTGGCCAAGATACACATGTAGGTAGACACACTGTGCCTCTTTACACAACCAAAAGAAGGATAACAACAATTTAAAAACAAAAAATAACCAGAACTGCCAGAAAAAGTAAAAAAGCCTCAAAGGAAAGAACAGATCAAAGCTCCAAAAAATACGAATAAATGACAAAAAGATAGCCAACCGATCAGATGCACAGTTCAAAACACTGGTAATCAGGATGCTCACAAAAATGGTTGAGTATGGGTGCAAAATAGAGGAATAAGTGAAGGTTATGAAAAGTGAAATAAAGGAAAATGTACAAGGATTTAACATTAAAATGTATAAGTGAAGGGAAGGAAACCAGGACTCAAATCAAGAATTTGAAGAAGAAGGAAGAAATAAACATTCAACTGGAACAGAATGAAGGAACAAGAATTCAAAAAAATAAGAACAGGCTTAGGAAGCTCCTAGACAACTTTAAACATTCCAACATCCCAATCATAGGGGTGCCAGAAGGAGAGTAGGGAGAGTAAGAAATTGAAAACTTATTTGAAAAAATAATGAAAAAGATCTTCCAAAGGAAATAGACTTACTTCTAGGAAGTTCAAGAAGCTCAAAAAGTCCCAAAGAAGTTGGACCCAAGGAAGCACACACCATAATTACATTACCCATGGTTTAAAGATAAGGAGAGAATCTTAAAAGCTGAAAGAGAAAAGGTGACAGTTACCTACAAAGGAGTTCCCATGAGAGTGTCAGCTGATTTCTCAAAAGAAATCTTGCAGGCAAGAAGGAGCTGGAGAGAAGTATTCAAGGTCATGAAAGGCAAGGACCTACATCCAAGATGACTCTATTCAGCAAAGCTATCATTTAGAATAGCAAGGCAGATAAAGTGCTTCACAGATAAAGTCAAGTTGAGGAAGTTCATCATTACCAAGCCCTTATTATATGAAATGTTAAAGGGACTTATCTAAGAAAAAGAACATTAAAATATGAACAGCAAAATGACAACAAATTTGCAACTATCAATAAATGAACCTAAAAAAACCCAACAAAATCAAAAACAAACTAAGCAAACAACTAGAATAGGAACAGAATCACAGAAATGGAGATCACATGGAGGAAGAGGAGGGCAGAATAGGAGAAAAGGTACAGGGAATAAGTAGCATAAGTGGTAGGCACAAAATAGACAGGGGGAGGTTAAAAATAGTATGGGAAATGTAGAAACCAAAGAACTTATATGTACAGTCCATAAACATGAACTAAGGAGTGGGGGAATGCAGGTGGAAGGGGATGTGCAGGGCAAATGGGAATAAAGTGGGGAAAATGAGACAACTGTAATAGCATAATGAATAAAATATATTTAATAAATAAAAAATGAGAAGTTAAAAAACAAACATGCAATATAATATTATTAACTATAGTCACCATGATGCACAAAGCCTACATATTCTTAATTGCCTAGATAATGCTAAATATACATACACAAAATGCTAAAAACACAAATATAGAAATATGAATTCAAAACAAATGTCATGACATTTATTGAGACAAATTGGTATATATTAAAATGTCTTAAAATTATGGTAATGAATTATCCTCTTATGGGACTATAATTAGGTAATATCAAAAGAGGTAGAGAGGCTTCAAAGTATACTTGAGAGTTTAAGATAAATGAAAGAATTTGCAACTATTACCACTATTTCCCTTGACTCGAAGTCAAGGGAAAGTAAATAGGACGACACCAGTCTACACAATACAATATACACATGATGTATTATAGAATTGTACACCTAAAACCTATATAATTTTATTAACCAGTGTCACCCCAATTTATTCAATAAAAATAAAATTTAAAATAAAAGCTTCTGTACAACAAAGAAAACTACCAAGAAGACAAAAAGGTAATTAGCTGAGTGGGTCAGATATTGAACTATAATGTTGTACACCTGAATTTTATATAATGCTGTTAAAAAATAAAGAATTTAACAAATAATGTGTGTGGAATGGACTTCAGCACAGCCAAGGTGGGAGAGCAGAGGCCAGTTAGATATCTGTGGTGAGGAGCTTGGTTTGAGCTAGGGTAGAGGCAGCAGCACCAGAGATAAATATTTAGGATTGGAGAACTATCTGGAATGTAAAATCTTGATGTGAACTTTTAACTGAAAGAGAAGGTAAGCAATGGATGTCAAGAATGATTCCTGGCATATACACCTAGCCATTCATTGAGAGAGGAGTCACTGAAAGAGGAAAATGTTTAGAATGTGAAAGGATGAAGGAGATGTTTTAGAAATGTTGAGTTCAAGGTCAGTCTGTGGAGCCAGGTCCTATTTGGGGGCAAATAGAGCTGCTTCCTCTGTAGGAATGAGGGAAAATTAAGAACATGACATTACATTATTAGAGATGTTTTTTACAATTCTGTCCAGCTGATTTTCAGCTGCCTGTGATCAGAAGTATTCATTGGACCCTGGCTGGTGTGGCCTAGTAGACTGAGTGCCAGCCTGTGAACCAAAGGGTTGCCAGTTCAATTCCCAGTCAGGGCACATGCCTGGGCTGTGGGCCTGGTCCCCAGTAGGGGGTGCTCAAGACGCAACCACGCACTGATATTTCTCTCCCTTTCTTTCACCCACCCTTCCCCTCTGTCTACAAATAAATAAATAAATAAGATCTTTAAAAAAAAAAAAGAAGTGTTCATTGCGGATTGTAATACACACCCATGCACACATATACATCACATGTGTGCACACATCTGTTGTTACAAGCAGCCCCTGCTCAAACCAGTTATCCTTTTACATGGAGAGACTACTTTTAGGATTCCTGCAAGTGAAGATCTTCCAAGATAGTTGTAAAAATCAAGCTCTATTAGGAGCTACCTCAGAATACATTCCCCTTCAGAACCAAGCCACGCCCTTTTGCTAACTCGAGCTGCCACTTTCTGAAGGAGTAAGCAGTTCTAACACTTCGGATTTGTTTGTCAAAAAAATTACAATTTTATAATGGGAAAAGGCATAATAAGGTCTAGCTCTGGGACACGGGGGAAGAGGAACTGAGGTTCCATAGCTGAGGTCCAGGATGTCAGGCTGAGTGAGTGGTAGGACCCATCCCCTGGGAGAGTCCTACATGGAAGAGCAAATGCCACCAAACAAGGAGACCAAAAGTTACTTCCATCCTTGCCCACACGGCATAAATTTAGAGACATCTTAAGTCAGTCCCTCATCTCTCTGAATCCTGTGTTAGAAGGGCTGGTGCATTTCACCTTGGTAATGGCTCTGGTAGGACCTTGACATTTATTCAGTGTTGGGGAATGTGAATGTTTAAGGGGTGTATGGCAGTCATGTCACCTTCACAGAACAGTCAATGTGAGGAGTCCTGACTGGGTACCTCTCCCCACCTCTTCTGCAGTGCCTTCTGCTTGAACCTGGGCTACTGCTAGCACTTGGTAGGATCTCCTGTTAGTTCATGTAGCTCATTCTTTTCTTGGGTCATTGCCAAGAGCAGATAGTGATTTTTCCTGTCATTTGCTGCTCTGAGGTTGAATTCAACATAAAAGGAAGGTCTTCCGAATGCTATTTGACCTTTCCATTAGACATAGCACACCTGCTCCTGCTAAGGACATCCTGTATACTTTAAAGTGGTGGTTTCAACCTTTTTCATCCTATGGCACACATAAACTAATTTCTGCATCCTGCAGCACACCAGAAAAACATGTTTGCCAACCTGACAAAAAGTAGGTACAATTTTGATTTATTTACACCAGGCAGCTATTGTTGCTTTAGCTGTTATTTACTTATTCATTTTGACAATCCAAGGGAAAAGAGATCAGTGCCCCTGACTAAATAATCAGACTGTGCATGTTTTAAAAATTCTTGCAGCACAGCCATTGAAAATCACTGCTTTAAACCATGTGGACTATTGAGAGGGACCTTATGGAGTGAACTGACGGTGAAATAGTGTTGCAGACCCTGTCCAGCAGTCTGCCTGTTGTGGTTGATGATGAGAATGAATGCACAGGCGACAACAACCCTGTGTGAAAAAAGGGAACAGGCACGACTACTCTCTCAAGGGGAGAGTGCCTATGGTGCCTCGGCCACTCCCTCAAGAGGGGAGCGCCTCAACCCTTGCCTAGACAGGCTTTTATTGTTTTCCTGGGGTCTTACATCATAGAAAGATTTATTATCTATCACACAGAACATTATTGTCTACATCCTAGGTACAATCAAGGAAATAGAAATAGCACGCAGAGGGGGGTGGCAATGAGCTGTTTAGCTCTGTCCTTGGGAGAGCTCACACAGGTTTTGGGAGTTACCTTGAGGATAAACAATATGCATTTGCTGTTTTAGACCAGGGTGAGGGAGTTTTAGCAAGAGCAAGCCATAACAGTCTGTAAGTGTTTTCTAGGCCTGATTCCCATGGGAAAACTCGGTTTGAAGGTCTGGCTCCTGCCCACCACTTCACTTCTGTAGGTTTTCCATACAGAGCTGAGTCACATTTGCCAGGCCAAGACAAACCAGTCCCCTACAAAATAGTGTATATGGATGAAGAACCAGTTCTTTTGCCATCCTATTTCATTTGTAAAAATCAGCGTGGCGTTTCCACAATGGGAGGAATTATGGGTGGAGGCTGAGAGCACTTTGGTAAAAGCATCAGTGGGCATCTGTTCTGTTGATGCTGATACAAAAAGTAGGCAGCTGAGATATAGACCCGTCTGAGTCCTAATTTAACTAATACACTGTCCGTCATTGTGAGTTCCAATCAGCTTAAATGAAGAGTGCTATTTGGGGGAACATTGGTTCCTTATTTTCTGACTTTAATGAGTGAACATCAGTACAGATTCAAATGGACATTTCCCAATAATTGTTGTAGATTAGAATTCTGAGAAAAAATGTATGTGTTATGATTAGCTCGATATAGTTAATAGGGAGAGTCCTAGACTCAAGTTTAAAATCCCCGGTGGACAAATAAAAATCTGATTATTAACAGAATTCCAATGACTTCATTCCTCCCCCCTTTGCCTTTCCTCAGGCTCTGGCATGCCCTCAGTGGTCATTACTGTGGGTATTTTGGACAACGAAGGTCCTTTGATCTGTCACAGACCAGCGACTTCATTTTGCCTTGTGATGTTAATGAGTATCCCATAGAAATAAAAGAAGAAAGCAAGTTAACAGACAATAAACAAAAATATATATATCCTCTGGTATTTGACCAGCAAAGGTAAGACCATTGGGTTTCCTGTACAGAGCAGACAAGAACTGAACTAATATGATATTGTAACACTGTGCTGGACATGGAGAATTCAAAGGTGAAAAACTCAAAACTTTTCAATAATTTTGCAATCCAATGGAAGGATGCACAATAACCTACAACCCAGAATAACAGTACAGCTAAAAAACATTAATTCTTAAGATAATCACAGAGGTAACAAGACTTACCCAAACAAAGAAGACCAAAGAGGCAGTGATCGGGAGGACATGGTAGAAGGGAGAGCAATGAAAGTTTATAGAAACTAAAGCACAATGAGCTTTTTTTATGGGCCAACATAAAGATCTTAAACATTACTGAAATCAGCCTTGACCGGTGTGGCTCAGTGGACTGAGCACCGGCCTGCAAACCGAAAGGTCACAGGTTCGATTCCCAGGCAGGGCACATGCCTGGGTTGCAGGCCAGGTCCCTAGTAGAGGGTGCATTCTTGGGAGGGAACCGATCAATGTATCTCTTGCACGTCAATGTTTCTCTCCCCCCCTTCCTCTCTCTCTAAAAATAAATTAATTAAACTAGAAAATAAATAAATAAACATTGCTAAAATCACTGTGACAGAATGCACGTGAGGAAAAGCAGGTCTGAAGACAATAATGTAAATGGTTGTCTAACCACTCAGCTGTGTACCTGAAACCTCACACAGAAGAAAATTGAAAGGAAAAAGAAAAGGATGGGGAGTTTGGTTTTGGGCAGGTTCAAATATGAGATGCTCATGGGGATATTTTTTGTTTTGAAATGTTTTTAATGCTTGGTTATGGCTTTTAAATATGCATAAGTAAGTTTTACCATCAGCAGAAGCTTCCCCAAGTCACAGAAATAGCAAGCACTGGTTTTGTGTACCCTCACCGTTACCAGACAGTATTTTTTAAATGGCTGTTCATGAATTTAACTACATGAAAAATTCAGGCCTGGTAGAAATCTCTCACTTACCAGGAGAGAAATCTGAGAAACCAAATGGAATAAGACTCGAGTGCCGAGGTAACATCATTAGGGGCCACAGGAGCCAAAGAATTCGGGGACCCAGAGAAAAAGGAATAGAATGAGTGTTTGTTTAGTAGGCAGAGAATAGAGGCGTGGGTAGGTACCTCACTGTTTTTCTTGTACCTTCACATGCAGATGGCAGAAGATGAGCTCGATGTCTTTGCTCTTCAAACGGACACCTCCCAAGGCCTTTGAAGTGGAAAGTGATTTTAAGTTTTTCAAGTCTCTTTCTTCCTCCAAGGTAACTGTTAAAAGCACAAACACACACAAGCACTTTGCTTTTATTTTCCTGAATGTAGATATGGACAGTGTGTTCATTTTCCATGGCTGCTGTTGCAATTTCCTACACACTAAGTGGTCTGAACAGCACGAATGAATTATTTTACTCTTCTGTGGGTCAGAAGTCTGCCCTGGGTTCCCCTGGACTGAAACTCAGGCATTGCCAGGACTGTGTTCCTTGTGCGGAGGCGCTAGGGCAGACTCGCATTTTTTAGCGTGAGGCCCCCTTCCTTCATCTTCAAAGCCAAAAATGATGCATCTCTCTGACCAGCCTTCTGGGGTCCCCTGACTCAGGAAAGGTTCTCTGCTTTTATGGAGGCCTGTGATGAGACTGCCCCCCGCCCCAGAGAATCCATCTCGAAGTTCTTAACCTTAATCATGTAACATACCCCAATGCGAGCAAATGTCGGAAGCCTTCAGGAGTTTATGATGGAACTTTATTGGCCAAAGTTTCAAAGTTTTACCTGCGCAGGGGCGAACTCTCAGGGTGCCTCCGGAGACACGGTGCCAAAATGGCTGCAGATGAGAGTCGCGCCTGGCGCTTACAGCCTGGGGTTTTTATTGGGGTGAGCAAGCAAGCAAATACAGAAGCAGACGTAGCTGTTAGCAATTGGCTATCCCGAGAGGACACACATGGCTATGTTCTCTGCTTGCAACAATGGATACTTTTCTGCAAAGAAAAGGTCATGCACAAGGCGGTGTATCTTGTTCAGCACTCTTTGTACTTTCTGTACTTTCTATCTTCCTTGCTGAGACAGTCTGGAGCCTGCCTCGGGTTCCTTTTGGCTACTTTTATCTAATTCCAGCCCTAACAATCACATCTGCAAAGTCCCTTTTGCCAGATGAAACAATATATTCCCAAGTTGGGGGTGGGGGGAAGAGGGAACAGACATTGTTGGTTACCATTATTCTGCTCACTGAAGATAATATTTTTTCAAAAGTCATTTAGTGTAAATAAATACATTTGGGGGAATCTCTAGAAAGGTTTTAAAGCTCTTAAAACAATTAAATGCCTCCAAAGATCACAAAGATTTATCCTCTCCTTACCACACTTTCATTTTCTCAATTGTTTGGTAAAATAACAAAGGTTTAATGCTAATGTTGCATTAAAAAACCTTCCACTTAGAAATCTCTGATTTTTACCAGCCATCTTGTTTGCCCATTCCTCTTCATGATCAATTATGTATTATTTCTTTATTCCATTTCCTACTTTCTTCTTGACATATTACCAGTAATAATAGAATGACAGTAAATCTTACATTTAAGTACCACCTTACTATACACATTCTCTTATTTGATCTGACAGATACTGAACAGGGCAAAAACTTGCCTGAGGTCATGCAACTAGTAAGTGAGAGTCTGAATTTGAACCCAGGGAATTGACCACTTACAGAAAGCTCCCTTTCACTAAACATTCACTCCTGTTTTGCAGAATCGAAAACATACCTTGGAAGATTTCATGACTGAAAACAAAGAGGCCGGGATTGTTTTTGGTTCTCTGCCTATATACAGGGTGAGTCGACCGTTTCTAGGACTAATGTGGTTACAGAACAATAGGGAGACGGCATCTCATCCCCAGCCCTGGGCTACGAGCCAGGTGGGAGAAAACGGCATAACTGAGCTCACTGATGCTTCCATAAACACGCATGCGCGACTAGACCCCCACCCCACCCCGTCCCCCGCCCCTCGCCCCTGCCCCGAGAAGTCTGCGGTCCTGTGTCCCCACGGCCTCGATCACTTGTTTCTGGCATTCCACATGGACAACACTATGGGAAACTGTTTTGAACTTCACCCTGGCTCTTACTTACCTACAGGACAAAATCTGAATGCTTTTCACCTGACCTAGAAACCTTTCATGGCCTTACCTCTGCCTGAACTGTGTGATTAATAGTGGGCACCTGTGAAAGGCGTTGCAGGTGTGTTTTAAAGCAGTTGAAGTTTCTCACTCCGTATCCCCCACCTCAGTCACATCACAGAAGCAATCCCTTCAGTATGTCTTACTCTTTGTTTATGGCTAACAGGTGCAAAGCCCCACTAGTCTGAGATTCCTTCCACTCATTGGTTCAGAGGCATTAAAGGAGGCTCCAGATGGAGTTCCAGGCAAGAAAAAGGGAGGTCATGTTCAACATGAAAGAGTAAGTTAGTATTTGGAAGTCCATGGTGTACCCCACTTATGTTTGGAATGTTACTGCCTGCACCGAAATGGGTAACAGATAACAAACGCAACCACAGCAACAACAAAAAGCTGCTTTATTTAATTAATATACAAAACTTGACCACAATTTTGTTAGTTTATGCCCTTAATGAAAATATGAATGAATCCTCTTCATCATCAATTCCACCAATTGTTTGAATAAAAAATTTTGGCAACAGAAGAGTGTTTTTATACACATAGTATCATTTACTTTTAATTTAAGTAATGGATAAAACACAGTGGTATAAATTATCCAAGACAAGCAAGCAAGAGTGTTTGTTTGGGGTTTTATAATTCATATATTTTTATGCCCTGTATTTAGGTTTTCTTACTTCATCTGGTATTAAATGTACTTTACATTTTCTAAGTACCATGCAAAAGAAACAACAGATCCAAAATGGAGTCACTTATGCTAAGCCCCACCAAGACTCACTACCTAACCTAACTGCAGGCTCAGTCCTTCCCAGGACTTTAAACTAATTTAAACGAAGCAGTTTGGGATTGCCAGATCAACACTAGTGATACAACTCCCTGCCTTCCCCTAAAGGGAAGTGACCTGGCCTGAAATAATTTGATTTTTTAACCACCTTGCCCCACCCTCCTTCTGACTATAAAAACCTCCCTTTTATATGATTCCTCAGAGCACCTTTCTGTTCACTAGATGGGATGCTGCCTGATTCATGAACCATTTAATAATAAAGTCAGTTACATCCTCTGATTTACTCAGTTGAATATACTTATTTAAAAGTACAAACTAAGGGACAAGGGAAAAAGTGGTCAAATATATCTTAATTACCAGAGGGAAAGCACAAATAGAATTAAAAATTATCCATGGTTAATCTACATAATGAATAATGTTTACTCAGCCAGAAATTGACTCTATGATGATGAATTTCATCAGAGATCATTAAATATGACAAATTATCCAGACATTGAGGAATTTTTAACATATCTGTTATTTTAATAGGTGCTTTCTTTTCTCTTAATTGCTCTGATAGGTCATTAACCACACAGAAAAAGTCAAAGGGATTTTGTATTTATTTACAAAAAAGGAGCCACAAAAATCATGATTAAAAATTCCCCTTCTGGTTAGATGAAGAAAAGAGTTAAGTGTAGCCACAGGGCTAAAATTAGTTTCCAAAATAAAATCAGGTCCCTTTCAGAAAACTGTGCATGTAGCAAGATGGCAGGTTAAGTCTGGAGACTGGCGTGGAATGGACACATCACTGCCCGTCTGTGCAGACTGTGTACAGAAACCCAAACAGCTGTGAGTGGAGAAATAGTGGATGAAGCCAAATCAGTAAATACACATCAAACGCCTAATTTTGTAAAGAGGACTTCCAGGAAGGCTGACATAAAATTGCCTCAGAAAGCCTAGTGTTCAGATTCCAATTTTGTGAAACAAACATTTATAGAATCCCTGAAAATGTCACCCTGTGCTCTGCGTTGAAGGGAGAAATTTCTCTGAGCCAAGTTCAAAAGCAGGCATCTATTCTCTTTGATTTATTATTTTTTTACTTTTCAAGAGGATCATTAAGTAAATCAATATACTTTCTTTCTAGGAGGACTCAATTTTTGTAAAAATTAGCAGTGCCACTTGACTCTAGAAAATGGTGTTTATCTTGTAAGGCTGACTCATTGCTGATATGTCCTTTATTTCACAGACACAACGGAGGAAAAGTCTGAAAAGAAATCTCGTCCCACAAATAAATCTGGCTTCCGCCTTCTTCCCAGGCATCCCCAAATAAGAGAGAAAAAATCAGAACCAGCTGCTGTGGCCTGAGCTGCTTGTGGAACGGCAAGGTCTCAATGATACACCCGTCTTTGTGTCAGGGTAAAAGCGAGGGTCCACCAGACACTGTCCCCCCTCCCAGTAACCTCAGGCCAGCTGCTCCATGATTGCTCAGGAAATTCAGGAGGCCTCAGCTCTGAACACCAAGCAAGCAGCAAGCAGCCCGGTGGCCAACTTCTTCCATACGTTGAAATCTACTTAAGGAATAGGCGATGCTTCTTGTTTACTGACAGCAAAATAACAAAGGACACAAAGAAAATCCATAGTATCAGTGGATCCAAACAATATGGCCATCAGCAATTAGCTTTCCCCCTTCCCCATTGTTCACCCTAATTCATAACCAGAATTATCAAAATGTATGCGTTAAGAGGCAAATTACTTGTAGGTCATGCTATGTAGTATACAAAAGAATTGTTATTAAAGAGAAAAATGTGCCAGTCAAGCTTCTAGCTATTCATCTTCTTTATTTAGAGAAGTAAAATAAAGTATGGAAGAGAATGTTATAAAGTCAGAAGTTATCTACATTTAGTCTAGAAGTAACTCCACATAAATAGAATTTGAATGATTATCTGAACTTCCTAGGGTTAATTGCTTACTAATGCTTTTATTAATTCATTTTGGTATTTTGACCAAATAATTTATTTTGCCAATGGGAACTCTTATAAAAAATAAAAGCATCTAAGTTTGATCAATAATAAATGAGATTTTAAATAAGTCAGAGGCATGAGGAAAGTACCAGAATCAAAACCTGCTGACATGCTGACCTGGACCTTTTTGGGAAATGACTCAGAGCTCTGAGTGATCAAATGTACGTCTACTTTCCCCAAAGCACCAGGCCACTTGGTTAAAACAAACAAACAAACAAACAAACAAAAACTATGGACCCTGAATTCAGTTCTGCCTTTTCATTCTGGGAAGGATTCTATAGTTCTTAAAGTCCCAACAACTTCAGACGGAGAGCTAAAGAAATTTTTACTCATATAAACTTTATTTACACACTTCAGTTTATTTCTAGGCATGGAGTCATACTGAATGTGATTTCTCCTACTAGTTTTCTTTTAACTTTTTTCTTTGAGTGTTTTAATTACACAAAAAACTAAAGTTCCAAAAGAAAATAATGAACATTAAGGTTTTTTAGACTTTTAAAAAATAATTTGTATAATTTACTCAAGTGAAAGAAGACACTTTATAATAACACAGTGTAGTTATGGAAAATTAGTACTATCAATACCTAAGTAAGCCATAGATTCTTTTTTTAACCGAGGAATAACTGACACATAAAAGTATGTTACTTTCAGGTGTAAAACATAATGATTTGATATTAATATATACTGAGAAATGATTACCACCATAAATCTAGTTACCATCCATTACCAGATAATTACAAATTTTTTTCTTGAGATGAAGACTTTGAAGATCTATTTGCTGAGCAACTTTCAGACATGTGACACTGTTATTAGCTCCAGTCACCTTGCTGTACATTACCTCCATGACTTACTTATGTCCTCAGGTTTGTACCTTTTGACCTCCTTTACCTATTTCACCCCAGAAGATTTTTAAAAAATTCTAAAAGTGAAAAAAAAATTCCAAGGAGTTTATGAAAATGATTCTCTTTCCTTCCTTTTAATCTCAGTTGTAACAGAAGGTAATTTCACCCCTAGGTGTAGATTTCTTAAAACAAGATGATGTTAAATACCTTCCTGTGTAGGCAATCCCTTTAATATGGACATAAACTAAAAGGGGGGGGGATGGTAGGGGAGGGGTGTACAGAGTGGAGGGGAATGAAGGGGGGGATGGGACAACTGTAATGGCATAATCAATAAAATATATTTAAAAATATGACATTTGAGATTCTCAGTTATCTCTCACTGCCCTTTTTGACTGAGCAACTCTCTCAAACCTCTTTCAACAGAAATATACAATTTCTTGATATTTAAAAATTAAAAAAATTTTTTTAGTATTTTTATCCATTATGTAATAAGAGATTTTGTATCAGTCATATACTGGTAAGAATGGCAGTATAACTAATTATGTAATTATAATTTGTTAGGATCACATAATATGCAGAAAATTTTGTCTTTTCTGTCATTTGTCAAATGGCAGGCTGATTAAAGAAATCATTTAAGAAAAGGTCGGACTTGACAAATCAGGATATTTTATTACATCATATTTGGTGTGGTGTAAAAATGTTTGCTAAAATAGAGAGTACTGGCTTCTGTTTCAGATAATAGTAGTCTAGGTAAATTAGACCCATCACTCCCACTGAGGACAACTTGGACAGACAAACAATGCACAGAAAACATCCCTATGAAGGCATCCAACACAAACAAGATGGTGAACCAAGTATGTGCTGGATTCTGGAAAAGGCCTGAGGCTCAAGTAGGTAAGCCCAATATTTGAAGCCCATTTCTTCCTGCAAGAGAAGGGACGGATTTCAGAAGGGGTGCTGAAGAAGCTGAAAAACTGATGCAGTAATTAGGTCTACGCAGGCAGGGAATGGAATCCAGGCCTCATCAAGGGGTAGGCTCCTCTCACTTCCGGTCCAGGCTCCAAAGAACCACATCCTAGAAATATGGCTGACACCAAAGTAGACAGATCTTCAACTGTGGACTGTAGTTCACTCCCAACTCTTTCAATCCCCGAAATTGCTAGAGCCTCAGGAGCCTGCAGAAGCAAGGGTAAAATACTGTGGAGGAAGATGACATCATTTAGGCCTTAAATTATATGTCTTTAGTGTTCCAGATATATGTCTGACCTACTATAAGAAATGACCGAGTACATGGGGAGAAAGGAGAGAAGAATTGACACAAAAAAAGCAGGTAATAGAAACAAATACCCAGGGGTTTCAGATACTGGACTTCGAAGCAAGTATAGATTTTAAAACAACTGTGCTTGCTCTACTGGAGAAGATAAAACACAACATTTAGAATTTCAGCAGAAAACTAGGAATTGTTGAATAAGAACCAAATGGAAATTCTAGAATCAAAATTTTCCATTTCTAGAATAGAAATCCTTATCCTCTTGAAACCTTGAGACCATCAAGAATTCTTGCTAAGCTTCCTTGGGGACAAGAGACCAAACAGAGAGGTCCTGCAATGGGCAGCATCAACCACAAGGCATGTGACATGGGCCACTCACTGTGGTGACAACAGGTAGGACCAGAAGTGCCAACCTGAGCCCAGCCCAAATCACCCACCTGCAAAATCATGAGCAAATAAAGTCACTGGTGATTTAATCCACTTGATATTTTGGCGGTTTGTTTTAAATAACCTAGAGAGGATTTACATCTTTATAAAGTTAAGTCTTCAAAACCATGAATATAAATACATCTTTGCCTTTATACAGAGATGCTTTCAATTTTCTCTAAAATGTTTTACTGATTTCCTCATTAAACTTCTCTTTCCTCCATCATTTTATTATTAGAAAAAATTGGAACCTTCAGAGAATTTGAAAGAACTCTGTAATGATGACCTATATACCTACCACCTAGATTCTACAATTAACATGTTATTTGATTTGCTTTATCACATATCCAGCCATGAGTCCATCAATCCATCTTATGTTTTATGCATATCAAAGTTGAAGACATTGACCTTTAAATAAATGCCCTCAATCAAAATCTCCAGATTTAAAAATAATTTAAGTTGACAAATGGATTCAAAACTTTATTTAAGAATATAAAAAAGGCTAAAATAACTAGGATCCTCTTCAAGAAATGGTAAAAGAGTATAGAACTGCTTGACTGTGTACCAAGACCTACTAAAAAACTACAGTAGTTAAGACTGAATGGTATGGACCCAAGAATAGGCACATGGACCAGAGCAGTGGAATGAAGAGCCCAGAGAACAATCCTCACATATCTTGATGTTTGATTTGGACATTAGCAGCACTTCACAGAATAATCTTTTCAATAAGTGATCCTGGGGGAATTAGATATCTATATTGAAAAAATATGTATAAAAATGACTTCCACCTCACACTGCATAAAAATTAATATGTGATTGTAATTCTATGAATGAGAGGGAGAACATAAAACAATTTTAGAATAAAAGAAGACTGTCTTAATGAGCTGGGGACACAGGAAAAATTCTTAAATAGTGTACACAAAGCACTGACACCAAGGGAAATATTGGCAAATTGAACTGTATGAAAATTTAAAATGCTTGCTTACCAAAGACACTATTAAGAAAGTGATAAAACAAGCCACAGAATGGCAGAGATTTGTATCACATATAACAACAAAAAAGGGGTTTGTATCCAGAATATGTGAAGATCTCCAACAAATGAATAAGAGAATTACATCACAGTAAGAGCCATTGGGCCGTGAAGTGACACCGCATAAGAGAGGACCTCCAAATAGCCCGTGCATGTATGGAAACACGCTCAGTCTCCCGAGTAATTAGCATAATGCTCACCAAAACCACATTTGATGCCTCCACACAAACCCCGGAACGGCTAGAATTTAATGGACCAACAATGCCAGGTGCTGGCAGAGATGTGGAGCGGCAGGAACTCAAGTGCTTCTGGTAGACATGGAAATTGGTTCAACCACTTTGGAAAGCAATCTTGTCTTACCCATTAACATGGCACAAATGCGTATTGCGTGACAGCAATTCCTCCCCTAGGTCTGCATACCTAACAGAAATGTGTGTACATGTATTCAAAAAGGCACGTAAAAGAATGTCCACAGCCTTATGATTTATAATAGTCTCGAATGATAGCCACCTGACTGGCTTTCAGTGGCCCACATTGTGGGATTTGAGCTGTGCCTGGTTTATATGGTTGTAGGAGGATTAAATGAGCTAATAACAAGGAAGAGGTTCAGCGCCCCACCTCTTGGGAGCACAATGTGGTATAGCTGCCCAGTAAGATCTGACTTGTCTCATATTTTTGTCTGATCACCACTGCATTCTAATTGGGAAAAAAATGAAAAAATCATTCGTCCTTCACGGACAG